GAACGATGTCTGCTGATTTCATGCTAAACATCATAATAATAAGATGAAGACTGAAAGAGATCATTGAAACCTGTTTTACTTACTTTATTTTTATGTACTGTATCGGCAACAGCAACAGCATATAAAGGGGGAGAGGAGAATTTTCCTTTATTTGGTGAGCTGCTTACAAGTTTTATGTTTCATAACTTCGATTCTTTGACCTCTCAGCCAGCGAATAAGTGAACATAAAGATTTAGCACGCATATAGTAACAGAAGAACGAAACAAGAGCAATAAGAAGTAGCATAAAGTTAAAAGGAAATTCTCAAATTCTCAGACAACATTTGCATTCACCCGATGAATGATGCTGTCGCGATATATACATTTAATTGTTGTTGTTCTTCTTTCATTCCTTTTAATTCCTCCGATATGCTCTCTCAAATTTTATATTTTGTCAGTTAATGCAGCAAAAGATTTTTGAACTCATAATTGTGTTCAATGCTCCTACATGTATACATGTGAATATTATGCCTGCTGATTGCTTTCAGGGAGGCTCAATTTTCATTATGCGGACAAACTTTATTTTTTCTTTCAAGATCGAATTTCAGGCATACAGCGACGTTTCTTTTAATATGCTGAATGTGAATGGATAAAATGAAATGGGAACATGATCAAATATTTTGTAATGCTTGCGGGCGAGACAGAATGAGTTTTATGTTGGACACTTAATGGGAAAATACAGAATTTCTGAGAAAAGGAGATTTGAGTCTTGTCATATATTTTTTTATGGCTTGTGGATTGACTTTTAGTCATTATCATTTAATTTTTGATTGTCAAGGATTGTCAACTTTGAATTATGCTGCAACAACAAGTTCCGTTCTATTTCATTTACTTGTTTCCTGCACTACTTTGATGTAGTTCGATGCAACGGCGCATGATCTGGATGACAAAAAAAATGTATTAATTTCATAACAAAAGCCTAATCTGCATTTATATGTCATCAAATGAGGATTACGTTCCGAATGTTTCTGTCGGATTATCAAAAATCATAAAATGGAATTCCCAAAGCTGTCATCGTAATTTTCCGAATATCCTTCAAACAACAGCATGTGGGATAATTTTTATATTTTATAGCTGAAAAACTTTCTTTCGATGTCCTTGATCTTTCACGTTGCATGCTCTCCCTTTAAAAATCGATTTTTTTTTGTAGGAAGAGAACTGAGTTATCCAAGGTTACGGACTTCTTGCATAACTTTCGGCTATTCTTTCTTCATCTTTTTAGTTTGTGACTTTCTGTATTGATTTTTTCATCATACTTGAGACAGTTGTGCATTTTTAAAGTATTTATTCAATGCACAACTCATAATAATGGTATGAGAAGCTTAAAGGTGGTTTCACAAACATTATCACGGAAGTAATAAGCACTGTAATTAAATACGACCAACCTAATTGTCTCTGCTCATTTGCGGTGCTTCATATCCTTCGAAATATCAAATTACATTCTAGTCCTTATTAAATATCTCAAAGTCTTTATCGCGTACTTAAATTTGCTCAATGGTGATGAAAATCTAGATCAGTGTTAAGGATAATGTTAAAAATTATGTAAATGCTCTTTTCAAAAAAATTAGATCAAGACTGTATTTATTTTTATATCCAAAGCATTTAAAATCTCAATGTTACTGGATTCTTTGTGATCTGTAACAACTGTTGGATGACATTAAACACTAAACTTGTTGTGTCTTCTATAATTTCTTATAATCTTTTATGCCACAAGCACTACACAACTTCATAGACGTTCATAACAATAAGAAAATGAAAATCCAGCAAAATTAAAACATTTATGACGTATTGAATGATAAATTTGATGACGCATCATAGACGAAAGCTTCAAAAGCTTTTAATATAACGTGCCAGCCTACACACAGACATAAATTTGCAAATAAATTTTCCCGCGTGTTTTCCCACGCTCTTAATCTTTTTCTGATTCTTTGTTATTCTACGAAGAAACCATCTAGGACGTCCGAAAGTAAGTTCGACCTTAGAGAGTGTGAGAGAAGAGAAGAAACCCGAAATTACACGAAAAATATTTTTATCTTTGAGAAAAGCTTACGGACTTAATTTTTATCAGCTGAACAGTTCAGTTATCGTCGTACTTTAGAGCTAAAAAGACGTGGATTTTTGACTCGGTACTAAAAAAGTGACTTCAATGAAAAATATATAATAGTTAAAACCAATCAACAAGTGTTTTAATAAAAGTAATTTATACCTGAAATATTTCATCTCCCAGAAATAAAATTAGTTAATCAAGTGCTGTGGAATTGCCAATAAAATATAATTAATTGATATCTAGAGAAATAAAAAAGTGTTAAATTAGAATGAATGGAAAATTCCAATTGAATAAATCTTAGTAAATGTTTGATGACAGAATTTATGTGGTAAAGAGGATCACTTGAGAATAGAGAGGCAATGAACCTCTAGACTCTAGAGCGTTAGGTCTATTGCTATAAAATTATCTTTCAATACAACTTTGTGTACGTTAAGAACTTTCAAGAGCCATAGGAAGTACTGGAAGTTGAAAAAAAGTGTACAGCACATTACAATAGTGAATGACAGCATTTTTTTTAATTTCGAAATCTGTCGATTACTTGAAAGATATCTTATCGGTAATTAAGTTTCAAGTAGTCACACCACTCGTGATTTTTTATTTATATGCTGTAAAAGTAAAACAAAAAGGTATCGGAATCTTGAATTATCTGTCAATCGGCCGATCTGATCCAGTTTCTGCTGATTTGGATTCTTATGAATTCCTCAAAAGGTGGGATGATGGTAAAAACATTCTATGACTCATTGCACAAAACAATAACAGCATTTTTTAATCTTTGATAATTTTTTTTCAAAAGCATTAGACACAAATTTGTTCATGATTGATTTTTTTCCGTATCTGATAAATTTCTCGCTAAAGCTATCAATAAATTAAATATAAAGTGAGATTTGAACCTTGTCATTTGTGGCGACAAAAAGGAGTAAAGCAATTGTACTTTACGACACTTGAATTTATTGTTTCTATGCACTTAAATCTCTTAAACAAGCTTGTCGGTGATTATGGGTGGTCTTTTTTGATTACTGAATATCTTCATATCAACTGCGTGTGACAGGAAATTTAAAATCAAGCGTATTTCGATAAATGCATGTCCTTCAAATATCAGCAGGTTTAAAGTGGAAAAAAATGAATTATCCTGTCTATATTTGGACTTTAATTTTAGAATCCAAATGCATAATAATAGTTTGAACTATTTTTAATCTTATCATATCCTTTTTGGATTGAGACACAGTATGACTGACTCCCTGACGTGACAATTTATAATCTGAAGAAATTAGTCAAGGATTCGATGGAAATGCTTTAGATTATACGCAATTTTAGATTGATTTAAAGTTTCTCAATAGCTTTAGACACAATTTCTTTAAATAAAGTTGTTGGAACCACTTCATAGGATAACAGCATTTGATAAAAAATTGAAAGTGCGTACCAGAATTCATTCTTATTGTTTTGGATCAATTTTTCGGAGAATCATTATTTATTTTGAGGATGTTTTCATGGGAATTCGGCTACCCAAGTGCCATTGTTTAGCTATTCCAATTATGTTTTTCTGGTTACAATTATGAAGATTCATAAGAGAGTTTAAGATTATCAAACAAATAGATTTCAAAGCTCATTTACTAGGAACCACCTGTTGATCTCAAAGCTTATTAAAATGATCTTTTGGCTACAAATTTTGAGGCAACAGAGAAAACTTCTAATGGTTTTTTCAGTCTGTAAAGCTTACTAAAGCTTGTCATGAGAAATAAAAGCATTAAAGGATTAACAGTAACGGTACAAAGTACATAGACGACGGCAACAACAATGAGAAATTTGCTCTGGCGCATTCATCCGATTGTTTCTCTTCCTTTAACTGCATGAAATTGTGTGTGTGGTGTAGATGAGTGCGAAGAGAATGAGAAAAGAGCTTACTATACGAGTTGAGTTAGGTCAGGAAAGTAGCGTGTGTTCATATACACTTTTTAAAATGAAAAAAGAATTGACGACGAGCATGTTATAGACATATTCGTGCCAGGCCTCTTTCTCTCACTCTCATGTTGTCTGTAATTATGATGACGATTAAAAAAAATGTAAGGAAAAGGTTAAGATGAAATGCATTGTCGCATGTTAAGTCTCATGGGTGAATGACATAGTTAATGACCTTAAATATATAAATGCATGATATGGAAGGAGCGCATTTTATATTCCCATTGACACACTTTACAGAGAGAACTGAGTAGACATGAGTTTATTACCCGATACCTTTTAATCGTGTTCCACGTGTTCAAAAGCTACTAAAAACTCTAATTTTTTTTCATTTTAGTATCGAAAAAAAAATAATCGCAAATGTAGTAAACAATAAAGCCTACATGCTTCGCTAAAAAACGCACTCTAAATTCCTAATCAGCATTACAATACAGAAATTCCTCATTCCGTATAGGAATTAAATTGATTTTTTATAAAATAATACATGCTTCATTATGTGAAGCTATAAATTCATTAAATCCAAAAAAAGAAGGAAATTAATTAACGCAGAGGAATTGTTCATTGCTATTCTTGTACATTGAAATTGTTACATTTTATGACCGCTCTCTCTCAATTAAAGTATCAAGCATCTTGGCAAGCGAAGGTCTTAGCGGTTTATCAAAAAAAGAGCATTAAATTCATGAGAGTTTTGCCATCAAACACGAGGCATCTAGACACACACCCTTAAGACTCTCTTACTTACTTCTTTTTTTTTGCAAGCAACTTGAAATTTTTTTGTGTTGGTGTGGACGATAAAAAAACATTTTTTGAGCTCAATTTTTTTTTTTTTGATATTTTCTTCATTCAATTGTTTTCTCTCTTATTTTTTTTAGTTTTCGCTTCAAGTTTGTTGGAATCGGATTGTCTTCGGTTTCGGTTGATACAATTTTTTTTTTCTATATTCTTCAATATTTTACTGCTGCCAACAATTCTTCTCGAAAGAAAAATCTTTTCTTTTTTGTTGGTAATTTCGACATTCTTTTTCCTCATAATAATTTCACAAATTTTTAAGAAGCTCAAGAAGAAGAAGGAATTAAATATTCGTGGCATTTCTCATACTGTGAGTTTGTTTGTTGCTTCTAAAGACCGTGAGAAAATTATTTTTTTTTTGTTTTTTTTGTGTGTTGATTGCAAGTTCTTAATGTCTTTGAGATCAATTGCCGTGAGAAATTTTGAAAGCAATTTTTATGAATGAATCGAAAGTGAAAAGTCGATATTTAAATGATTGTAAATCAGCTCTTAAAAATAGCAAACCGTCGGATTACATTATCGTGAAATGTTTGTATGCACGAGTCATATCAAAATTGTTCAAACTTTGAAGGTTTTTCGGGGAAAAAGTACTTCAGACTGTCTCAAAAGTAGTCACAAAATAAGAAATTTTGGCAATGTCGCAGTCATTCGTGTGGTAAGATGATATGGACGATGGATTTATCAACAGTCTGGCAAGATATTTCTGAAGAGGGAATGATTTACAGCACATAACTTACGATACAATCTAATGATTAAAGATAAATTAAGCTTTTTAAAGTTGCGCACTTAGAAACAGCTTAATGAGCCTAATTTTAGATACTGAGAAATTGTAATTATGCTTATCTCTATGAGATTGAGATATAAAATTTCTCTAAATTCTTACTATTACTGCTAATAACGATGCACTTGCTTAAAATTAATTAATGCAATGTAATGATGCTGACGAGCGGAATTTCAAGCTCACGAGGCAGTTTACACTGCAATAAAAATATCATTTTCAAGTTCAAGATAGCTAAAAAGTGCTCTTCTTTTATTAATAATCACATTGTAACGAAAGTTTTTTTGAACAGCTGTAATCGTTCGGTGTGATCAGGTATTAATAATGATTCCTCTAATTAAATCAATAATAAGTGTAATTAGATTGATGTTGACAACATATAATAACGATTTAATCGATGATAAGAATAATTATTGATTATGTTAACACTAATTTCTGTGATTAATAAGCTAGCTTGTAGCTAGCAGTGATAAATTTACAAAATATCAAATTAGTGACAAATGAGGGAATTTTTCAATATAATCAAGCTTTTCTTAGGGATTTCCAATTTGATAATTTCCAAAGTATACAAGTCTAATCAAAAAGAAGAATAGAGAATCTGAAAAAATCGAAAAATGTGCACGAATCGATATCAGTTTATTTAATTTATTGATAAGAAATATCAAATTTACTTCCTCCGCAAATTGCTAGGTTGCCGGGTTGCAATTAAAACATACTTCTTGTTCAATTATGATAAGAAATTACTTTCCTTAAAAGTTCAATCAATTATTTTTTTGTAGATGTCATTTTAAATTAAAGTGACAACATGCCAGGCAGACTCAAATTGCACTCAATCAATCAAAAAGCTTTTCTATTGCACTGAAATATTAATGACATGAAACTTTTCTCAATGAAGATGTCAATGAATTAAATGTATATATCCAGTGTGCTGGTGAGCTTTAAATAGACTATATCGAATGCAGGAAGAAGCTTTTAATATCCGGAATTTTATCTACTGGCGATCTAATGTAATTTACTTTACTGAAGCGTAAATTTAATTACTTTAGTGGATATAAATAACACTTAATGCTGCTCACTTTCTATAGCACGTGTTTTAGAACGAGTAAAGGAATCCAATTGATAGACTTAAATATACTTTAAAAAAAAAGTATCAAAGATAAGGGCTCGTTCACTTATTACGTAACGCAAAAAAACGAGTTTTTAGACCCCCCCTCCCCCCCCTGTAACAAAGCGTAACAAAATCTTAGACCCCCCTCCCCCCCCCCATAACGTAACAATAATTTTTTTCATTTAAATTGTTTATCAAATGTTTATTATACTTCCTTTAAGTATGTAAAAGTAAATAGAAGGAAAGCAATAAAAAAATATATTAATCGATACATCCATATTATTAACTAAACGCAAAAAAAACTCATAAGTTTTGTAATCATTAGTCGTTTTCCCAAATTGGTTGAAAATGATCTTCAACTGCAAATACATTTTGATATTCAACAATAATATCAGTATTTGCACGTTCCTCTTCAATATCCAAGTTCTCAGCTTCTACCCAATCCAAATCCTCCTGCAATTGTACTAATACTTCTTTTTCACGTCTGCATATTACTTTTCTTGGTTTTTTCTTAGTATTAACTATACGTTTGTGAATAATTTTTCGGTGATTCTTTAACATATCGATTGAAGCACAGTAATGATTACAATCAATGCATACCCTTTCTTTTATAATGTCTCCAATCGATGGACAGTATTTATCGTACGGAATGCTAGATGATTCAGTAAAAGAAATGCACTGAAAAAGTATAGCAAAGCGGGCATTAGAGTCTTTTGGATCAGCAATTGTTATCTTAGGATCGTATTTTAAAGATACAGGAGGTGGAAGAAACCGGTTCGGAAAGAAATTAAAAAAAGAGCTTCGCGGTGCTGAACAGCAGAATACATTTGAGCACTTAACTATCTGCAAAAAGTATTGTGACGATCTAATGTGTTTCATTTTCCAATTTTCATCTACTTCGTAATTTTCATTAATGATTTCACTCTATAAGAAAATATAATTTTTGAAAAGTTACGTAACAAAATTTAGACCCCCCCCCCTCCCCCTGTAACAAACCGTAACAAAATCTTAGACACCCCCCTCCCCCCCTAGTGCGTTACGTAATAAGTGAACGAACCCTAAAGTTACTTCTTTGTTTGACATGCATAAGGAAGGAAGTCTATCTAGAACATAAAAGAACGACCCGATCGCACAGCTAGAAAGGTTACTGGCATGTTTTAACGCTTCAATGAAATATTCAAGGCCAGCATTGTCATTCATTCATTGTTAAAATATATACAGGAATTATCATCGATGAACTCTCGAAGAATATTTGTGAACGGAATGAATGAAAACAATTTCCGAAAGGCTTCTTCTTGTAGATTTTTATTTTCATCATAATCGCAAAAAATGAAGACGTTAAGAACGTGTTAAAACGTGTTGTTGCAAAATCGAATCAAACCAGAACCTTTTTTTCTTATTCTCTTTCTTCAATTTCTTGACTATCATCTAAGATGCTTATGATGTTTTAGGGATATGTGAATTTTAAGTAATGGGAATCAAAAAAAAAATGAGTCACTAAAGAGGAAATAGTGAGACGGCAAAAACAACAAAATTGCAAATTCATTTACATAAGACAATTTCGCGTTGACGCGCCGTCATTTATAGTCTGTGTAGGCAAAGTCTATTTTTAGTCTAAGATGTAATTTGCATTCATTCATATGAAAATGAAGCGGAATTCTATGTAGACGATAGAGTTTTATGGATTATTTTAGAGAATCACGTTCCATATTTAGTTTCATTGATATTGATTAGACATAAACATTTCAATCTTTAAGTCTGTGTTGTCCACACGATCATGCGATTTCCATCAATTTATTCAGAACTTGCCTGAGAAAGTGAGAAAACATGTTCAATTAAATAATTGTTTTGAATGCATCTTCATGTCAAAGAGTAATTTAGACTTTAAATTCAAATAAAGAAAGTCTATTAATTAGAGGACACGTGAGGAATGCTTATATATACAACGAAATTAATCGAACTCGTAAATAGCTATTTGGCTACTAATTCAGACATTTACACGAGAGCACTTTTTGACACTAGGAAATTTCACTTGATTGTCATTTCATTCAACAGGAAAAGTTTTTAATTTGAAGTTTTTATTAAACATAAAAAGTATTTTTGAGCTGATTGACAAACTTTTTTTTGCTTTCAAAACGAGACATAAAACTAAGTGCGAACCTTGAAAGATTTCATAAAAATTGCTAGCAAAAATTATCGAAGGTTGAAATATGTGTAAAAGCTTAAGAAATCATTATTTATAGCTATCAGCTGTTCACACATAACAAAGAAACGTGAAGAAGAATTTGATTAGCAACAATTTGGAGTTGAAACCTTTAAAGAAAGCTTTATTCTTGTTGGAAAATCTACATTGATATGCCACGCAAGCGTCATACTGCAAAGAAACGTAAGATTCTTAGATTTTAAGTCTTATTTACTAACAAATCCATCTTAGAATTCAAAAGATTAATGCGCAGTTTAAAATGCTTTAATTTTTTTTATCAAATCCTCTGTAATAATGGTGTTAATAACCTCTCATTATCTCAATGACTCTTGTGATTATTTGTTTAGCAGATATAAGCTGTGAATATAGTAGATATAAATCCATAAACAATGAAGGAAAATAACTGCTGAGATCCTTTTGGTTTTAAGAAATGTCATGTGAATCATATTTTTGTGAATTTTACATGTCAAACTTTAATGACAATTCAGATTTCTGAGAAAATCAATCTTAACATCTTATCAATCTTAATCTTAAGATTTTACTATTAAGCGATCTAAATCTGCAGCTCTTTAGAGAAGAAATCTTAATTCCATTCTTGATAACCAACTTTATATCCTCCATATGATCTAGCTTGCCATAAATTAATAAAATTGTTACTTTAAAGCTCCTATTGTAAATCAAATGTTGATAAGATTTTCATAATGATCCCTTGTGTGCTTTTGCTGTGATCAGAGATTACAATTGACAGTTTGTTGGTTAAAATCTTTGCGTGTGTAAAATGTATCTTCTTTGATAAGCTTGAGGAAAACATTGCACTATCTGGTTAATAGAAATGTAAAAAAAATCTAGTTCCAAAATTCAGTATCGATTGAGTTCATCGGTTGTTTATATGTTTTATCAAAGCTTTTTTCAAGTAGCTGATTTGCTTTATTTGGCACAGCCATAAAATATTATTATTTGTTATCAGTTCTGACTTAAGGCCTTCAAAATCGTGATATTGTTGTCATGCTTAAAAGTTCATGGGATGTTCCCTTTTTCTGACACATATCAAATATATTCAATACACGTTTTTCTTTATCTTGAGCCTCAAAAATTGATTTAATCAAATTTTTATGACAGAATCAAGATAAGCAAAATAAGTCGCCGGATTATTTTGATTTCGAAACAAAATGCGTAATTTCTGGTTCCTTAAAAATATCTCTAGAAATCTTAAAAAAATTTATTACCTCAAACTTTAAACTCTTGATTTTTGGAAATGTGCTATATTAACAGATAAGTTTTGTCTCGATATGTGTTCCAATTAATAGCAAAAGTCCATAAAACAGACAAGAAATCAGCAAATAAGATAATAATTTTATGACGCTTCATTAAGAACATCGCGAAGATACCAAAAATCTTGGAAATCATTAAATTTATTAGCGATGAATTGTTTTGTTTGCTTCTCCTTTTTCATAACAAATCGAACAATACTAAGATATACCTTTTGAAAATTTGCCACATAAGAACTTATTAATTTCTGCTTATGATAATCGCAATGATTCTATAAACAATCAATTCTGAAAAGCAATCAAATTGAGAATTATTCCAGTACTTAACTTCCAATTCAGGAAGTCTTGGAAATGTATAAGTGACTTCTTTCAGTAGCTTTCATATTAGAAATCATAAGAATTTATTAATCCAACTTCAATACTTTTAATTTTTGTAAAACCTTTCACCTTAATCCAGTTCAAAACATTTGCGAAATGAATTAATATTGGCAAATTGCTACTTTTAGCACGAAAAAACATAAGAAGGTCTGTCGCAATCTAACTGTGCCAATTTTCAATCAAAACAATTTGCTGAAAAGTCTATTAAATACTATTAATCCATATCGGAACAAAGAGATAAAGAATATAGGTCAAATTTACGCAATTCTTTACCTTTGAAAATCTTTATGTAGGAAGTTAAGATACCTTAAATCGATTGTCTACCAAATTAAAAATTCACAGTTATATTTTCATGCTATTTAGGATTAATGGATTATGATTTAAAGCTCTACATTTTATTTTATGTCGGTGTTCATACGATATCTATCAAATTCTTATCAGTCACATTGTGTGATGAGCAGAAAGTATTTACTGTACGGAATTAAACTTTATGTTCACGTTGAAAGCTTTTGATAAATTTAATAGCTTAAACTGAAATTTTAATCACGTCAGCAACTTGTATCTGTTATTAATGAGTCTTTATCATGTGGATGCTACGTTTTATTCTGTTAAGCGTATGATCCAATTGTGTCAATACACATGTGTCTATATAGACAAATTGAAGGTTGATCATTAGATTAAGGCAAGTGAAGTGGCGTCTTTAAAAAACTAATAAGGAAGAAAACTTTAAAATGAAAATTGCCAGAAGTTGCAAAAAAAGTATAATTTCTACTGGATCTTTCTGAGTTTATCCAATTTTTTATTGCTAGATCTTTAATTGATTATTATTATTATTATTATTATTATTGTTTATTATTCTCTTCTTAACTTTTGATTCTTTAGATACAGCCTGAAATAACGTCAAAAGTTTTTCCCAACCATATAGATTAATGAGCTCCAAAATTGGGATTCCCATTTTCCGTGCTGAAAAGTCGTAACCGAAAAGGCATTTTCCAATTACTCAAACAACAATAAAAGTCACATTTTCGATAATTTATCGCAAAATCTAAGGCATTATTCGATTTAGAATAATTTATGCACGATCAGCCGGCATCAGTTGCAAGTCTGAAAAGTCAGAATTGGGATCATGATGTAGGATAAACTATGAAAATCTTCTCTTCTCTCGCTTAACTTTAAAAAATGACTTAGAATTAAGGATATGAATATTTTATACTTTGATAGTCACGACAATACACTGTTCCTTGATACCAAAGGTTTGTAAAGTATCAGAACTACAACCCTGCACAAAAGTGCTATTTTATAGGTTTTCAGCTGAAATGTAAATCATCTCGTAACATTTTGTGTCTTACTCAACATACCTAAAATGATCGATTGCTAAAAAAGTGATAAAAAGCAAGCCATAAAGTCATGCCTGGATCAAATGTCATCAGAAGCTTTTAACTGGAATTCATTAAGTGATAAATGAATGAGGGACAAAGCAAGCTAGTCAATAGACTTCTCACATTTTCTTTTCTTCTGCGTTCAGCTTTGTAAGCATATCTACGAAAAAAAAAAATAACTTATTTAATGCAGAGACCGCGTTTGCAAACAATTACTGTTTTTACTTTAAAAACACAAAACAATTATGAAATAATTTTTCATTCGTCGATTGGCATTCGAACGAGAAGCATCGCGCGAGTTTAAGCTCTCTTATTTTTCTTTTGCAAAACGTTACCAGGAAAATAAATAAATAGACGAAATAGAAACTGACAGTGTGAATCAATTTAGTGAATAAGATATCATTGAGGTGATCGGAAGGATATTTAAATAAAATAAAAGAAAAATCATTGAGGAAAATAAACAAACAAGTTTTCGTCGTGAATATAGTTTTTCTTTTAACAAGTTCAAGGCTGTGAGTGCAATTTTTCATGAAAGCTTTATGGGTTTCGTTGGATCGACCTCAAACAAATAAAAATTATTATTTTTTACTGACGCTTTTATCGAGTTTAATAATTAAAGCTATTGCAGTATATTTCATGGTTCAATTGGAATTTAAAGTTAACTTTCACTCTGATAAATATATTTTTTTTATTGCTGTTAAGAACTTCCGTTAATTCCATCCCACTTGTTAACTACCTTTATAAATTTATTTAACATACAAAACTAGCTCATCCGGATCAGCGCTTATTTAAAGCTATTTTTGTGCTGAAATTTGAATTTCGTGTTAATTTTTCATGTCCATAAGAACATTCAAAGCAGATAGTTATTCCTGGGAAGTTGTCATTAGTAAAGCGCTAATTATTATTTTATATCTTTGACTGTGCTCAAAACTTTAGACCAACAACCGTCATATCCAGTAATATTTTAACACAATTAACTTCTGATGAAAATTAATCACATCATTTAAATTTTTTATCATTTTGCGATCGTTCCTAATTGGCAGAAACTTTTAATTGCCAAAAATTATTTTTAAATCATCATTTCGGGCTATTGATGCATAATCTAGGGTAAATCTAAATCTTTTACTTGACTGCAAGTTGACAAAGCTAGATTTTGATTGTTCACAAGATAAGCTTTAGTTTTGCAAATTTATTCCTATAAATAGCTGGAAAGTCCAGCAATAAACTCAAATATAAGCACAAATAATTTTAAAATCAGTTCAATCCAGCAGAGCTAGTTGCAAATTTCCAATTAATTGTCAGTAATTGTAATAATTCTTTTCTATTTTTGAAATTCATTGCAGTTCCTTGAAATTCCAACGCTTTGATAAGCAAGAAAAAAAAACTAAAACCAATTAATAGAAAGTCTTTCAATCACTTAACAGAATTAAAGACCGTAGATTGATTTAATAATTAAAAATAATAATAACAATAATAATACACATGACACAATTTGATAAATTATTAAAATTGCATCAAAACAACAACGACAAGTTCAGCAGTCTAATGCCAACGCCAATTTCATCGGGTGACAAAAGCGAGAATCAAATAGTCAGTGTATAAAAAAAAGGAGAAGATTCAAAGAGTTTTGTGAAGCGGGACGGAAAGTTGAAAAAAGTGTTTAACACAAAAATGTAACTGATTAAATCCAGATCGATACGTTATTCTGAAAAAATAACTATCGATAATATAAGAAAAGGAGGAGAAAGAATCAATTTCTCTCAAAATTTTGTTTGATTGACGAAAGAACTCAAATAGCTTGATTAATTTATAAGTGATAAAAGTGATAACGCTCATTAAGGAAAGAACGTCGACAAATTAATTTCCATTTACCTTCTTTTTTTTTGTTATTCTCTACGAGAATCGACCAAACACAAAAAAAAAACCAAGAAGAATTTAAAAATTTGAATGATAAGATAAGGAAATTAACTTTAGGAACAAAACGAATCAAACAATTTTTTTTTTTGTTAATTTTAATTTCATCGATAAGTTTTAAGTTAATTAACTAGTATAAAACACCCATCCTCAAAGCAAACACATATAACAATTAGTTTACCAATCACTCACGAAAGTTGTAAATCTGCAAGCATGACAAACATTCATATGATTAATGAGCTTAATAACAATTCAATTTTTGCCGGAAATGGCAAGAAGAAAGTCCAATTGCCTGACTCTGTAGTCGATAATCGAAAAGATATTGGAAGAATTCCAGGCTTGTACAAGAATGATGACAATATTTTCACGATTTATGGAAATTCTGGTGAGTTACCTTCCTCAATTCTGCTTATTTTTGCTCAATTCCTTTTGTGCTATTCTTCCTTAATTTTATTTCTTTACTGCTTGATTTACATACATCAATTATTATTTAAACCTTAATTCTGGTGATGATTTCTGTTCAATTTATTGGCATGTGGAAGTAGGAAATTACTTTTTATATTTATATTTATTTCTAATTCCATCCCCTCCTTCAATCGTTAATTTCGATATTTATATGCTAATTTTATGCAAGACGCCGTCATGTCTCGACTTGGGGATTTTTTTTTTCATTTATTTTGTTTTGTTTTGTTTCTCGCTCAGTTGCATTATGAGCAAGGTGTTGATGCGACGCATTATGAAAGCTCAATTCAAATAACAAACTACAATAAACTTGTTTTGCTTCTTGAAGCCGAAATTATGTGTCAGAAAATGACCAATTTGATTGAATAACACATAAAAATTTGGTTTAAGCTTATTACTGGTGTTTTTGCTGCGGTTAAGGTTCTCTGCTTGTTACGAAATGGAAGAAACTTTAAATGCTTCGAATTGTCTATCAGCATTGATTATTAATAGCTTGACGGATACAATTGTGATAAAGCTTAAGAACTTACTCTGCAAATCCACGTAAACTTTTACGTATCAAACGAATTTCACCACAAAAGACGTAAATCATTTCCAATTCCGTATCTCCTGATTATTCTACTTAAAAATTATGAAACTCTATCAATTTTATGGAATTAACTTTTATCTTTTTAATGAGTCACATTGAAGAATTCCTGATATCAAACAATCAACTTAATCAAGCTTTGTGGCAAAACTTGATAAAGTCTTTGGAATCCAGATATAAATCAACTTTCTTTTCTGTCTCGATTGTTATCTTTATGTTCATTGACTTTATATCGAAATTAAGTGATTTAGTGATTTACTGGTGAGTTTCTGATACTTTTTTCTCCAGGAACTTGTTGAAATTTCCAGTATGCGTCAATGAAAAATAATTTTCCGTAGCTTTTCATTGTTCCGTGTCACATACAATTTAGATAACACGGTTTTAAGGCGACTTCTGATAGTAATTACAAGTGACAATGGGAAAAAATATTAATTACAGCTTTTCACTAAGCCTGAACAGAATTTCTGTTGTTATTAACATGAATCTTGATGCACAAACAGTGTTCCCATAAAATTATCAGCGTAATTAAACATGAGATTATCTAATAGAAAAATGTATTGTGGATATGGGAAAAAATGAGAATTGTACCTGACTGGAATTTTGTGACTTTAAAGCACAAAAGGTCACCAATTTTAATGATCAAACAGGAAATTGATTAATCCAAACTGTTTTCCATGTGAGCAAGCAATTCACATGCGTTTTTAATAACAATGAAATAAGTGATTATACATAACATGAACACCGCACATTCAATCCAAAATTTTATTACATTTTTGGCTAATTTAAACATAAGGAACAAGAAGAATTAAATTAGTCCGTGCGTAATTGCTCAATCAAGGCACTCGGATCAGTTGCAATAATTATGAGAATCATTCACAAGCTTTAAAGTCTATAACATCATCTTAAATCATATTTCAAGTGCACTCATGACAGTATAAAGGCAAATAAGTACACAATACTTTTCTCAAATCTTGCAAATTGACACATTGCTTCACTGGCGATATACACAGCACATTAATTAATTGATTGATTGGCGTCACAATCATACACTTATTTCATTAATCATAAAACTTCTCTCTTGTGTAGCTTTTTGAATGACTTAATTAAGCTTATAAAACGAATATTTATTATTTAACGGCTTTTTTAAAATTTGAACTATCCCGCAGTTTTTCTTCAATTTGTTTACTAATTTTTCAATTGAAATTGCTCAACAATTTTCTTTTTTGCTGTAATTAATAGAATAGCTTTAAATATCATAAATATTTTATTAATTAAGCAAATGTGAAAAATTTACTAAATTCTCAGCATTAATTAAGGCACAAAGGAAGGAAAAAATAATTAATGAATGCATCTTTTGATTCATGAAAATAGGTGATGATGATAAATTATCAGTTTTACCGGCATCAACAACTGGCTCGTTAAGCTCAATTACAACGACTTCTTTAGTTTCAGAAAAGGATCTCGCAGGTGGTGGAAGTAGTGATGGAGGAGCGAGTGAACGAGGTGATGATAAAGGGGAGAAGCAGTTAATTGGAATTCAGCATGAAAAGTGGTGGCAAACCACGATTCAAGTGTCTATTCCATTCTTTATTGCTGGAATCGGAACCATCGGAGCAGGTATCATTCTAGGAAGAGTTGAGGTGAGCTATTAAATCCTTTTACTGGATCTTTTCTTCATATTTGACATTAGGGAAGCGGGTTATTGATAACTGTTGGTCTTGACCGAATTATGAGTAATATATTAAAGCATTAAATTCAACCTTTATGAAAAATAGTAGATTAAGACTTAATCGAAAATGAGCACATACATTACTTTTATTATTATGAAGCAAAGTTAATGTTTTTAAATTAAAAATTATGTGAAGCATAATAATGTTGGCATTTTTGGTTTAGACAAACCACATGATTATCGGGACAAGCACTTACTTCCTTGCAATAAATTAATTCGTAATAAAAACACAAATAGCCTTCAAAGAAACCACTCAACAATCTACCTAGAAGTATATCAAGGAACTAGAAGCTGTAATCACACAACAGTTCTTCATATTTTTCATTTTAAGCTATCAGCTAGTTCCATGTCAAGGCAACTTATTTCTCTTTTTATTTCTTTCTTTTATCACCCTGTGAACCTTGAAATCCATTAATCCTCAAAATATGCGAATGTTTAGAACAAAGGAGGTTCCAATGCTGCTCATTTTGAATTCTTAAGTATTTTCGATAGGGTAAGCGAAAAATTGGCAACGACTTGCGTTTTTTTTGTTGGTTTAAAGTCCATAATAAAATTCCGAAAAGAACCTCACAAGCATTTTAAGTCATAAATTGCAGTATCAACTTAGTTTCCATTATTCTTTAAAAGTCTTCCCTGAAGTGTGATGACGTAAAGTCATTAAATATACTAACAAGAGTGCCGTGCTTTGGGAATTTTTTTAATCGAGTGTTTGCTTACCGGCTTGGCTTTATTTTTATAACTTTTTTTTCATCGTCTTAGTCATTATAATTGCATCACTATTAATTAGTTCCGATCAATTACTCGACATCCATTTGAAAGGCATTTAGAATGTCAAGCTACTAACCCGAAAATAATTTTTAAATTCTATTTTCAACAGCACTGGGAAGTTTTTCGTCATATTCCGCAACTATTTATTCTTGTTCCTGCATTATTGGGTTTAAAAGGAAATTTGGACATGACACTAGCATCTCGACTATCAACACAGGCTAATTTGGGAAATATGTCATCAGGAAAGGAAATCGTACATATGGTCGTGGGAAATATTGCTCTGGTACAAGTTCAGGCGACTGTGGCTGCATTTATAGTTTCTATATTTTCAATGGGTGTTGGAACGGCAACAAATGGTGGACATTTTGATTTTGATCATGCACTTCTTCTAACGTCATCTGCAATGTTTACAGCGACATCGTCTTGTTTTGTCTTAGGTAAGAAACATCGTCAATAAATTGTAATTTAATATGTTTTGGTATATCCAATTACGTGTGATTATCGTATAATACAGAATAATTAGTCTTATAGCTTAATGCTAAATATTAATGAGTTGATTATGAGGCAAAAAAATGTAATGCGCGTGGATGAAGCAATAAATACGCTAGATAAGCAATTTTCAGGCATCACGTGAACACATGCAGATCAATTATGGCTTATACTGTAGAAAAGACTGTTATTCTGTTATCAATAATTATCGAAGTTGTCGGTTGTCAGTTTTTTGGTAATTAATTATATTTACTTTAATTCCATTTACAGATTTTGTTTTAGTAGCTGTGATTTTACTATCAAATAAATATAAAGTGAATCCTGATAATATGGCAACTCCACTAGCTGCGTCGATTGGAGATCTCGTTTCTATCGCGATGCTCAGTTTTATCACATCAATTCTTTTTGCTAATTTGGGTAATTAATTCTTATTACTCTCATGTACGCTTTAATTATGTTAATTAACACAATTTTTTCTTTGTTACTTCTTCTTGTTACTACACATTAACAGACACAGCATTATGGATAACTTATATCGTGATTGGTTGCTATTTCCTATTGTTACCTTTCTGGATAATGTTAGTATTACGTAATCGATATACACGACCAGTATTAAAAAATGGATGGGTTCCTGTTTTATCAGCATTGTTCATCAGCGGGTACGTCTCAAACTTGCTCTTTTTAACGGTTTTTTTTTTCAAATTTGAATCTTAAAAAGCCATTAAAAATTCATACTTTAACGCTATGTTAATGCCTGATTTTCTTCCTTAATTAGAATGGGTGGACTAGTGTTGGAGCAAGCAGTCGACAACTTCAGTGGATTTGTTGTGTTCCAGCCAATCATCAATGGAATTGGTGGTAATTTGGTATCTGTACAAGCGAGTAAAATATCAACGATGCTTCATCAAAGCTCACTTCTTGGAATCGTTCCTCCACATACAAAAATTTTCGAAATGCCTTGGCGAGCATTGTTCCATGGAACTCCATATTCAAAGACAGCCCGCATTCTCATTTTAATGTCAATTCCGGGTCAGGTGCTGTTCATATTTATAGCCGATTATATTCACATGTCTTCGTCTACAATTGGTGTCCCGTTTGTACTCTCATATTCAACAGTTAGCTTAATTCAGGTAAGGAATTAACGTCCATCACTTGAGTTCTTCTTATCTGACTTTTCTCATTCACAGATAATGTTACTTCTCTTTATTGCACACGTTATGATACATGCAATGTGGAGGTTTAAGATTGATCCTGACAGTTCGTCAATCCCGTATTTAACGGCACTCGGCGATCTGTTTGGCTCCAGTCTTTTGCTGCTTGCATTTATGTTCTTACGACATATTGGGCACGAGTATGAAGAAAGACCTGCTCCAATGTTGGATGATTTCCTGTCAACAATTAATCCTTTTACTGATTCTTCAATCTAAATTCTAAGTTCCTTTAAACATTTAAATTACCTTTCTTTCCTGCTTAATCGTTGAAAGAAGATTGGTCATGCTACAATGTCTTTCCATTAATTATTTTTTTTTTTCAAATTTTTGAAAACCGTTACGTATTTTAAAATTCAAAAAGGTGTTGATCGAGATTTTATGTTATTGGAAACTTATATCTTCGGAAATTGACGAAATTTCGACCTTTTGAACCACATTTAAGTTGATACTCAACTGAGATATTTTCAATGAAAATGCCTTTTTTGTTCAAGAACAAGTTTTAATATTCAAATAAAAAGTACCAAGATTTTATTAAAGTCCCTACAAAATGGAAAGACATTAGTTCCGATTGTATTGCTGACGTAATTAATCAAGTTAATTGTAGATAATATATTATGAAAACTTACTATTGAGAGCATTTAGACGCCGAAAACCCAAACAAAACAGAAATATCGAAGCAATTTTATGCATAAACAACTATCAATGATGACGGAATATGTGTCCTTAGCGAGAAAAAAAGTTACTTGTATGTAAATTGATTGATTGAAAAGTTTACAGATTTTTATTTTTCATTTTCTTGAACTTCTTGTCTTCTGTCCTCTCAAAAATTGATGATGAATGCTACCTATGCAGTATAAAATGTTCTGCTCGGGCTACTTAACTTGGCATTCGTCTGTTTAGTACACAATTAAAAGGCCAAAGTTCTAATAAGTGAATTAAGAACACTTGTTTTTTATAAATGATATTAAATATTTTAAGAGAACATTTATGTTTCATGTCTCCTTGTTCTCTTCCCTTTAGCATTATTAAGGATGTATTTTTTTCTTTGACTTTTCTTTTATCACACGTGGTCAGTCAGCGTATCCAGAAATTCTTCATTTATAACGGTTTTTGAGAATTCAAATCTTCGTTTAAAATTCAAATTTAAAAAGTTCGTTAAAATTCAACTTTGAAAAACAAAACGCTCCTAATTGGATATGCCCTGGCTTAATCTGTGTTTGTAACGCAATATCCAGTGATTTATATTTTAAGTTAGCCTCTTGAAACCTTGAAAAGGAAAGAATTTGTATAAAAAATAATGTACTATTGATAATTTTTGAGAAAAAAAGTGCCGAGAATATTTGACTTTAGTTTGTACAACTTACTTTTCATTTAATTATAATTTATGAGAATTGGAATAAAAAATTTTTTGTTTCATTTTTTTATGAAATTATTTCCTGTATTTTTATTTATTCACTTGTTCTGTTAATTGTGCTGTTTTACTTAATTTGTTAAATGTTTAGCTTAATACTACTGTGGAGGTTCCAATAAGTTTTCTGTACGAGGAAGCTTCTTTCATTAGCCTAAAGTCTTGACTGAAAATTATAAATTAACGGATTTTAAAAATTTGAATTCAAAATTTAACGGTTTTTAAACGAAATTTCAAAGTTATAGTGCATAGTGGCATAGACTCGTCGCGTTTCAAGAATTCTAAAAATGTCCATTAATTGAACTTGCTGCATGTCTTAATCACGTGTTTCTCAACAATGTTTCAATTCGTGCTATTCATAATACTTGCAAAAACTAAGAAAAGTCGAGAAATGTGCACGATTGTGATGAAACCATTTAAAAATGAGCAAAAATTGTGATTTAATAGTCTAATGAGTTACCTAAAAATCGCACAATGCAAACTCCTTTGTGATTTTGACACAGCTTCATTATATGAACACCTGATTTTCGTTTGAGTCTTGCAACCGGATCGAATTTTTTATTGTCTTTTTATGGATATTAATAAAACGCGTCAACATATTCGAGGATGTTTGAGTGAATCCGTTTCATAATTCAATGACAAACGCAGTTTGTAGTTTTAATTTGTTTATCTAAGCAAGACTTAATATTAACTGAAAATTTTAACGGATATGAAAAAATCAAAAAGTCAAAAACCATACAATTGTTTCATAAAACCACACAAACTATTAAAATTGTATGGTTTTGTATTTTCAAATAAAATTTTAATCGTTTTTCAAGTTTAATATTTGGAACCTCCTTTTTTATAGAAATAATGCATTGAAGACTAATTAGAATAATTAATGGAAGTGGAAGGAAAATAAAATGATAAACGAATGCAGTTTTAATGAAAATTCTTTATCTTCACAAGAAAATGATGATTGAATACCTGCACACATGAATGAAAAAATTGATGCATGACAATAAATTTGCTCCGATGAAAAAAAATTAAACTGCATAAAAAATCAATTTAAATTCAATTAAAAAACGATGAAATGCAATCGATTAAAAATCCAGCATGTGGTATTAATAAACTAAAAGGAGAGAATCTTAAAGTCAACTAAAATATACAATCAGAAATGAAATTATGAACGAGAAAATAAACTTATCTAACGTAGTTCATTGTGATCAATCAATTTTTTCCTTAAATAGCATGAATTGAAAATTGAAGGAGTTATTTTGAGTGATAATACGAAAGAATGAATAGAATAGAAACTTGAGATAAATCCGATAAATCTCTAAATACGGAAGACTAAAGCGCATTTTTGTCTCAACATTAATTACATTATTAACCGGATATTAACGATTTTTAACGGTTTTGCAAAATTCAAATGTTTAAAAACCTTAAAAATTCCATTAAAACCATACAAATGTTTTAAAATGTATGTTAATCCAATAATCAGCAAATGGATACAAAAAGTCAATAATGTATTGGCAAAAATGCGCAATAAAATTTGTTAAACATGTTGAATGAGAATTTAGAGATAATAATCAATATATACATATATTTTTTCAAGAAACGGAACAGAATAAATCGCAAAAGATTAGAATAGGACCTAAAGAACATATATGAATAACTTTATTGATTCCGTTTTTAATATTATACACTCAAAAATCTGAGGAAAAAATATAAATTGATTTAAATAAGGTTCAATAAAAGATGTCAGACTAATTAAAAATTAAAAAGTGGTTTTTATTGGTTAATTAATTAATGGAATCAACAAACTGAACATCGAGAAATGAAATTAAATAAGAATTAAATTGTGTTTGTTTACTTTGCTGCATTTAAGAAGCACTCAAATATTGTTTTCTCCTCGTCTGGTATTGAATTGTTGTTTATGGCATTTTCCAGTGCTGCTCGACATGACTTTATATCATATTTTGGTTTAAACATTTTCTCTTCAGATTTCAGCAAGCCCAGCTGAATCAGAAAAAAGTTTCTGACGCTCTTAAGCTGCAAATAACAAGAATTATAAACACTTTTACAAGGATTATAAAGAACAGACAATAAACTTACACGATCTTTGGTTTTGGCGTATTCAAAAGCCTCTTTGAACAGCTCTAAAGCAATCTGTTGTGCTTCTTTGGACTCTTCACTAATTGACGAAAGTTTAAGTATTGTAAAGACAAGATGTGTCAAGTAATCATCTTCTGTTGCATTTGATAGAAAGTCTTTAATGGCAATCAATTTATCTTCATCCGTAATCTTTTCGAAATCAACAAGTTTTGGTTCCTTTGCATTGCAAAACTCAGCAACTGGATCATCCTCATCGATTTTTGTACTGTTCAGTAATATACTATTGTCTAGTGATGTCTCAAACTTACTTTCTGAAAGATTCGAAACTCCTGTAATGACAACTTCTTCGTCGTCCTCGTTTTCCTCCTCATAATCTTCTTCTGTTTAAATAATAGAGTTAAAGTAAAATTAAATTTAATACACTTTATGCAGAAAAAAAATACTTTATATTTATAAAATTAGAACTTACCTTCTTCTCCTTCTTCAGTCTCATCGTTTTCCTCGTCACAATCTTCATCGTCTGCTAATCCTTCATCATCCTCGATACTCAAAACATCTAATTTGCCAAAATCTTCCATAATTTGTTGGATTTGCTCGACACCTTCATCCCCAAATTGATTAGAATCAAGAAGGAATTTTTTCAGACTTTCTTTTGGGCCCATAGAGTTGGCAAGTGCTATTCCAACTTCTGGACCGATTTCGTTTCCACTCAAATTAACAACTTCAAGATCTGGATGACAATCGGCAAGGACATCACTTAATGTCTGTCCACCTTCATCTTTTAGCAGACAATCGCCTAAATTAATCTCAATCAAGTTTTCAATGGCATAAAATGCTTCAGCTAGCACTTCTGCACCTCTCGATGTTATTGTATTATCATTAAAATTGATGATTTTCATGTTAGGATTTTTCTTTAAAGCTTCAGCTAATGCAGCCATTCCTTGATGATAAATACCATTTTGTGGAATAGTAATCTCCTCAAGTGTCTGAATGTCTTCGAAAACAGCTGAAAGTGCTTTAGCTCCATCATTTTCAAGACGATTTCTGCCTGCAGCGAAAACTTTCAGTTCCATTGGCTTTCCAGCAATAACACTTCCTTTGTAGCATTCTCCTAATGATTTTGCAAGCATCTTTGCTCCTGTTATGCCTAATCCACAATTCATTAATCTCAATTCTTCCAAAGAATAACATGATGAGCTTTTAATGAGATCAACTAATCCAGTCATTCCGTTTGGTCCTAAAGCATTATCGCTCAAATCCAACACAGTTAATTGTGCATTTGCAAACATGATGCCTTGAGAAAGATCAATAAGTGCTGGTGGAATTTCAGTTTTCATTCTTCCGGTAAATAAATCTTTCCAAATAGCTCGTTTGAATTCTGGATGTTTCTTTAATGCCTCTCCAATATGTTTTGCTGCCTCACATCCTAATGTATTACCCTCCAAGTTCAAGAAATTGAGATGTGGACACTTATTTATAGCTTCAACTACTTCCTTAACTACATTTTCGATGAAAAAGATTGAATTAATTTTTGAAATGTCAAACTATACCACGTTTATTTACCATTTTCTTCTGTTTCCCATTTTCTCGCTAATCCAACGAATGAAACGCCTTTCGTATCATCCGAGACATCTTGTAATGCATCACTTACACTCGATAAATTGAATAAAGCCATTGTATTTCGTTGATAATTTATATAATTAATTTTACGTGAATTTTTGTTCCTAATTCTTTTAAGTAGTAAACAAAATTTTTGCGCAAAAATTTTCAAATATTTTTCAACCGTTAATTTTTTTACCGACACGTGAACTGAATTTTAAGGAGTTTAGAACACTACCTACTAAGAAATAACTAGTTTAATTATGTTTAAATAAATTTATTTGTAATGAATACAAAAAGCAGAAAAAATAAGCTTTTCACATAAAATTTCTTTGATAATAATAAATTAATTCTAGCTGTTTTTCTTATTTTCTTTTCAATAAAACTGTATGAAAAATGTCGTCGATCCATCACGATAACCAGGATTATCTTGATCTATTTTCGCTCTACATAATGGACACGTTGAGTTCGAACGATCTAACCAGCCCAAAAGACACAACTCGCAGAAAATGTGATTACATTCATTCAGAATAACCGGATCAACATAAGAGTCATGGCAAATTGGACAAGTTCCACCTGATAGCAACAAAAAAGACTCATTTAAGTGTCGTTAGTGACGAAAAAAATATTGAGTATTTATTACCTGCAGCTTGAATTTGTTCCTTTGTCGGTGTTGTTCCAAACGACTAAAATATATAAAAACAAAGATGTGTGAGCACATGATAAGAACTGAAGCCATAAACATGCTTTTTACCGTTTTCTGGAGGAATTTTATGAACGATCGCTTCAAAAACTTGATACGTTGTAACAAGTCAGATCCTTTGGCTACAATATATGCTGCTGACAAAATAACTCCCATTATTTTTTCTGTGCCTTTATAGCTTTCTAATAGGAAGGTCAACCTAAATGAAAATAAACAATTTTTTTATATTTGTGATTTTAGAAATTCAAGTCAATATTATATTGTATGTACACATGTGATGTCATGTTTAATGTCTGTTTTTTTTTTTGTGAATTATCTGCGATAATCACTTTCTGCTTTGTGTATGAAGCTAAAATGCGAAAACATTATCATACAAGTTTTCGAAAGAAGTTCAAAAGAATGCTTAATAATCACAGTAGTAGTCACAGCCAATTAATATTCTTTTCGTCATTCTCAGTCAGTTTGCATCATCCATGATGTTTGTTTTTATTTACTAATTATAGTGATTGCACTTGGGGGGTCAACGATTTAAATAGATTAGGTTTGAGAAGAATAACGATTTTCTACTTTTTAAATGTCTGAAAACCTAACAAATTCGTAAACATTCTTGAAAACCCTTCGACAGCAAAATTAAATTTTTGTAAGGTTTTAAAGCTAATAAATTAAAAGAATCAAAGACCCCCGGTATCATTGAGAATAAAAGAATGAAATTACCATAACTGAATGGGTACCAAAGCTCGATAGAGTTGAGAAAAAGCTTCAATAAGCAAATATACACGACCCTAATAAAAGAGAACAAATAAATTGAATTGAATTAATAAGAAATCTTGAAACAAGCGAGTTGCAAAATTCACTTACTCTATTTTTAAATTCAACGCAACGTCGAGGCAGCATAGTGAAGAGAATCTTGACAGCAACAGTAAATAGTTTGAGAATGAGATCGGTTATTATAACGCTAAATAGTAAATCTTTTAATGCCAATTGCTTCTCTTCTGGTGGTATATTGAGAGGTGCGAAGAACAGACTAATACTATTTTCCTTCTTTTCCAACAAGAATGCGATAATTGTAACGACAAGAATAATATAGAGAAGTTCTCGAATTAAATAGAGGAAGCGTCGTTGCGCTTGTTTTGTTATTTCCTGCTTTAGGGTAAAATTTGAGTGTGCAAAAACAATGAAGAGTGCAAAAATATCCAAAAGTCCATCCAAATGATCATAACATGTTTTAGCAAATAAAATGCAGACATAAGGAAAATATCGACTAACGGTGTTGATTAATGCCCTCGCTTCTGGTATTTGTGCTAAGTTATCAGAATTTCCATCAACTGCATTTGCCTCATCGCCAGTTCCATTATTATTATTATTATTATTGCTACTATTAATATTTGTTGGGTCAGTGCCTAGTTGCAGCGATGTTCTCGACTGATTAACACTCGACGATTCCAAGTCGTTACTTTCTGTACTCGTTCGTGCTGGTGCTGAATTTTGCCGATTGTATGATGTTGAAGGGGATCCAATGTTAATTATTACACTAGATGTGTCATTTGTAGCTACGTCCTGTCGATTGTTATTGTCTGTTGTGGAATGTTGTTCCTCATTATTAGCAGTTGTATTTACACTCTGTAGACTTGATCTCATCCACGACGCAAATGGTGCATTTGAAGTGGTTGTATTCACGAGTGGTCTAATTTCTTGAAAAACCTTCAATAGAACAGCAAAAAATAAAGCAAGAATGAGATATACATAGATATAATTAGATGTTCATGTATTCAAGAGCAAGCACAAAATGGCAAAACTGTATCGATTACGATTTATTTGTCACAAAATTTGCGACCGATTTCAATGACATTGAACTTACGTTGCTTAAATAACTTACGTTATTTAATATTATATTTCTATTTATCCGGAATGGGAATATGTTATTTAAGGAGCGATTACTTCCAATCGACGAGTTCATTTCATTTTCATTGTTCTCCTGACTATTGCTAGCATTATTATTAACAAGACTACTGGATGAAGAAATAACTGATGTCAAATTATTTGTACTACTTCCTTCTTGTGCGCTTTCTTGTGGATTGGAAGACATTCTCACTATTTCACTATATCCGTTTCGTTTCTTATATTCACAGGCTATTAAAATATGTATTAACAAACAATCTGTGTGATATAAACTTATGTGAACATTTTTTTTATCAAATTTTTTTTCGAGTGAAAGTTTCTGTCTTTCTTCCTCTTTATTATCACTATTATTAAAACTTCTCACGTATGCACACAATTGCACTATAATTAAACAATTTAGGAATGCTGGTTTGTTGTGTTCGGCAACAAAATAACGAGTAATACTAAGAATAAACTGTAGAAAAAAACACTTTTTAAATTAATACGAAATATTTTTATTATTATTTGGTTTTCTTCTCTTTCTACTTCCGCGCTGCATTTGGGATGCTCTTATTATGATTCATTGTGTTGACTTCGTGATACAGTATCAATACATTTTCAATTTGATTTTAAAATAAAAAATCTTTTTGCTGTTGAATTGTTTTCGAACAAGAATTTGTATGTTTTTGATAATTCAACGGCTGTTTTAAGGTTTTATAATTTGAATTTTAAAAGACTGTTAAAGTCAACAAAATTTGGTTTTTGGAGGCTCAACGTGGTGCAATTGTTTTTTGACTATGCATTTTTTTTTGTAATGTAGGGCTTGTTGATAAAACCTATCCAATGATACTAAACATGACCGAGTGTCATCAACAACAGTGGAAGCTCATAATTCATATTCATTCGACTTTTATTCTTTAAAGACATGAACGTGTAACCTGCAGTAAAAATATAAACAACCTTTCTACAATCAACAGGATTTATTTTAATCCAATGATTTAACTGAGTTTCAAATTTCATGCTGTAACGGTTTTTTACTAAGAAGCAGCATGGGAATCTAAACATTATGTGTCAAGGGCATAAAGTGAGTTTATTTATGATATTATTGGCAATGATAAAATTTAAATAATAAATCCTGACGTGCTTTTAAAAAGAATTATAATTTGTTTATGATGTAGAAATAATTAAATGATTCCACGAATCAGGGATATTCTTGGAACTGTTTGGAACAAGGTGTGTTTTCCCATTTAAAGATTTTAATGGGAATTTTAAATCAAATTTTAGCTAGAACTATTTTTTTGTCTAAGTTTGTTGGATAGCAATAAATTTTAAATCCATTCCTAAACGATGAAATCGCACAATTTACAACAATATGTCAATATTGTACAAATGATATGACTTCTAGATATCAACTCCTTCAAAACCAAATAGTATTATTTTATTAAATGCATTGGCAATATTTTGTCATTTACAACAATGAAAACAAGATAAGAGAGAGATTATTTTATATGAGGCATTAAAACTTTGAATTGACATAGAAGATAAGAGACTTGCTAAAAAGTTTACAGGTGATTTTCAAGTCAGTATCGTTTAAAGTCTTAAAGGAGTCGGAAGAAAAAAAGAATCGGGGAAATAAAAATGTTAAATCCAAGAGTTGTAAAAGTTTTTAAGACTCATTTGCTTACAATTACGACAGTGTTGGCAGTGATTTTAAGTATAATTGTTGGTATATCAATGAGATTTACTCATGAAGGTGGATATAATGCACGTACAGTTATGTACGTTAATTTTTTGGGTGATTTATTTTTACGAATGATAAGAGCAATTATCTTGCCATTAATTATATCATCCCTAATTGCTGCCATTGCGCCACTTGACATATCACTTAGTAAAAAAATTGGAATGCGAGCAATTATTTATATCCTTGCGACTACCGTCTTTGCCGTTATTTTGGGTATTGTTTTAGTGCTCACAATAAAACCTGGTGGGAAAGGAATTGAGGATGCAAGCAATCCAGGTGAAAAAACTCGTAAAGCAAGCACAATCACAGACACTTTATTGGACTTGATTAGGTCAGTATTGTTGTTTTTAAAAAAATCAAGTCGTAAACACTCGAAAAAAAATAATCGGAAAGCTGTTAACGCCTTGATTTTTTGCAAATAACATAAAAATGGATAGAACGTCTAAATAATATCCAAATAATCCTGAACGTAGAAATGTGTTTCCCCCAAATGTTGTTCAAGCAACTCTGCAAACTTACCAAACAACTTTGACAGCACCAAAAGATAATCCCAACGCAGATGTCAATGATTGGATCATATCACATAATTATGTTGATGGCACTAATATGTTGGGTATAGTAGCCGTTTCGATTATTTTTGCAATCACAATGAGTACAATAAGAGATAAAGTTCCAAACTTAATTGAAGTTATTTTGGAGTTTATGCAAGTTATGATGAAGATTATTCAGGCAGTCATTTGGTTGACTCCAGTTGGAGTGTTCTTCCTTATACTTGCCAAATTTATGGAGATGGATAATATTCTTGATGTTTTTGAAAAGCTAGGTCTTTATCTAGCTACCGTCTCGATTGGAATTTTCATCCAAGGATTTATATTTCTACCAGCTGTGTATTTCGCATTTACCAGAAAGAATCCGCTCAAGTTTATTGGATATATGGGACCTGCAATTTTAACAGCTCTCGGTACATCAAGTTCCTTAGCTACATTGCCTGTGTCATTAAAATGTGTTGAAGAAAAGGCAAAAATTGATGTGAGGGTCTCACGATTTATGTTGCCTCTTGGAGCTACCATAAATATGAATGGTAAAGTTTTTAAATTCCAAAAATAATCCCTCCCCCTTTCAATGAATGTGAATTACCCCCTGATCCGCTCCACTTAATAATTTAATGCTTTGTATTTTAAATAGGCACCGCTCTTTATGAAGCTGTTGCTGCGATCTTTATAGCACAGCTGAGACAGATAGACTTGTCTATAGGAAATGTCATCGCAGTCTGGTAAATATTTCTATCATATTCACACAAAATTTTCAATTTTTGTGAATATATTGTTTTTGGTTTTTCGGAAAATCAGTTTTTTTAACTTTCTGCTTCAGGCTTACGAAATCAACCCAAATACCTGATATGTAAAAGTTTGTGCCTCGAAATACCTATCTAACGGCGAAAACAATTTTTCATTTGGCAGTTCCAGTTCCGAGAAATCGCAAAAAAAGGCATTCTGTTAAATAATCGGTGCGATAACTCGATTCAAACTCAATATTAAGACTTCCGGTTTTTGCTTCTGATAGATAATTGCTATGGCAAGAACTGTTTTGTTTTTGGAGTCATAATATGCTTCCAGTGAGGCACAAGATGCATAAACATTTTTGTATGGGAAAAGTTTAACCGATTATTACATAACATATTTATTTTTTGTTTACAACGGAAATATTTGTTGGTTGTAGTTTGATATTAGTAAAATGGTTGTGACAGTATGCATTAAGTTAAATGTATGTGAAAAAATGTTGGAACTAGCGAGTTCCTTCACAAGATTCAGCTTACTGGATCTATGTTATTAAATACAAACTTTATTTGTATCATAATGGAAATATTTTTTTTTGGTTTAATTCTTGATTTTTTTTCCTGCTCGATTATTTTGTTTTTATTCCAAACAGGACTTATACTTACTGGATCTTGGTTCCAACGATAGCACAATTTCAATTTCTACTTTCACAATGTTTATTAAATGATACATAATATAATTAAATAATTCAATCAATTTTTCACAATGATTTCTCACTTTCAACAAATTTTCAAAGTTCACTACGAACTTTTTCTTATTTCTTAATTATAAAAAAAATTCACTTTACAATTTACTGGATCTTGGTTTTAAGTTTCAGATATGCTTAAAACTTTACTGGATGTTGGTTTTAAGTTTCAGACAGGATTAAAACTTTACTGGATCTTGGTTTATAGTTTCAGACATGATTAAACCTTTACTGGATCTTGTTTTCAAGCTTTAGACATGATTAAAACTTTACTGGATCTTGGTAATTTGGTGCAGACATGATTGAAACTCTACTGGATCTTGGTTTTAAGTTTCAGACATGATTGAAACTTTACTGGATCTTGGTTCCAAATTTCAGACATGCTTAAAACTTTACTGAATCATGACAATTTGTTGCAGAAATGATTAAAACTCTACTGTATCTTGTTTTCAAGTTCAGCAAAATGTTGATATTAAGTCTTACATTTTATTGAGAGAAGATTTTTCAAGATTTTCTGAACAATGCATAGAGAGTTCTATAGGATTGTGTGAATATTCCCATGAAGCGTGATCGGCTTCATTACTAGTTTTTCTCTCGTTTTTGGGCGTGAGAAAAAACTCATTTACATATTGTTTGGTATTTAAATTCAATTCTTAAGAATTAGTAGTCAATTGAGTTGAATGATCTTGAGTTTATTGGTCACTTTTAAAGGTTCTTACTGTCTTTTAACTTTTCTGGGATGAATTCTTTTGTTATCCTACAAAAGTTATGCAATTTTAAAGATCCTTCTATTGATACACAACACGTGAGCATTCTCTTTGATTTTCCGATAATATTTTTTTTAACTCAGCATAACTGCAACGTGTGCATCAATTGGAACAGCTGGCGTGCCACAAGTAAGTGCCACGATAGACTTATTAATATGAATCAAAACTGTTGCTCGCATTTGTATTTAACTACTGAAAACTCAATCTTTCAGGCAGGCTTAATCACTTTAGTTATGGTTCTAGACTCAATCGGAATTCCAGCACAAGACATCTCATTAATCATCGCCATTGATTGGATTGTGTAAATTCAAATAATTTATTCTTGTTTATGAAAATTTAAATACAATTTAAAACTTCTGCAGGAACCGATTTAGAGCATGTGTAAATATTTTGGGTGATGCTTATGGAGCTGCGATTATTGAAGCAATAAGCAAAAAGGAACTCGACAGTTTGCCAATTTGTGAAACAGATGTAAAAGATGATTCGAATAATAACAGCAATCAAGCAGTTACAAAGCTTTAAATTTGACATTTTAAGAATGATAAGGATACAAATTATTATTTTTTAAGCTTCTGAGAAAATCAGTTTAATGATTGATTGGAGTAATAACTGTAGAAAATAAATGTAATCTTTAAATAATTGACACGAGGATTAAGCACGTGATATGAGAAGCTTTTACTCCCGGTTAATTAAAGAATAGATTTATTTCAACAAGTTGTACATACGCTAACAAAGATAATGATAATTAAGGTAATAAAATGTATATCTAGAGTTTGAAGTCACTTGAGATCTTGGGGAATTTTGATCAAAAGATATACGGAATGTTCTTGTGACGCCTTAATTTTTTTGTGCAAATTCTCATCCCGTGACTCGTTGTGCTTGTAATAAACAGAAATAAAAAAAACCCGTTATTGATATAAAAAAATCGTGAATTATCGATGCTTGATATAGCTCCACTCAACGTTTCTGAAATCTTAATAGTAGGAACTTTAAACCCCACCAATTAAAAAGTATTTAATCTTTCTTTCACGGCTGATAGTGATACACTTTTTATTAATTCAATAGATGTTCCATAAAGAATGATAAAATGTAATTTATTACCAGTTATGACAGTCCTCAAAAAAACAATTTTTTCCAGTCACATTTTGTCATCAGTTCCGACCTTCATCAACGTTTGTTGCGTTTCTACAGTTGAGTGTATTAATTACATCCCGTCCTGGACAAAGACAAATATGAAATTAGAAAATGGGAATAAAGTTATGTTTTGAGTGCTGACAGTACTCTTGATCTTGTCAATTATAGACTAAGCATACAGAGATTTCAACAGCTTTTAAGAGCTCATATCTTTTGAATTTTTTATGATTCAAGGATCAATATAAAGCTGGCTTTAGGACCAAAAAGTCCAGTCTCTTAATTAATCAACTCACTTTTTCGACCAGACGAAGCTTTTGTGGTAGTTGTTGTACGATTGCGATGTCCATTTCCTTCTCCAGAATTTCCCTTACATTCAGCATCATCAATCAAAAGCACTGCAAAAATTGCAAGAATACCAAGACAAAGAATAACTTTATTTATTTCTGAAGGAACTTAGTCACACTTTATCTGACTGGAAATATTTATGATGTGTGATATGAAGTAACAATGAACTTTTATACTCTATAATTGTAGTAAAAAAAGTACTTTAAAGCACAATCAAAATTGTTTGTCAAATGATGATGACAAAAGTGTTATTGTTTCCTGTCAGTTCCGAGACTTTTTATGTTTACTTATTTTTCTTTTAGTGACTCAATTCTACCATAAAATTAGTAAATAAGAGGCTCATATACCTCTCATCCCTTAATAGTGGCAGAAGAATCCTTAACAGTACTCGATAGGTTTTTGTTTTTTTTTCGCAATCACAAGACATTCTTGGAAATTCCCAAATTTTATGTCAATGACTTTGCAATGCTAAAAATAACATAACACTAGAATTCCAATTTTAAAAATAAACATATGGGATGACACAAATATTAATGGATTCAAAAACATTTTATTTATTTAACTTGTTAACAGAAAAATTTGATAAAAAACATGAAAACAGCACCAGACAGTCTGTGTTATCCAAAAGTTCCATTCAAAAAGATTCCACATGCGTTTCCAAAGACATTTGGCAAAATTGTATTAGTCAGCACGTTGAGGACAGTGTTGTTTGGTTGAATTTGAAGATTATTCAAAGTTCTCGAAGGTACAAAGCCATTCGAGGCATAGAAGTAATGACAAATGACAGAAGTCAAGAAGAATTGAAAAATCAGTATTAATCTAAGTTTGATACAAATACACATCGTTGCTGTTCCACTTTTATGAATGACATTTCAGTTAGCAACCAAAGTGACTAAAAGCTTAGATAAACAATTCGTTATGTTGAAGAGCTAATTAGGTATGCATCGTTAGAATCAATAATGGTGGTTCAAAAAAAGCATGAGGTTTTTCCGGAATAACAGATTATCTTTTCAATAGAACTTATTAAGTAAAGTGCTAATCTAACAAATGTTTACTCAAGATGATCAATGGACGGAACGTTATACAGTTTATCCAATTGTTCTGTTGAGGAATATTCCACTTGCATTACCGTAGACATTTGGTATTATCTGATTAGTATAAGTATTGACGACAGTATTATTTGGCTGGATCTGTAAATTATTCAAAGTTCCCGAAGGGACGAATCCGTTATTTGGTGGTCGGTAATAATGATGGCAATAAGCAGACATGATGAAGAAAACGATAAAATAGCTACACTTGAAAATCATCACTAATGTCGACAATATTTCGCAACTTTTTCGTTGGCACCCAACAAGCTTAAACAAATAAACTATATAGAGGAAGTCATTATCGACTTGCAGACAAAAAAAGACATGTTCTTTTTTCAAAAGTTTATTTTTGTATATTTTGGATTAATTTTAGATTTGACAATAATTCAAGTTAGATAATTTTTATTGAAGAAATAATTTAACGACTAAAAATTAAGTCTATACTCCATCAAATTCGCATAGTTTCTATTAGTAAACATCTGTCATGCGAGCGAGTGTGAAACTCCTCATTCATGCTGATAACAAGTTTCATAGAAATCGGAACTAAAGACGAAAAAATATAACGCACTATTGTAAAACTTGATTATTTTTATTATTTTTATATTTCAGAATCGAGAAAGAACTTCTATAAACTAGAATCTACAAATGATTCCATTGGATCTGGAAAATTTGTGCTTGTGACTCGGTTTTTCGTGCAATCTCTTCATGAATGCTGTGACTAAGCCATAATTGTTGCAACTTCTTGTAGCTATCGTGACATAAATGAAGTGGATTACCGCGACGTAAGCCTTGATCTGTCTCATTATAATCATCTAGGTATGGTGCTGATAAGAAACATCCAGTATTTTGACCTAAAAATAGAATTTCAGCGTCTCTAATCCTCAAATAAATTCCTGCTCCAGTTCCACAAGTTTCAGCATGATAATTGCATGCACCGACGGCAGCTTTATTGATTTCTCGTTGACAACAGTACGTTTGTGAGCATAAAACTTCTCCACATACAAGACACATCGTTGGATTCCTTGAATCTTCTCGTTCATTATTGCGACAAGTGAATAATGAAACTGAATTAATTAAATCACTATAATCATCTGGAAGCGGGACCAGTTGACGAACTTTGGGATTAACACCACGAATTACTCGAAGATCTTTACTCTGACCAGCTTTTAATTTATTACGATAATTTGTTACTGCATTGTGTTGTGCACATTGTTGAAGGAAATTAAGCATGCTCGACTCACTAAAGTATGTCGTAAGATTTTTTTTTACATTCAAGTAGTCTGCCAAAATTTCAAATGTATCGCCTTCAAGTATATTCATTTCATCTGGCAATGGAACTTCAGTCAAATAATGAAAGAGTATACATGAGCACCGTAAGAAGGTTCTACTTTGGTCCTTTAATGCTTCAACCAGCTGTTTCTTGATTTTCATCAAATTTTCTTCACTCAATTCTTCATCCTTGAAATAAATATTGTATTTCTCATAAATTGAGAGCATATTACGATCCTCGATTGTTAATTCTTCATTGCTTGTTCCCTGTGAACTCTCTTCATCTTCATAATCCATCTCCTGAACATCATTTAGATTAACAGTCAACAAAATCTTTAACAAATTTACACCAAACATTGCATTAAAGATTGAATAATCGAGTGTATCTCCTCTCGATATTAAATATTGTGTGTTTTGTGGAAATAGAACTGGTCTAGTGATAAACAATAACGATACCATCATATCAAATATATTCCAATGAAGAATCGACTCGTCTGGATTCTTACCAAAAAGTGTATTATATAGATCTCGTGCACAAATTAGTAGAGAATAGTAAGAGAGTGTAAGTGATGGTGATTCCTTTTCTTTTAATATTTCAAAATTCATTCGACCATAATATCCACACAATCTAATTAATCCTGTAATACACTTCTCATAACGTACAGACATTTCAGTTAATGGCTTATCTAGTGCTCTTATATACATTTCTACAGCCTCTATTGTGTACGAACATGTCTGAAAGGCATATGTATACAGATCTAAATCATCTGTTTCGCCTGATGTTGGTGATATCTTCTTTACTGATGTCATAAACTCTTTTGAGAATTTATTTATGTCTGGATTAAGAGCTATTTGTGGCTCTGCTGTATTTTCTTCAAAATTACAATGCTCTTTTAGGAATCCAACAACACATTCTTGATAATTCCTTTGCATTTCCTCTTTGATAAGAGAGCCAGGCTTAAAAATGTTCATATCATTTCCAATAAAATGTAACGAGTTGACATAATTGTTCATTAATTGATACCACAAATCGAAATTCATTAAATCTGTAACATTTTTAGCCTTGTTGTCATTTAAGCTTGTTAATGGTGGAATTATTGGCAAAACAGCATTGGATAAGAAACGACAAAGTGGACATAAAAATTGCTTCTTATCGATATTAAAAATGCTTGGATTTCTAGTCCTAAACGGACGTCGATTTTCTTTCTGCATTTCATTTGCAAAATAATCTTGCCAGCATGTAACATGCATCTCATGTCCACAAGAATTAATGTATGGAGATGCTTTAATTTCAGCATCTGGATTAATGATTTCTTCATTAGTTGGCACATGATGATGACCTAGAACATTTGACTTTTGTATGAATGCAGGATAAACCATGCATAAACTATTATTGGTAGATTCTTCCGAGCATAAAATACAAGTTGATGTCTCTGCATCATTATGGACAATCTTTCGATCATTACCAATACATGCAACTCTTCGTTGTTCCTCAAATGACGATTGCCATTCCATACTTGTATCATCTTCTGCCCTTACATCATCCTTAAAATGTTCAGCGTGTGATGTAATGAAACTTTTTTGTGCTTTTGCCATCTGTGCCAAAAGTTGTTCTCGTCGTTGAGCTGCCATTTTTGAACGACGTTCTTTCATTGCCTGTTCATTCTCCATTTGTGCATCATTATCGTCATCTGGAATCGGTGAAGCGACTGGATCTTGCTGCTCATTATGAGAATTATTCTTTGTTTGTTGATCTTTGTATTTCTTAATTGTCCAAAGGAGGAAATCGCGTTGAGACTCAACTCTTGGATTAGACTTTAATTCTTCCATCATTTGCAACAAATTCCACTTTGATGAGCGCTCTAAAAATTGCAAGAATGGATAATTATCGCTTTCCTCTTCCTGTATTCCATAGCCAATTAAATGAAGAACCTTAAAAAAATTAAATAAATTAGTTGAAATTCAAAGAATTGAAAGAATTCGTACCTTTTGTAAATGGCCTTCGGAAAATGTCTGACAATTGAGATCAGCTGAATGACGCAAGACAGTTTGCATGATGAGTAACATGACATCAGATTGTAATAAATTGGCAATCATTGTGAATGGTTCAGCCAAGAGAGGCAGTTTTGGAGGTGGGCAGCAATTATATCCATTCTTGGTTTTGTTGCGCTCTAATTGAACCTGCTCAGATTTGGATTTCTCTTCGCGTGTATAATGATAGAAGTACATGTTATATTCATTATAGTACTCTTCCTTTAATTTATAAACTCCTTTCTTATCAGAAGTTTGAGGTCGTTCAAAGACAGCAATTTCATGAATTACTGGCTCAATGTCACATTCATGACCAGCACAATGCTCATCATTTAATGCCTTGTTGATTTCTGAATGTGATAGTGGCTTAATGCAAAGTTGCTGAATAATTTCCTTCTTAATTCGATCATCTTCTGTAATTTGTCCTACACCGACCATAAACCGTTCGCCAATTGTGACAAGAAGAAGTTCAAGGAACTCATCAATCATATTAACGATTTGACGATTTGTATCTTCTTCAATTAAAACAGGCTTATAATCTTTTTCGGTCCATTGAAGTAGAGTAAATTTGTTCATGACATGAATTAAAAATTCATTCGATTCAATTAAGGATGCACCCATTTGAAGGATAATAACATCACGATCTAACATTTCACTACGACATTTAACGTTACGATAGAAATACAATTGATTTAACAATGAATATCCATTTCTACGCCACATTCCTGCATAAACTTCGGAAATCATCGTTCTAGTACATAAAACGGGTTCTATTATTTGTGCAGCTGTTGGCTTATCGTTTGTTGTCGAGACATTATCAAATGTTAAGTTAAATTTCTGTAGATGAATATAAAGACCAGCTAGTAGACGTGTTAATGGCAAGTGGATTGAAACAGGTTTTAATGCAACGTCATACATTAGACAGCTAGCCGAGTGATCAGCCAATTCTTTTACTTCCGGATATGCTTCGTTGATAATAAACTTTGTCTCATTTAGTGCTGAGAGGACCATTCTATAAACTTTAATTAATATCACTTTATCAGTACCACACCATTCAATGATTGATGTGATCAATGAGGATAATTTAATGTGAAGAGTAAAGGCACTCTCCCATTCTGGCTCATATTCCATGTGCTGTCCAATTTGTCGAGTCACTGTGTCCATTCCTTGCATACATTTCAATAAACGAAGAACCATTTGAATTCCATGCAAGAATCCAAGACGTAATTCTTGTGTCCATATTTCAGGCTTAAAAGTCAACAAATATCGAAGATCGGTGAGGATGTAATGTGCTCGCTTGTTAAATAATGCCGATGCATTTTTCGGAAACACTAAAGTTTTATTCTTTACGTACTTTTCAATACATTCTGCGTAATAAGTGTGCATCAATTTGAAAAATGCGGATTCTTGAGAAATCAAATGATGTGCAATTGTTGGAACCGTAAACAGTTGAACGCTCATTGAAACAACAGAAAAACTGTGGTAGTGATCATCACGCAAGAAATCTTGCATTATATTCGTATAAACTTTTGTAAAGCCTATAGCCAACTCTTTCTTATTCTCATATTCCATAAGCATGCCTGAAATTATTAATCTATGCCATGCACTTCTTGCTGTTTTCCATAACTTTATATCGTACAAAAGGATTTGTCGTAAATTATAGTTGCTGCTTGACGGTGCCTTCAATATGATCTCGCAAAACACTGAAAATAAATATATATATATTTTTTAAAAATACATATTGTTGACAGTCAAAAAGTAATTTAATTACCTGCTCTGAATTTTGCACTGCATCCAAGAAAGTCTTGAAACCAATGGAGGAGTTGAAGGGCAAATGTTTGACAAGCAACAGTGTCTTTGTGAAAAATTGCGACCTTGAGCGGCTGCAATTTTGAATTCGAAAGTGTCGGTCTTGCACCTTTCTTTTCGATTTCATTCTTTAGTTTCATACATGCATTGAATGTTGCACATTTTACTACTGAGCGTCCATCACGGTCAATGCTCGTCACATACTCTACTGCTTCCTTTTGTTCGCATTTTACGATACTTGTTAAAGTATTAATGACCTTTTAGAACGTTATAAAATAATATAAATACTATATAGGAACTGGATAAACACATTTTAATAAATTTATGCTTACTTGATCGAATGTGTGTGTTTCGTCATTATACAGTAGTGTGCAGAACATGTCTTCTGTTTGACCTTTCTCGCTATCAATGTCCGGAAAACTTGTGTCTGAATCAATTTGAAGCATACTCACGCAATAAACTAATATTGCATGAAAAACAATCCGACAAATTTCCTTGATATCATCTGTGATTAAATAATCTACTTCTGTTGGTTCTGCAGGTGCATGATCTTCACAAAAGTAGTCTTTTTTCCATGCCTCTCGATCGCCTACATTAAAATATTTTCATTGTCATTATTTATTGTGTTGAGTTTGAATGAATGTTTATTGTGACTTACCACAATCGCAAACTCCACCACCAAATCTGTAATCAGACAATGATTATTAATATTTTAAAAATTTCCGAGTCCAAAAAGCACTTTAATTAATACTTACGACGTTGACATTTTATATTTGTGAGTCCGGTGTGAAGATTTCTTGAAGCATGATGCACAGAGGACACAAGTAGGATCGACTGAACATTCACGACAGCTGTATGTTGGTTCACCATTTTTGAAGATGTTACCACAAACAGCTGATACATTATTGCCGGTTTTTAATTTATCGAGTGTGTCTTCCCATTTATTGCCAAGAATAATTTCTTGAACGATATCTATAATGGCAGTTTTTGCACCATCTTCATCAAATGTGCAGCCACCTAAGAGATGAAGGTTTTTTTTTAAATATGCAAAAATATTATAGAATCAAGTTTTTTTTTCTTCATTTTCTCTCCCTCTAAATTTCATTCTGCGCAGTTATTATGAAAAGTCGACACAAATTTGTATATAATATATCCCATATATACACACAAAAATAAAAGTATTAAGTTTGATGACGATAGCATGATGTGGTGCAAATCTCGTTTAATATATTTTTCTTTTCTGGAGATTGTTTTTAAGGAAAGAAAGTCATCCAAAATAAAATTATTCTATGACGTAATTAATGGGTGAAATATGAATTGAAAAGTCATCATTCGAGCAATTTTTCAATAATCAAAACACTAGACAAATACATAATAATCAGCATAAACATATCATCAATAAAGTATGAATTAATGCTTTGAAATGGAAAGTGATGATTATAGAAATGAAGTTTTTCTTTGTTTCGAGTTTTCACGTTTTTATTGTGCATATTCACAATGAAGAATCAAGTAAGTGACTCACCTATATCGCTGACATTGTCCTTCCTTGAAACATTCAGGAAGAATGGAGCTGATATTTTAAAATAACTAATTACGTCTGACGAGTCCAATGTCTTATTCTCGATTTTTGCTTTCCATGATTTCTTCACTTTATCTGGACTAAATTCAGTTTCCGTATCTTGAATTGCTTCCAACATTTTTCGTGATCTTTAATTTTTCTCTATAAGCTCATTCAATGCTTAATTTTCTTTTTTTCTGCAAATTTAAAATCACCAAAAATATTTCTCTATCAATTTCAAGTTTATTAATTGTATTTTGATATAACTTGACTTTTATCTGCTTCTTGAGATCTTTAATTAACTTATTTATTGACTAGATTGTAATCTTCGAGGAGTTAAATATCAAATAAAAGGAATTAAAATATTTACCAAAGAATCACAAAAGTCGTCTAAAGTTTTTTTTTTATTTTCGTATAAACTTGGTTATTACCCCCTTTTTGTTTGTCCAATGACAATGACGTCAAATTCATTTAAAAACTTAATAAATTGTAATAAGAGAATTTCCTTCTTATTCATTACAAAATGAACACAGATATCATTTTGAAATGAATCCCAGAAATTCTATCAATGATGTATAGCAACTAGTGATGACACGATAATAGATTTGTTATAACAAACAATTTATTAATATTAATATCCTCATATAATGGTAGAATTAATGTTGTATTAATGAATTTAGCATTGATTTAATTAAATTAAGCCTGCGATAGATATAAAACTCTAATATTATTTTAAAAATCCACGCAAAAAATACTGCTACGATTTAAATTTGAATTTTTAAAAATTTTAACGACTAGTCTTGCAACAGTTTTGCAGAAAAGTGCTGATTCTTGTTTCACTTAATTAAGCAACAAGTATGGAAGTAGACGATGAAAATAATGAAGAAGAAAACATTTTATCAATTACCTGGGATAGTGGATCTGTTGCAGCAGCTTATTTCAATCTACAAACACTAGAATTGCATGTAAGTTGATAGTTTTATTTATTCAAAATTTTAGTCCATAAATTCTAATGATCCATTAGATTGTTCAAGAGATCATTGATCTAAGACCAGATTATGCACAATTAAGAAACATATTTCGTCAAGTAATGCCATCATACTTAGTCCTTTCATCCGGTTCCAATGCTTTTCTTCAAGAAGTTCTAGAGCTTTTAGATCCATCATGTACTGGAAATAATGAGCTGATTAACAAGTATAAAGTCCGAAAAGCTGGTGCATCTAATGCAAGCTTAAGTAATTTATCAATTTATCCATTTGATCGTAAGAATCATCAAGAGGGTTTGCGCAAAAGAATCTATGAATTAGACTTGCCAGGAATGACAAATGCTTCCTCTTGTTCACTTTCTGATCGCCAAATATTCATCAACTCTGTTTTTCCAATGAATCAGGAGCTATTTGTGATTGCTTTGGGAAATTTGCTGAGATATTTGGGTGAAAATTATTTAAAGTGGCGTCACGTGTTCCTTGGTCTAGAAAAAAAATTGATTTGCACAAATGTCATCAATTCAATTTTACAGACACAAGTTCTATTGGATGATTCAACATTCAATTCACTAAACATTTTCTGCAACATTTATCATCCGTCGAGCTTCAAATTGCAAATTCGTAAAGATGGCTTGTCACTTTACAATTTATTAAATAACTGCAACTCCTCAATTGGATCTCAGGAGCTTAAAAACATTTTGCGACAACCAACACGTGACTTGAATGAATTAAACTTGAGATTTGAAACTATCGAGTGGTGCTTAAAGAAAGAAAATGAACAGCATGTTCAAAGAATTAAGCATCTGTTGAGTGGATTTGTTAACATTAATGGTGTTTTGCAAAGAATCATCAACAATCTTGGAAAAACGAATGATTGGAAGTCATTCAAACGAACTGTTTATCATGCAGCAAGTATTTGTGAGCTTTGTGCATCATTTCCTTTAGAATTTGTCCAAAAAACATTTATTAAGGAACTTGGGTCGTATTGCAAAGAAGGTTTATCAGTTAATGGCATATTATTTGCTCTCGACAAGATTGTAGATTTGGAAGCAATAGATGAGAAGAAGAGATTTATTGTTAAGAAAGGATTAAATCAAACTTTAGATATAAAACGTGACGAACTTAATGATTTTATTGAAAATTGTTCAGATCTGAAGCCAGATGCATCAATGATGAAGCTTAATCAGTCACTAAATGCTTTTAAAGTCATTTTTTATCCTGAAGTTGGATTTCTAATTGGTACGAATTTAAAAATTGAGGCACTAAATTTGAACAATATTGTTGACACAGATGAGATTGAAATAGTTTTTCAAACAAACGAAGCTGTTTATTTTAAGACACCAACTTGCAAAATGTGGAACCAAAAATACGACAAACAAATGACGGAAATAGTCGAACAAGAAATGGAAATTTTTCAGAAGCTTATTCAATACATTAATGAGAATTTTGCAGAACTAGCTGAAATTTCAAAGCTCTGTGCTAAACTTGACTGTCTTATATCATTCGCAAAAGTTGCTGAAACAAATCAATACGTTCGTCCGAATATAACAAAGGACAGAAAAATTGAAATTATTAATGGGAGACATCCGTTGCTTGAACAAATCAAGGACTACATTCCTAGTACGACGTTAATTAATGAGCAAAACAATGACTTTATAAACATCATAAAAGCACCAAACTCTTCAGGAAAGAGTATTTATGTGAAACAAATAGCTCTAATATGCTACATGGCACATATTGGATGTTTTGTTCCTGCTTCAGAAAATTGCAACATCACCTTACTACATTCTATTTATACTCGTATTTATACCCCAGAATCGATTTATAACAACGAATCGGCTTTTATGAGTGACTTACAACAAATGTCAAAAATTATCATGAACAGCACTGATCGATCATTGATTTTAATCGATGAATTTGGAAAAGGAACGCATTATAAGGACGGTACGATGTTCTTTATAAGGTCATATATAATTTTTACATAATTTCCTTATCATAGGTATAGCTTTATTGACTGCCACAATCGAGCATTTTGCAGAACGCGGCAAAGAGTTTGTTCCATATATTTTTATCACGACACATTATCCACAAGTTCATCAATTACTTCAGTCGAAAGAGCTTGTCAATTTAAAAACAATCAAAACGAAGAAAAATGACACTAATGTCTTTCAATCTACTTATCGAATCGTCGATGGTGTAAATGAGCAAGTGTGCACTGAATTCCCAGAATCTAAGAAAATTATCTTCAATATTTTTAATCAGAAAGACAAGTGTGTTGATTAATACTGTTTCAGTTCATGAGTCATGCCTTCATGTTGTTATTTATATTTTTATTTTTTTAGAGACCAGGAATTGAAGACATTCAACGATGCGTACAGTACATCAATTAAGGCTTTTGTTCTAGTCATGGCGAAAATGATGCTACGAAAGGATCATGTTACATATGACTTTATCAAGGATATCTACTCAAAAGTTTCGATTGAGAACTTTTTGAATATGTAACGATAATTTAAAATTTAAATCACAGAGCTGTACAAATTATTTGAAAGCAGTACAAATTATATTAATTTTAAAACATTTGTAAGGTTTTAGGAAAAAAAAAAACATAATTAAAATATTAAAAGTTGCATATTGCACAAGCAAGTAAAAGTATACTAGCTGTGTGAAGAATAACGGCGATTGTAGAATTTAAAAAGTTGTGAATTTTTCAATCACAGCAATATCCAACACTGTAGAAAAATTCCTTGAGTGAGCAGCAAAAACATTCGCATTATTTTCATTCAGTTCTTTATTACTTAAATAGTTTTTAACAAGATAACATAGTTAAAGTAGTTGTATTAAGTAAACTGATGATATTAAAAATTAAAGGATAGTGTCAAAATGTTTTCTGAAGAGGATATTAAGCTAGAAACGAATAATGGTGTTAAAAGAAGTGCAAAATTTAAATCAGAAGTTATAATTAATCCATTTCTACGCGACAAAAATTATTGGGATAAAGAGAATGAGTTGTTTGATAAAATAAAGGTAAATATTGACTATAACAATACATCCATTCATTTATAATGATTTCCAAAAAGTGCTAATGTGGAATGTTTTTGAGATTTGTGGAATTAATTCCTTAAAAAGTAAAATCTTTAAAGCAAATGTGCGTCTTAAAAAATTGACAAAATCATCTGATTCGTTTGAGGAAAATATTTTGCGAAAAATCATTCATAAAGAATTGATCAGTATACGTCACATTTCTCACAATAAATATCGTACGATGTTTTTCGTCATAAAATTACAGTCTAACGAAAATAAACATTACTGCATCTTTGACTCGCTGTGACTGACTTTTTCTTCTAAAACGTATTCACAAAGGAATCGAATGATAAAAATATTTATATCTGCGAAAACATTTCCTTCCGTTGAATAAAAGAACGGCACGGTAAATACAGTCAGTAGACACGACGAATGTTCACCTTGACTCTTACTTACTCGTAAGGGCCAAAATTTCACATCATCTTCTCTCTATTGTTGCTGCTGCATATTCGTAACATTGAAAATTATTTGGATAGCTCTCTGCACACCAAAAAATATTGATATTGACCCGAAAATTGTGCAATAGAAATTTTGGAAGGCTGCTATACTCACTTGCAAGTGATAGAGGGTCATAAATTAAGTTTTAATAACTATCATTTGTGCAATTTTTTTGTGAATTAGGCTAATGATATATTTGTATATACACATTAACTCTACGTCACATGTTTTACCAGTTATCCGATATTCAGGTTTTAATTGGTGGCTTTAGCACTTACTTTTCATTACGAAAGTCACAGTTTTTATAGATCGAAAATAAATAATATAAAAAAATTACGAAGTCATATTCGACGAATCAAGCTGAATCACGGTGTTGTTAACAGTCGATTTTTTTTTTATTTCCTTTTATTTTTACAGACAGCTATTTTGACAGTTCTATTAGTGCCCATTCGCATTGTTTGTATGTTCTCGTTGTTGCTTCTTGCTTGGTGCTTTGCATATATTGGAATTTATGGATATTCACGTGAAGATTTAAAACTTAAGCCACTCAAAGGATGGAGACGGTGAGTTGCACAAATAGAGTATAATTTTCATTTAATTACACATTTGAATGAATTCACTTTGCATTCATGATTTCCTTGGTGTCAAACAAATATCGTCAATTATTCAATATCAACGAGATGTAATCATTAGTCATGAAGTCTTAAAAAATTCATGGGATTAAAACAAAACTCATTCATTAATTATTTACAATACAATGCTAAATTATAGGAAATTAAGGACATTGGTAGGCTGGATATTTCGAGGAATGTATGTTGTTGGCTCAGCTCATTATGTTAAGATTAAGGGAAAGAGAGCAGATCCAAAGGATGCACCTATTTTATTAGGTGCCCCGCACACAAGCTTCTTTGATTCATTAACTGTTGTATTGTCCGGACCGTCATGTGTTGTTGGAAAAGTTGAAGCTGGAGATATTCCACTATTCGGAAGTAATTAAATTAAACAGATCAAATATTATTAATACTACTCGAGTCGCCAGTCAATTGGAACTGAGCGGCATCAGCGCATTTTCTCAGGATCTAAATTTGTCTAGTTAAAAAGCTATTACAGATAGTAAGCTCTAAGAAAATGCGCTAAGAGTGAATTTTTTTGATTAATTGAGACAAAGGAAAAAGAAAGTTGAAGCTCCGGATTCTGTATGATACATATTCTTGCCGTCTTTATTCAATGTTTTATTCATATTCTCATTGTTCTCTTGCTGACTATATTTTCTTTGACAATTTGTAGTTGATATTTGTTGTTCATGACAATTGCTTAATTCCATTCAAATATAATATTATAATATAATAATCCTTATCAATATCACGCAACATAAACCTTGATTTCTGAATATGAAGTTTTATTAATTAATTTTCCTTCATGACTTTTTTTTCTCATTAATTTTTATAATACATAAATGCAATCGTGTTTATAATGCATTTATATCCAATATCGTACATAAAAATTTATGTAAAAAAGGCACATGAAGACGATATTGTGTAAGATTGCTTTATCAATGTGGATGCTGTGTGGAATTGGAGTTATTGTGAAAGGTAAACGTTCTAGTCGCGATCAGGCAAGAATTTTAGTCGCAGCACCACATTCCACGTTTTTTGATGCAATTGTTATATTTGTGACGAAAATGAGCAGTCCAATTGTGCGCGAAGAGGATAAAAGTTTGGGCAGTAAGTTTCGCTGTTAGCATGAAGATGATGTAGCATGTGTGTTTGCATAATTATTGCTTGTTATCAGTTTCTATTATGTCACAACAAACTTGGTTGTTATTTATATTTTTTCGTACTTTCATACCGTATAACAGAACCGCACGCTTTTGCGAATGTACAAGATAACATAAACATAATTTTATCATTTGTAGCGACTTGTCTTGTTTGCAACTTTCTTTTTCCTGCATAATTTATTTGTGAGATACTCATTAATTGTTTTTCGTCACTTGACGCGAACAGCAACATGGGTTTTTTTTTGTTGTGTCAATCTACTCGATATGACAGCTATCATTGTTTGGAGTAGATTAAGGAACAAATGTAACTCGTTGCTTGTTCACGTCTAGCTTTCATGTAAGCATTAAATTAACATAATTTAAATTTTTAATTCCATTTCAATGACACATTAGAACTCATTGATATGGCACAGCCAATTTATGTGAATCGAGAAGATCACAATTCTCGACAATCGACAATTCAAGACATTTTGAATCGAGTAAAATCCAATGATGACTGGCCACAGACAATGATATTTCCAGAAGGAACCTGCACAAACAGAACAAGCTTAATACAATTTAAATGTGGAGCTTTTTATCCTGGATTGCCTATTCAGCCAGTATTAATTCGATATCCAAATAAAGTCGACACATTCACATGGTAAGAAATTGACTTGAGAGTCACCACCTATTTAATTCTAATCAATAAATCATTTTATAGGACATGGAGTGGTCCGGATGTCATGATGCTCATATGGAGGACTTTAGCACAGTTCCATACATTCGTTGAAATTGAGTATTTACCAGTTTATGTACCCAACGATGAGGAAAAGAAAGATCCAAAGCTTTACGCCAAAAATGTTCAAAGGCTGATGTCAAAGTATTTTGTTGTATTTGTCGAATTTAAAGTTAATTCCTAATTTCCGTTTCTACTTATTACATTAGAGAATTGAATATTCCAACATCTGACTACACATTCGATGATTGCAAGTTGATGGAAAATGCAGTTAAAAGTAAATTATTGTTTGCGGAACAACTTTCCGACGTCCAGAGATTCAGAGAAAAAATTGGGTAAATTAAGTTCAATTAAGCTATTATCAGCTATTATATTATTTTATTTAATGACTGATAATTTATAGACTTGCTCAATCACAAATTGAAGAGTATATTGTTAAGGAGAATTTTAAAGGCAATGAGGACTATTATTTGGAGTTTAGCGAATTTGTGCAGCGACTGAAAATTCCAGCAGATAATACATCATATACATTATTTAAGTTCTTTGTTGGTGCAAGTGATATTGGAGATGTGATTGATTTCAAAGAGTATTTATTACATGCCCTGTTCTTGATTAAGTATTCAGAAGCTAAGATTGAGCTCCTCAAAATGATGTTTATGGTAAGTATGGCTTTTTAACGGCAAAAATTATTTCAAATTTGAATTTAAAAAGTTCGTTAAAATCATAACTAATGTTTAATTCCCATATATAGTTGTATGGAGAGTCTGGACGTCTTCAGCGAGAACCTTTCGTTAATAATGTTATGAAACATTTTGTAAAAATTAAAGCAGACCAGCTAAACAAGTTATTTTACTCTTTAGATGTGAATAATGTAGGATCTATAACATTTAATGATTTTTACAATGCAACAAAGGATGATAAGAAATTTGCAGTACTTTATAAGCCAAATCAGAACTTTCGTCAGAGACACAAAGATTCTCAGTAATAAATAAAAATCATCAACATAGGTTAATGGACATCACAAAGAAGAAAATGAATGAAACTCACTAAGGATTCACTTATAAAGTTAAGTTATGGATTGATTTACCTCCGATTTTTACAATTGTTGCACAATTAGTTGATTAATTCACAATCCAAATTATTTGTAACCAAGTGACAAAGAGAAGAAAAATTAGTAAAATTTATTTAAAAAGATCTATTGACGGATTTTAAACTATTTATTGGGCGCATTTTCGATCATAATGTCATGTGAGCTACAAAGAAAGTCTACAAATTTGATGAATTTCTTCCTACATCTCAGTCTGTCTTGAATATAAATATTTATTTTAATCAAACTTAACATAATAATCCATTCGATTGAAAACTAGTGCCTTTATGACCCTCAGTTGGTAGCAGAGTTAGACATTATTGTGTTCTCGAGACATTGGAAATCCAAAATGCGACAAAAAAAGCCAAAAACACGCACTAAACTATATTATTTAATCCAGCAGTGCTTACTATTAATCTTGCTATATAAAATTTTCGGATTAATACTAGGTTCTGCATTCAAGAGAGGAAATTTCATTAAAACTGGAACCATGCGAATGCTCAATTTTATTTAAATTATGAATGCCATTCAAGATAGAATCTTCCTTAAATTCTTTAACTATCAATTACTTGATAAGCAAATTTATTTGTACTTAATGTGTATACATAATTATCAAATGGTATTTATCTGATATACTAGATTAATAATGGCTGGAATAAGGCTTTATGTGACTATGTTTACCTTTTAGAAGAAAAAAAAAACTGTTTACTTTTTACATTCAATGTAAAATCTCGTGTCTGACCAGGACATAGCATGAATAAATGAATGTTGATTAGAGGCAATGGAAGTAACACACAAATAAATTTTAAATCGTATATATTTGAAAAGAAAAGCATTTTTTATTGATTGATTTTAATCTTTAATTTTACAGACCAATTCTGGCTGGAGTTCTTCTCGGTGTTTTTTCCGTACTTCCTGGCGTGACAATTTCCTGTTTAGCTAAGATTGCTTCCTGCTTTTCAGCATTAGCTTGCTTCTCTCGTTCAATCTCTACTTGTGCCTCCTGCATCTGAGCTTCCATTTTATGTAAATGTTCAGCTGCCTGCCTTCTTTTGTCTCGTCCACTTTTGCCACTTTCCTTAACCGAAAAGAACATTGGGCCTAATTCTGCCAACCAATATCCATCAACAGCTGTTGCACATTGCATGTATTCTTTTGCAGTCATTACAAGTTCATGATAAACGACATATTCGGGTGAAGTTCCCAGACCATAAAGTGCACTTGTTGGATGTAAATGACAAGGCATTCCCGTACGTAAATTAACATATTCTCCAATACCTTTGAGTCGTGCAGCTTGATAGAAATATGCTGAACAAATGCATTTACGTATTATATCCCAATCAGTTCCACACGATACAACTTCAAGTTTTTGCTGAGTTAGAATATCTTTAAGCTGTTGCCTCACCTCTCTGACCTTCCGCATTGCTTTAATATGTATATAATGCTCGTTTGCCCAATTTGATGAGTAACTGTTCATTTGCCACTGCTGATAGACATTTAAGTATGTTAAATGATCAGATTCAGGAACTTGAAATTTCTCTCTGACATTATCAGCTTCCTCTTCACGTCCTTTTGGTCGATAGAATATTGAAGGAACTGATAGCATCGAAACAATAATTAAAATTTCTGCAGAACAACCCATTTGACATGAAACAATGAGCATCTGACACTGAGGTGGATCTAAAGGAAATTCTGCCATTTGTCGTCCAAGTCCTGTTAATCGACCTGTATGATCTAAAGCTCCAAGAATCCACAGTTGATAGAGTGAGTTGAGGATATTGTCTTGCGGTGGTGGATCCATAAAATGGAATGATAATAAGTCAATGACTCCAAGTGATTTTAAAAGCAACACCGTATTAGCTAAATTAGTTCGTTGAATTTCAGGAACAGTTAGAGCAAGTAAATCCTCTTTATACTGTCTTTCTGTGTACAATCTATAAGCTAATCCAGGACCGGTTCTTCCAGCTCGTCCACTTCTCTGATTAGCATTAGCTTGAGATATTGGATAAATTTGTAAGGCATCCATACCAATTCTTGGATTATAGACCTTCAATTTACAGTATCCACTATCAATTACATACTTTATACCATCGACTGTCAATGACGTTTCTGCAATGTTTGTAGCTACAACACATTTTCTTATTCCATTTTCGGCTTTTTGGAAAATCTTTGCTTGCAAATCAGATGGAAGTTGTGAATAAATTGGAAGTATTAATAATTCAGGTGGATCATCAAGTTGAGATAATCTGTCTTTTAAAACTTCACAAGTTACTTCAATGTCTTCTTGACCAGGCATAAAAATCAGTATATCGCCTTCCAAATTACCCAAGTGAATCTCTAAAGCCTTTTTCACTGATGAATCAACAAAGTCTTCAACCGTGTTTTTACTAAAGAATAACTCAACTGGAAAAGTACGTCCAGGAATTGTATAAGTCGGGACATTACCGAAAAATTGTGAAAACTTTGTAGCATCCATTGTAGCGGAAGTAACAATTAATTTTACGTCATGTCTTCTGGCTACAATGTCACGAAGTAATCCAAAAAGTACGTCTGTACTCAAACTTCTCTCGTGAGCTTCGTCCATAATAATTGCAGAATAACTATCAAGATCTCCATCCCTTAAACTCTCCCGAAGTAAAATACCGTCAGTCATGTATTTAATTATTGTATTTTCTGAGGTACAGTCCTCAAAACGAATAGCATAACCAACTTCTTGTCCTAGTTTTGTTCCCATTTCTTCTGAAACTCTGTTCGCAACAGACATAGCAGCAACACGACGTGGTTGTGTACATCCAATCATTCCATAGTTGCTATATCCATCCTCATGCAAATATTGAGTTAATTGTGTAGTTTTTCCTGATCCAGTTTCTCCGACTATAATTACTACATTATTTTCTCTAATCACATTAAGTAATTCTTGACGAACAGCAAAAACAGGCAAAGTTCTTCTCTGCTGACTTATTGTATTTCTCTTTGAAAATTCTGATTTGGAATCTTCATTTTGTTTCTTCATATGTTCTGCAAACTTTTGACCTTTTTTATAGTCTGTACTGTCCGTTTCAGCATCATATTGTGCATCATCTTCGTCCTTTTTCTTTGCAACACCCATAATATTACCAAGCTTAGTTCCTCCCAATTCCCAATGTTTTTTCTGTGCCTTCTTTCTCTCCTTTTGTTCACGATAAACTCTTACAAGAGGACTTCCTTTCCTCGCAACCATTGCCATGTCGCTCGTTGGATCTTTTACTGGAATTACCGGCTCTGTAATTATATTGACATAGAAGTTGTTAATTAAATGATATTTTGAAAACCCAAAAAATTCTTACCCATGATTTTTGTAAAGACAATACGTCCGTCAAGGAAAGGCGGAACTGCATGATGAACTAATAAATTAACTCGATCAATAGTTTCTTCTTCAAAATCATCATTATAATTGATTTTTGTGACAACGCCGGATGTAATCATTCGATTTTTCTCCCACAATTCATTGTCCTTGTTAATTTGTCGTTGCTGTGCACTTATTCTTTTTTTCTTTCTCAATTCTAGCTGTTCTTCTTTTTTACGTACATAATCAGAACTTGTTCCTGAAAATGGATTATTTTCATCGTCATATCCTTCATCCATATTATACCACTGCCTGTCCAATATATTTTGTTCTTTTTCCCACAATTCTCGATCATCTTCGGAATCCCAAGGTCTTTTTTCGTCACTTCCATCGCCTCTTGCTGTTTGTGGAGTTGCTCCAGTTTTTTTGCGATCTGGAGCCCATTTATTAAATTTATGTGCTGGTGTAAGACGTTGTGATAAATCTGAGCGATTGGAACGTACCGAATCATCGGATCTACTTTTATATGATTTTGGTGTTGGGAAATCCCACGATGATCGTTTCTTCTTTGTTTTATAGTCATCTTCATCGTCGTCATCCCATGAACTTTTACCGACTGAACTTCTTGCATTACTTTCATAATGACGTGGCGTTTCTACATCTCGATGTCTATCAGATCTGTCACGGTCTTTACGATGACTGCTTCTACTGCTACCTCCTTCATATCTTGATCGTTTTCTATCGTAATATCTATCCTTATTGTAACTTTTATGTGACTTTCTATCATCACTGTGACGATCTTTGTTTTTACTGGATGTATACAATCCTTTTTTATGCTTATCACTTATTCTATCATTATAATGCTCTCGAACAGAATCCGTTATAGCTGGTATCGAATGTGATGGAGTGTCTGCTTGTGCATTACTGGATCTATATTGTTTAGAATGTTTTGCGTCCGATTTCTTAAATTGAATTTCATCATCTTTATTCTCTTTTTTGATACTATATTTTTTGGATTCTTCGTCCTCGTCATCATCTTTAAATGAACTAAGCAATCCATTTTCTCGTTCTTTTTTCAATTTTAAAGCTAGCACGTCTAATCCAAATTTTGACACTGGAATCTTAAAAACATCTTTTTTATCGTCACTGTTCTTCTTTTTGATAATTAATCCTCCTGTTTGTGGTGTCGATCCTTCCAATCTATGTACATCTTCCATTTAATTGTATTAAAAAGTCTTTCAACTATGTAAATTCTTTAATTAATGATTTATTTCAACTTTTTTGCAAATCAAAACGTTTAGAGGACTGGTACTTTTTGTAAACAAAGGCGAATTCGGCAAATGGGATTTTATACTTATCTTTTAACGGTTTTATCTAATATTTACATTTTACTTCAAAATAAAAATAATGGAAGGAAAAAAGAGAATTAAAGTAGCTTTAAAGACACCAAATCCATTGTTTAAACAATGGCTTAAAGAGCTAATAGACGAGGCTGTCAAGAAGAAAAAGAAAATAAGTAAAACATATCAAAAAGCACTTGACAGCTTAGAAAAGTCAGAAATTTTCAGAAAATTATGAAAATCAACTTGTTAAAAATACTATTTATTATAGGTATCCTTTAACATTGTACAGTGGACATGATTGCGCTATTCTGGATGGTTTTGGACAGAGGATTTGTGAAATACTGGAACAAAAATTACAGCAACATTTGGGAATTCGATACATTAATAATCCTGATTTTAGAAACCTATGTTTTAAGGATAAAGTAGTTATGCTGCAGAAGCAGGAACATGATGAATTACTGGAGTTTATTAAGGACATTGAAGCTTCTCATTTAACTGAGGATTCCTTAGCTGACAAAACGACAAAAAGCCTTAAGAATATAACAAATTTGAGCATAATTGAAGAAGATGTTGAGATGAAAAACGATTCAATGGATATGAATGACGATGACATTTTAATGGATTTACAGGATGAAAAAGAATGTATCGATTTACAAAATGTCAAGAATCCAATTGATACAGACAGTGAAGAAAGTGACGATAAGCAGTCTGACGAAGACTCATTTGACAGAATGATCAAAAAGTATTGTCCTGAAAAGCCAATTAATAAGCCTAAAACTCAACTTCAACTGCCAAAACCAGTTATTAATTCTCCAACTTCAAGTGTACAAAATAGAATACTTAAGAAGTTTAAATCATTCAGTGCTGTCGGAAATATTGCTGGACCTTCTTATGCAAGTTCTCCGATTTCTAAGTTCCTTAATGTTGAGAATAATATAAGATGTATGAATGATAATGATGACGATGACGAATTTGACAGAATAGTAAACAGCAATAATGGAATAAAAGACAATGATGTGCTTCCATCACCAATATTGCCTAAAAAGAAAACAGCTGTTTTAGATAAAAATAAAGTTCCTAAAATTCCACCCTTATCTTCAACTAAGCTTCCGAAACCAATTATTGCTGTAGAAAATGAAAAGCAGGACTTATTCGAGTATACTTCAATCGATGATATAAATCCGTTAGAATATGAAGTCATGCTTTTGATTGATGTCGGTGAATCTAAAACAGTTTCTAGTGAAATTAAGACAAAATTGCAAGAACAAGGAGTTAAAAGTGATATAAGGAAGCTTCATGTCGGTGACTTTTTGTGGATAGCAAAGCATAAAACAGAAAAATCTAAGGAATATGTACTTCCTTACATTATCGAGAGAAAAAGACTTGACGATTTATCTAGCAGTATCAAGGATGGTCGTTTTCATGAACAAAAATTCCGTTTGAAACAATGTGGAATCGAGAATGTAATCTATTTGATAGAGAACTATATGAAAGCTGGAAAATGCGGTTTGCCATTTGCGACACTTTTACAAGCTGCATCCAATACCTCAATAATTAATAAGTTTCAAGTCAAATTTACAGAAAACTTGGATCACACTGGATTGTATTTAGCCATTATGAGTTCCTTTATCGAGAATATTTTTAAGGTAAGTCCGATTTTGGACAATAAGTCTTTAGTAATCAAGTCGATTTTTTTTTTGCAGAATAAGAAGCCAGTGAAATACAAATTATTGGAGTTTGAAGCATTCAATCAATCATCAGTGAAACAAAGGAAATTTACGGTCCGAGAAACTTTCATCAAGCAGTTGCTGACTCTAAAAGGACTTTCTGTCGATATTGCATTAGAAATTACCAAGTATTATCCAACACCATCGCATCTGTTTAATGCATTCAAGGATCTGTCAAAATCAGAAGGTGAAACTCTTCTGTCCAAAATCACAATCGGCGATCTCAAACGAAAAATTCCTTCTACTATAAGTAAAAACATTTACAGTTATTTCATGTACAAATAGATTTTGAAAACTGTTTTATGTTAATAAAGTGAGAAAATAAGACTTGTTTTATTCAATTTTAACCAATGAGTTTTCCGACATGATTTTGGCTACTTTTCTCGGTTCCTTAATTCCAGTGAGTGGACATTGCATTTCTAGCCAGCTTATAGGAACCATTGGTGTGTTTGATGCACGATTACATGTTGCAGCTAATCCTCTTGCCGTTGCTGTAAAATAAAATTTATTAAAATAATACTTTGAAATTCATCCATGATGTCAACTTACCCAATACAACTCCCAACTCATTCTCAGCCGTACTTAAACTAAACGTGTGTAGCTCAATTTGTGGAATAACTTTTGCTAAAATAATGTCATTTGGTCGAAAGTTCTTGTACATTTCAACTCTATCTATGTCAGTTGCTCGAACATCCTCTTTTCTCAAGATTCCTCTTAAAGGTCTATTAAGTAGAACATCTCCAATGCATAAAATTTGACATTTTGCGAATCTCTGGTTAACAATTTCTACTCGTGCAGTCACAACATCTCCGACAACGGGAAGAACAGTTTTGTTGCCCAATGACTTTACACTTATTATGTTGTTCTGAAAAACATGATCTGGATGTAAATATTTATCTAGATTAATTTAATATTATTAACTTACCTTTTCCTGTGTGGTAGTTTCAATGGTGCCAGCTAGCGAAGAGAAGATATAGCCTAACCGTTCGTAGGTTCCTGATCCAGCAATAATGTTATCATTTGCAGCACAAATTCTTTGTCCTGGAAAGCACACAATCTCCATTATTCCTTAATTTCAAAAAAAAGTTAAGCCTTATTCCGTGAATTTGCCTTTGTTTACAAGAAGCTGTCATATTTTGTGAATTTGCCTTTGTCCGTACGTCACTTTCGTAAAATCTTTCTTTTCACAATTTGCTCTCATTGGCATTAACGTAAGTATTTCTTAAAAATTAAAATTATTAAGTTTAAAGGCAAAACTAGTAAATTAATAGTGCATTAATCATTGCAACTAATCATGTTATACAGCAATATCATGGAGTACGCATCGATTTTTGCGAATTTCACTAGTTTTTTAAGTGATTGGAGTTTTCGCATGTCCAAACATAACCTAATATGTGTCAATCAAGTAGAACGGTGACCTAACGAATTGAGTGATATACTACATATGGGTATTTTGTGAAAGCAGAAAAATATTCTTTCAAATTTTGTGAAGTTTCCAGTTCCGAGATATGAGCAGGGTTGTTAAAACAAACATTCTATTTTACAGAATATGTACACATTTTGCATGTTCACGTGTACAATGTGTGGCAGAATTCATATGTCACACATTGCATATGTGCGATGTGTGTCACATATGAAAATGTGTGATGTGTGTAGATATCATGTGTGAACATATTTTGGACAAAACTATCTCTTTAATGCAATATTTGACTGTTTTGGTTATATATCAATAATATTTTTAAATTAATTTTACAAAAAAATACCACTTTAGTCCCGAAAATTAATAAATATGTGCAGATTTTGCATGTTCACACATGATATCTACACACATTTTCATACGTGACACAAAATAATGTGTCACACATCAAATATGTGCACACATCACACATAAAATATGTGTGACATATATTATGTGCCAACATATGAATTCTGCCACACATTGTGCACGTGAACATGCAAAATGTGTTGGATATGTGTACATATTCTGTAAAATAGAATTTGTTTGTTTCAACAACCCTGCTCATATCTCGGAACTGGCAACTTCACAAAATTTAAAAGAATATTTTTCTGCTTTCACAAAATACCCATATATAGTACATCAATAAATTCTTTAAGTCACCATTCTACTTGATTGACACCCTAATATTCACATGATTTTTTATATATTTCAGGTTTAATTCGTTGCTCTAATTAAAAAAACGTAACTATGTCGGGAGGATTGGATGTACTCGCTTTACGCGAATCAGATGTCACTAAAATGTTGGCTGCAACCGCTCATCTTGGTTCAGAAAATGTCAATTTCCAAATGGAACAATACATCTTCAAAAGAAGATCAGATGGTGTCCATATCATCAACTTAGGACGCACATGGGAAAAATTGTTGCTTGCTGCTCGCGCTATTGCTGCCATTGAACACTCACAAGAGGTAAATTTATACTATTTTATTCGACTTTATGCTGTTTTATTGTGATGATACCTTTTTAACCATCTTTCGGGGCTGATTAATCGCTGATGGATCCATTACTCACTGAATTTACTTTCCCAATCATCATAATATGTTTTAAAAAAAAAGATCCAGTAAACTAATGAATAACTTTCTATTACTAGATCTTTGCCATCTCTTCTCGTCCTTATGGACAGCGTGCAGTCTTAAAGTTTGCTCATTATACAGGAGCTACTCCAATTGCTGGACGTTTCACACCCGGTGCATTCACTAATCAGATCCAAACAACTTTCCGTGAACCACGTTTGTTGATTGTTACTGATCCATTGTCAGATCATCAACCCGTTACTGAAGCATCATATGTTAATATTCCAGTTATTGCTTTCTGCAATACAGACAGTCCATTGAAATATGTTGATATTGCAATTCCATGCAATACAAAGTCAACACACTCAATTGGTCTTATGTGGTGGCTTTTAGCTAGAGAAGTTCTTCGTTTACGTGGACAAGTTCAACGTGATCAACCATGGGAAGTTATGGTTGATTTGTTCTTCTATCGTGATCCAGAGGAAGCTGAAAAGGAAGAACAAGCAACAAAAGAAATTATGCCTGCAAAGGATACATATGATGATGTTGTTGAAGATCCAAGCTATCCAGATGAAACACCAGGCACAATTGTACCCGTTGCAACTGTTGCTACTGAAGATTGGAATGAAGAAATTGAAACTGTTGGAGTTGCTCCTCAATCTGAATGGGGTGGTGCCACAACTGCTTTCTAAATACATTTCCCATGCACTCATCTCTTCAAGTTGAGTTTTGTTGTATTGTGAATTATTGACCATCGAAGGAAGGAAATAAATTTCCTTAAAAATAAAGCATTCTCTTACAACCAACATTTATATTTTTTACTATAAAACAAAATTAGCTTAATTTTTCAGACCAAAATTTAAAACATTTGAGCAAACTTGAAAATTCCAATTTTCTTCACTATCCGCATACGTAGGCTTATTCGCCGGCACAGGCTTGCAATAAAAAGTTTTATGAATGTTTTGTAAAAATGTGGTAAACAAACGAAACGTTTACAGCACGAAAAAACATAAATAAAGAAGAAAAATATCAAATAATCTTGATTAAACAATGGAAAGCTTATTAGAAATTCAAAGAAGATGTCACGAAGAAAGAGAACGACTGCAGAAGATCATGACTGATGAGTTTATGGACAAGAAACTGTCAGAAAAGGACAAAATTTTTTCAGAAAATCGCATAAAAATTTATTTGAATGTAAGTCAAAAATAATTTATTAAAATATTCACAAAAATTGAAAATTTTGTGTGAATATGATTTAATTAAATTGTACTAAAACAAGCATATGCTCAATTACAGCAATATGTGGATACATCATCTAGACTTGCTGATTTGTATGAGGACAAAGAAGGTGAAAGAAAAGCTGAAATTTCAGCATTGTCTGGTCCAAACGAATTTACAGAATTTTATTCGCGTTTGAAGAGCATTAAAGAGTTCCATAAAAAGCATCCAGATGAAATTAGTATTCCTCTGTCTACTGAATTTGAACAAATGGCAAAAACGTATCAGCAAGCAGATGCTTTGAGTCTTTTAGTAGAATTTACGGATGAAGAAGGGTTTGGCAAGTATCTGGATCTTCATGAATCGTATGACAAATATATTAATTTGAAAAGCGTTGAAAAGATTGACTACATCACATATCTCATGATTTTTGATCATCTTTATGACATTCAAAAAGATCGAAAGAATGCCGAGTATAAAAAGTATGTAGATTTCCTATTTGATTATCTTTATGGATTTATTACGCGTATAAAGCCATTGTTGGACATAAATAAGAATCTTGATCAAGTAAGAGGCGATTTTGAAAAACAGTGGAATGCTGGATCTTTTCTTGGATGGCCAAAAGAGACAGAAAGTGCTCTTGCAAATGTTGGAGCTGCTCTTGATTTGTCTGCATTCACAAGTTGGGAAGAATTGGCTTCACTCGGTCTAGATCGTTTAAAATCAGCTTTAATGGCTTTGGGATTAAAATGTGGAGGGACTTTAGAAGAAAGAGCACAACGTTTGTTCAGTACTAAAGGCATGAAACAAATTGATACAACTTTATTGTCCAAGAAAAGTGCACTAGGCAAAAATGCATCAAGAATGTCCAAGGAACAAGAAAGACAAAAAGAAATTGCATTAGTTGAAGCTCAAATTTATCATCTTAGTGAATATTTAAAGGACCAAAGATCAGCAACAAAAGAAAATGTTCAACGAAAGCAGGCTAGAGGTGATGGTGAAAGAAACGACAGCGATAATGAAGCAAGCGATTCTGAATCAGAAGAAGAGGAAGACGATGCAGACGGAGTTCCGTATAATCCGAAAAACTTACCACTTGGATGGGATGGAAAGCCAATTCCTTACTGGTTATATAAATTGCATGGCTTGAATATTAATTACAATTGCGAAATTTGTGGAAATTTCACATATAAAGGTCCAAAAGCCTTCCAACGTCACTTTAGTGAATGGAGACATGCTCACGGAATGAGATGCTTAGGAATTCCAAATACAGCACATTTTGCGAATGTCACACAAATTGAAGATGCAATACAATTATGGGAAAAAATCAAGCAACAAAAGAATCAGGAACGTTGGGTGCCTGAACAGAATGAAGAGTTTGAAGATTCTCTGGGAAATGTCGTAACAAAAAAGACATATGAGGATCTTAAGCGTCAAGGCTTATTGTAAATTTGTCTCTAGTATTTAATGCATTTTCCAATTTTACATGTAAGAAATAATAAAATAAAGTTTAATAAACATAATCCATGGCATTTCACTCCATCAAAAAAAAAAACAGAAAGCATAACAGCCGTGTACGAAAGAAGAAACATCGTGAATGAAAAGAAATCGAAAGTGGTTTTGGCGACTCATCTTTTTTATTGAGGAAGCAACACACAGTCCAATACCATTGCATAGACTGGGAAGTTTAAAATAAAAGTACAATGGCACTAGATACATAAATTATTAAGTCTAAAGGGATTTGTTCATAGTGTGAAATAAATCTTTGATTTATTTCCATTTTCGCTTTTCATGCAATCGCATTAATGCTACGGCTTTAAATCAACCTGTTTCATGCTCTCAGATCATTTACAATTGGCAATCTTAATTGACCTTTTAGCTAAATGCTATTGTTGTCGATCATGCTTCATAATATTTCAACTTTCAATTTTTATTTCGTTTTTTTTTTTTTGCTCACAGATGATTTTTGAGAGAACTTGAGAGAGTAAATAATTTGTTCGGAAGCCTTAATAGATGTTTGTTGATTTAAAGATCATGCTTTGGATTTTTTGAAAACTTAATTAATCAACTTCGTTAAAAAATTGATTAATTGTCATAAAATGAAGCCAATATATTCCATAAAATTTATAAATTAGTCAAACAAATCCATAGCAGGCAGCACAACAGTGCAAAAAAAAAGAGTAATAAGCTTCTCGCTTACAGGTGACTGAGAAAATGATCATGTTTTACCTTTTTGGCAAACATTCATTTGCTTACAGAGGCTCTTCAGTTCAGTTTTATTTCGATGCTTCAGCAAACAAGAGCAATCTCTATATATCTCGTGACACATAGTGAAGGTTGCAGTTAAAAGTTTATTTTTTATTTACACGCTCTAAGTTGCTCCTAATTTGGAAAGATGAATTTGATCTTTTTTGGACTTATTGTGATATTTATCACGGTCGCATCTTGTGATCCAACAATGTATAAGAAAAATGACAATAACATGTTTGAGCCTGGTCAGTTAAAGTGATAATTATTGATTGATCAACCATTGCTTTTAGGGCTATTAAAATAACGAATATCCAAAATTCAAAACTTAATTATTATTTTTTCTTGTTATAATTTTTAAATTTTAAAAAACCGTCAACTTCAACATAATTTAAGGATAATTCCATGCTATAATTTTGCTATAAAATTTTCTTTTTGTGTCTCAAAATTTGTAAATTAATAATCATGTATGAACATATAACGTGTTTTAAGTGATTTGAATTTGTAAATTCTTAAAAACCGATAATTGTTTTAAATCATCCACGTGTCGATGATGAAATTGCCAATTTCGAGGAATTGGAAGCCCTACTTTTTAAAGATGCTAATGGATTCAAAACATCCATTTTTGTCCGCTAAATGTCTATAGCGCCCACATCAAAAAGTTGTGGATGATTTCATTAAGTAGCGGTATTTCTTATTGCGAATATCGAAAGAAATGATGTTACATCCTCCCGCCTTTTAATGATCTCATTTTCTTTAGATTTGGTTCCTGTAAGTTCGACAGTCATTCCCGAAAATGATATGCCTAATCAAGAAGAGATTACAGCTGAAATGGACAAAGAGTACAAAAAGGCATATTTCAGCTTGTTCAAAAAGAAGTTTGATTCCAAATTTGAGAAACCAGATACATTGATGACAGACAAAAAGAAGTTTGCAAAGAACTCGGAGAAGCGTGCAATAAAGAAGCCTGAATAAATATTTTAGAATTAAGTCACTTAATGATGCTAACAGATGTATATTTTTTTATGTTGAAACTAATATTTTTAATGCCAATTCTGTTGAATAAAAATTGAAGATTTTATGATTGCCTATAGTCCTTATCACACAATTAAGCACGCACCTATAAATTAAGCTAGATATGATGAATGAAAAGGAATGAAAGAATGTTTAATGTGTTTTTTTGTAAATGCATTAACTCAGCGATTCTCTTTGTTCCTTCTTTTTTTTTTGTTACAATTTTAAAATTGAGTAAATGAGAAGATGAGATTTATTTGATGCGGAGGCATTTGTTTCTACAGTATGTTTTGCATTTGCATGACTAATAAAAAAGGAATAAACATGTAGATTGACTGAAAAAGCGGGAAAGCGGCGAGCAGAAGAACAAATAATGACTTTAGCTATTCCAAATTGTGATTTTAGCATGCGATAATTCTCTAAGAATGTATAACATGTGACTTTGTTCAGAAAGTTTTTTTTTTTTGTACTGGGGGTATTTCCGCATTAAAATATGTAAATATATTCATTTTCGCTTTTACACTTAATAGGCTCTAAATAGCTTTTTCTTTTGTTTTGTTAATAGTAAATACTCTTTTAGCAAAAAGGATACACTCACATAATAAAAATAAAAAGATTTATAGGAATACATGTTACAATGTATATACCTTGTTAAATTGATATTGATATAATAATCATTCCTGATTATTTCTCCTTCGGCATGCTTACATATACAACAATACACATAATAATTTGTAATTGAAGCATTCATTCATGCAATTTATATAGTTAATAGCTGATTGACATAAGCATCAAGTTAAATTTTAAGCTTCAAGTGCAACACGATCTTGTGGTTCCTTTTCCTTCCTATTCTTCTTTTCGATTTCTGGTTCCTCTGTCGGAACATTCGGTAATTTATCATCGATATCCTCGTCAATTGCCGGCAATGTAGATGCAACTAATTCCTCTAATTCTGCTGCCACACTGTCCTCATCTTCAGTAGAAAGTGCTCCAGTAGATATTATAGCATCAATTTCTTGTTGTTTTTCAATTCCTTCTCTCGTTTCGTCCATAATTCTTTCGACTTCATCGATCGTAAGTATTTCGTGAATCTTTTTAAGTGCTTCATTTCCAACTTGAAGACCATCCAAGACTTGTTGCTGAACTTGAGCAAATTCTAAGTCACTTGTTAATTTCTCTAGTGCCTCAAGTTCTTTATCAGTTGTTCCTAATAAATTCTCCTGATACTTCTTTTTACGTAGAATTAATTTTGCACGCCTGAAAAGTTTAATTATTGAAAATAAATGGTTTGTTTTATTCACGTATTGTCATCAAGCAAAAATCTTACTCTCTTTGTCCTTTATTTAGACAGCTTATAGCCAATTGACGGTCTTTCTCAAGTGATTGTTCAATTCTTTTCTGATATTGTTTAATTTTGTCTCTTTGTTGTTTCAATTGCTTGAAAGAAAAAATATTTATCTTGTAAAATGATCTTGACAAGGAAAACTATGTGTTTTAAGCTTACTAGAACTGCTTTATCCTGCTCAGTAACTCTGCTTACTGGCTTTTTTGATTTTCCAAATACACCACCCATTTTTTTATAGCTATTATTTCATTAATTAACTTCAACGCACTAAATTGATTGATCAATTAATCTGATTCATTCACTGTTTATATATTTCTGCTTGTTATGTCCAAAATGAGTTGACTTACATCAGCACTTTGTCTTTCCTACAGTTTTCTCTTGAATTCATGTTAATTGGCTCATTACTCGATTATTGAAGACATTGATTGATTTATCTTAACATTTTAATTTTTTTTTTATTTGATCCCATACCACTTAATCTCCAATTAGTTGATGAATTTAAGGAAATAAATTATATATGCGTTTTTTGACTCAATGCAACAAATTTTATGGTACGTGACTGTTGCGCAGTCTTTATGCTACAAATTTGAATTTTAAAAACACGTTAGAAGCAAGTAATGATTTAAAGGACTCTCCAGAACTTCCAATTGACTATTCTGCTTTAATGAGCTACAGTAAGATCCATTAAATGTATAACTGAATCGTTTTATTAGGCCAAAAATGGTTGTACAATACAGTTTATTAAATAGGTACTAAATATATATTGTAGTTAAATGCTAATTGCTTTACCAGTATAAAAAATATGATTCGCAAATTCGCTGTCTATGAGATTTCATCAATTGAATTTACTTATTCACTAAGTATATCATCATAAAAAAAATATGTGAAGCTGGATCGTTTGTGCATTTTTTGTGCATTGTAAAAAGTGTTTGATCTTAGCATATAGATAGTTAAATATAGTAGAATGAGATTATTGTAGGAATGATAAAGGACGATCCGATAATACAGTGTAAAATCTAAGTCTAATGGCAATTAAAATAAATTAGGTAATAAAACAAGAAATACTCAAGTCTTTAGTTTCATATTGTAGATAAGAAAAAATGATGTAGCAGCACCGTTGAAATTAAGATATAGAACATTCGCAACACATTAATCCATAATAAAGACAATCGATAATCTTTTCTTCCTTCTTATGTTCATTTTCGAATTCCTTATTCTTCTTTTTTGCATGATTTCGCCGTCTTCGAGGAACATTTGCTGATCTCATACGCTGCATGGAAACCTTAAAAGTGAAAACGATAAATCAAGATGAATCATTGCAAAATTATACAATAAAGCATGTTTATACTTACAGAATCAATATCGTCATCTATAATATCATGTTTCTTTACATCATCATCCTCATCAAATTCCAAGTGTTCAATAGAATCAAGATCAGTGTGATTCGATCCAGTTTTCTTATTTCTGAATCTTATTGTTCCAGCATTATGATATGCATGGTCTTCAATATCAATATTATCAGTATTGCAAGCCTTTGCATCGCCATTAATTTCCCCATTCTTAAGGATATCTTTTACAACAATTTTCTCTTGTTCTATGGAATTTTCATCAAGATTTGCTTGATCATCGGACGGATGATCCTTAACTGCACAAGTAGCTGAGACTCCAGCTGCGACACATAAAGGATCAATAATGTGAGTTGCAGCAGAAACAGCAACTGTACTTCCACTTGCCTCATCATGTACGCTTCTATAGAAAATTATAATAATTACATCAATTAATATTGAAGAATAATTATACAGCACGCTAATATCTTACATGTTAATTAACTTCCTTTGTTCACCAGCACCTCCGAGAGTCCACATTTCGTTTTTCCGTTGCTGCGTGTAATTTTTATTAACTTCCTAAAGTTTTCAAAAATATGTCATTAAATCAGGTCATACAAAGTAGAGATGTGTGAAGAGATAAGGAAATTAGTGATTATACCTTGTTAGTAGGCTTATAAATTCCTTTACGATCGTGACGTTTGCGTCCTGGAATCCATAATATTTTCATTCCAGTGCCATTTTTTGAAGTTGACATATTTATGCACTTTTAACACAATTTTTTTCTGTAATACTTCTTCTATGTATCAATCTTTTGTTGTGTATGGATATATTCTTTTTATTATTGCTGAGAGTGTTTTACATAAATCACAAAATTTTCATTCAAATCATGTCTTTTTCCGGAAGAATTGATCGTCATTCAATAAAACACCGAGCATTTAAGTAAATTAAGTAAGAATTGGAATAAAATGAGCGTGTTAATTAACGTAAATTAAATAAACTAATAAATACGAAAAAGCAATCAGCTTAAGAGAAACTAGTTTGTAAGCTCCGACATCCAGAGATGATACTCACGTGCTGTGTACCTTTTGGAAATTTGTGTGTTGCTTGTGAAAGTTGAACACGTGTCACACATGTCGCACGTGACAAACAAAGTCAAAATTCGTCAACAGTCTAAATTTTGGTCCGAGTTTAGCCTGAGTATAGGCACATCCAACTCTGTAAACAGCATGAATTCTCCACTTCCAACAGCTGCAATTGTTTTCCTCGAAGAGCTTAATAACAAGTGATTGTTTGAAGATATTTATTTTAGTTTTTCTACGTCTATCGTGCGTCTATAATATCGATAAACGCGTAAATTAAGTGCATAAATCGTTAGTAGATTGGGAAACATGCGAATTTAGTGAAAATATTAGTGGCAATGAAGCATTAAGCAAAAAATTTAAAGTTTTTTAAAAATAATTTTCTACTTTTTACACTACTATCCAATAATCGATAACTAGGTACGAGAATTAAATAAATATATGAAAAGGTGAGGGTGCAGCATTATCGTCTATGATTATAGAAAAAAATATCAAATTTCTGATAAGTGAACAAATTCCTCTCGAATTACACAGCAGTGCTATACAGTCTATATTGACAATTTTTTTTTTACTTTCTTTCTTTTTATGATTTGTCTCGCGCTGATGCAATAAAGGTAGTTTGCTATATATATATATTAAAAAAAAGCCACAGAAGAAAGAAAGAAAAAATGAACTAAAACAGTTATTTCAATGAGAAATTTCTGTTTTTGGTAAACTCATTGTTCTTTTTAAATACATTATTACATCTTCAATGTAAATATCAGACGAACGGTATCAAACATATAATTAGCATTACAAGATAGTAACATAGTTCACCAAAACAGAAAAAAAATACGAATTAAGCCAAAAAGAATGAGGTAAAAGATGTGAATTAATTATCTTTCACGCTCATATATATGTTAGAGTTGAAAATAAACTCATGGATAATCGCCAGTGATTCATGCAAATAACAAATAAATACACCTCTTTTGTGGTGGTTGTGTTGTGAGTTTAAAAATTAGTAATAAGGCACGGTCCGAAACATTCATTGTCGCGCAGTTATAGATTATTTTATAACGGTAATTCTTCAAAAAATACAAAACCCTACAAATAAAACTTTTTAAAACCATTCAACAGCTAAATTAGTGTTTGAAAACTTTATAAATGTTTTAAATCTAGTGATGTGATCAGACACCCAAAGTGAATAGTATAGCAGGCAAACAGTGGTTCTTGAAAATTACTTCTTTATAATGAAGTTAATAATATAATCTAAATATAGGAATGTGATGTTGAATGGTAATGATTTGCCATATATGAGTTTACACACGTCGTTATGACTTCATAAATATTAACCATTGAATTGGTCATCGTCAAAAGAGTTTTCCATCATTTGAATTATACCCCGTAAAGTTTCAAGGACGGAAATGATTTTTCCATTAACTGCACAAAACGAAATAAAAACTGAGTCAATCCAATTACTTAATACCGAATTTAATGATGATGAAAAAGTGACGAAAGAGAGCAAAAAGACTGTGTGGTACAAACAATAAGTATCATAATAGATATTGTAATGCGTTGTATTGGTAATGGCCAACTTCTTAGCTATGTTTTAAAAGAAAACACACATAATCTATATTGGTGCTATACTTGAAACAAATGTTTTGAGTATAATGCTGCAATGAGCTTTCCTTTTGTTGTTATGCTTATTATATTTATTGGTAAACGATGAATAAAAAAGCAAAAGTAATGATCTCTTTTTAAAAACATTAAATGGCATTATAAAAACGTAAATTCAATTTATTAAGGAGCAATTTAATTGAATGAAATGCTTTCAAGTACTGTTGAATGCTCAGTATTGTTGACTTTTAAGGATATCACGTATCTTTTCAATTCTCTTGATAAATGCTGCTTCCTTCTTGCGAAATTGATTTGTAAGAAACTGTTTAATGATGTGCTCACATAAATCCAGGAACTCTTCAAGCTGAAATTAAATAATATATGCAAATGAGATAAAGTTATTCACAGACAATATCTTTCATCTTTTACCGTCAAATCATCTTCCGAACGTCTCATTTGAACAAATTTACAATTAGCTGAGTGCTTTTGATGTTCCATCCATGGATCATCTGTGTTTTCCTGTTTAATTATGATTTACAATTATTAGAAATATTGCCTTTAGTGACATTCAAGATAACAACTCTGATTGGAACTGCCTTAATGTCTTGTTTATTCAGTATAAACTTACCCATCCATCCAAAACTTTTCCACAAACAAAACAAATCGCAGAATCATCATCTTTTGAATTGCCTGAATAGTAGAATCCGGCTCTTGCCATCTGTCGATAGATATTTACATAAATATATTAGATATAAACCAGTTAATTAAAGCATTTTACCTCGAGAACAGAACATTTCTCATTTTCATCAAATTGCCAGTTTTCAAAGCTTTTTATTCGAAGTTCCTCAAAGATTTTTAATGTATCTCCAAGCGTAGTGACAATATTGCTTGCCCTCTTCATTTCCTCAGCACTTAATTCATGTATAGCAGGCATTTTGTAGACAAATTTAATTAAAATCGATTTTACAGAATTTTGTTGTTAAAAAATTATTCAAAAAATAACGAATTATAAAAAACAACGCATTTCGAGAAAGCATTTTGAATTTTAAAAGATCGTTAATTTTATGACACGTGCTATAAAATATTCATCTTTCACCGTCATATTAATTAATTAATTTAATTTCAGAATCAAAATACACACATCACAATGGAAGACTATAAGTTTTTATTTAAAGTTGTTTTAATCGGAAATTCAGGTGTTGGAAAGACATGCTTAGTCAGACGGTTTACACAGGTAATTATTGTGATATTGCAGCAGCTTCTTTATTAATGGTTCTATTGGATTCTCTTTATTTACAGGGAGTATTTCCAAAAGGCCAAGGAGCTACAATTGGAGTTGATTTTATGATAAAAACATTGGAGGTAGAAAACAGTGCTGGACAACGTGAAGCAGTCAAATTACAGATTTGGGATACAGGTAATCTAAACTACATACAATTTCCGATGGCATTTTTGTTAAGTCTACCTATTTTTTTAAAACAGCTGGTCAAGAAAGATTTAGATCAATTACTCAAAGTTACTATAGAAGTGCACATGCATTAATTCTCGTATATGATCTATCATGTCAGCCAACATTTGATGCATTGAATGACTGGATACGAGAAATTCAAGAATATGCTAATCCCAAAGTCTTAAAAATTCTTGTCGGCAATAAAACTGACCGAGATGATAGAGAAATTCCGGTTCGTGTAGGTGAAGAGTTTGCAAAAGCTCACGATATGTACTTCCTCGAGACATCAAGTAAACAAGGAGAGAATGTCGAGAAATTATTTTATGAAATTGCAGCTGAGCTTATTGAGCAAGCAAGACAAAAAGGGGGTCTTTCAAGAAACCATCATAATTCGAGTGTTACTAATTTAGGAATGAAAAATAATATTAGCAGTTTCCAATCAAATTGTTGTAGTGGTGGTGTCGGAACTAATAATAACAGTAGCAATTAAATGAGTGTAAAGCTTAGCTTTTTAAAAAATTAATAATTTTACCAATATATTATTATCATTGAACTTAGTGTATAATCTGTACATCACTTTGCAGTAAACACTTTTACCAAACATCACCACCTAGAATGTATTTTTGACATGAACTTATTCGTAACTTTTTGAAACGAAATTTAATTACTTTACTTCTACCTACTTAAAATTATACAAGAGCGAGTCTTGAAGGATCCATTACTGACTGTTCAATTTAAAGTACCTAGATAACATTTAATATTCTTATTTTTATTTATCACTATTTTAGACTAAATTGAGTTGAAACTAGTTAATTCCTTCATATTTCTGAAGGCATGTGCGTATTGTTGCCGTTCTGTCCTTTTGTATTCAAAAACGACACGTTAGATTGAGACTAGGACGAGCCAAAATGCGTGTGAACTTGGTTGTATTATACTTTCTATCCGTCTTTATTTAATTATATTTTGAAACATTAAGTATTTCATTTATTTATGATGTATTATTGAGCTTTTGAAAAACCTGATATTGTTAAAAATTAATTCATTCACATTGTGATCATTTTTCTGTTAAAAAATATTGTTTTTAAAGATTTTAATAAAACAAAGCATAATCATTAAGAGAAGAAAAAAAAAGTATAATTATCTTCGTGACTTTTTACTCCTTTTATGATCCGATTCTGAACTGCTGCTGCTGCTTCGACGCTTTGATGATTTACTCTTGTGCTTTGAACTCTTCTTCCTTCGGCTGTCATCAGAGTCGCTTGAAGGACTGGATCTTTTAGTACTACTTTTATGACTAGATGTTTTGTGTCTACTACTTTCATCATCTCTTTTTCTACTAGAACTGTAATCATGCTTGTCCCTTTTCTTTTCAGTTGATCTTGAGCGTCTCGAATCACGGATGCGATAATCTGATCTATCACGAGATTTTTCTCTGGAATTTCTACGTCTTTCAGGTCGTCTATAATTGTCAAACTTTTCTCTAGATCTTTCTCGTACCTTTACTCTGTCTCTAGAATCTCGTCGATTCTGTGGCCTGTAATTTCGTGATCGATCATCATTAAACCTTCTGTTGTTATTATTGTTGTATCGATCATTTCTATAATTATTAAAATATTTTGGTCGATTATCAAAACGATCACGATTATCATGTCTTCTTTGTGGTGATCTAGAGCGCCGTTCCTTTCTATCGCTAATATTTGATTTACTTTCTTTATCGTCATCGCCATATATTGTGTAATTTCCTTTACCACGCCATTTAATTTTAGATACAGACTGTGAGAAATCAACATGAATACGACGATCATCAATGAGAACATTATCCATTTTAAAATAAGCATTTTCGCATGACTTTTGCTCTTCAAACTCAATAAATGCATATTGTAAGGAATCGCCACTTTGCTTATCTCTAATTACTTCACATGACTTGATTTTTCCGAAACGACTAAATATGATTTCTAAGTCATCATCCGTTGTCACTGGATTTAATTTACATACAAAAAGGACATTTTCAGGTGGTGCGCATTCTGCATCCGGAAGATCGCCAACAATTTCTAAAATAGTGGCTCGTGTTTTAGCTTCTCTTTCTTCAAGCATTTCCTGAATTTCAGCTTCAGTTTTGCCATCTGTATCGTCTATTTCTTCATCAGCACCAATACGTCCATTTTTTAATCGTTCAGGCGTTGGTGATGGACTTCTACTAGGCTCACGAAAGCCTCGCATATCAGGAAATGGATCATCAAGAATAACTGTATGAGTTATTCGAATATCCTTATAAGGTCTATGCTTGTCATCAGTTATTGCCTCATTTAAGCTCCTCAAAACTTCAATTCCTTCAACAACTTCACCGATTACACAATGAATTCCATCGAGCGATGACAGCTCAGTTCCCAATGTGAAGAAAAACTGTGATCCGATATAGCCATCTTCAAATGCAACCATGCTATAGATTAAATTATTTTATTAGACTTGACTTATATCTGATTATGCCTTTATTTACCTCAACAATCCAACATCAGAATGAAGAATTTTCGGAATCTGTTCTGCTTCAAAAAATCGCTTCTGTGGACCATTTATAACACCCCAAACTGATTCACTGTTTGTTCCTTCACCTGTAATGTCTCCAGTTTGTGCCAAAAAGTTTCTTTCTATCGTGTGGAACAGATTATAATTGTAGTATTTTAATTTGCACAATTTGATGAAATTAAGACATGCTTTAGGTCTCTCTTTGAGATAGAGATCTACTGTTATATCTCCAACAGTTGTTTCAATCACTACCGACATCGTTTACTCTCTATTTAATTAAAATAAAATGATTGAAATAAATTTTACTAGATTGTTTACAACTCGGTATGAAAATAAATAAAATTATAGCAAATGCGCTTTATAGGATAATTTGTGTTTAAAAAATAATTTTGTTGATTCCTTAAAATGTACGCAAAATCAACGCAAAAGAGAAATTGGACATTAACAGCTGATGAGTTAATTAATCTAAGAGTCAAACATAATCAGGAATTTATAGCGACCAATGGAGCACACATTGATGTAAGTAATTGTTTATTTTTAAATATTTTTAAGTTTAATTAACTGTATCTTTCGAATAGAACCAATCGTACTTTTTAAATCCCTTTGAAGAGAGTATTCTACTAAGACAGTATGAGCTTCAATTAAAAGAATTCTGTAAAAGATTCGAGCCACCAATGCCACCTTATGTTCTAGGAACTGCATTTCATTATTTCAAGCGATTTTATCTGTACAATTCAACAATGAATTACCATCCAAAAGAAATACTGGCAACTTGTGTATATCTTGCATCGAAAACTGAAGAATTTAATATCTCAATCCAGCAATTTGTATCAAATGTCAAAGGCGACAGAAATAAAGCTATGGAAATAATTTTGAGCAACGAGTTGCTGCTCATGAAGGAACTGAATTTTAATCTCACGATTCACAATCCATTTAGGCCAATTGAAGGATTTCTGATTGATATAAAGACAAGATGTGATATGCAAAATCCAGATAAACTGAGGAAAGGCATTGACGAGTTTTTAGAGAAATCATTTCTGACTGACTGCTGTCTTATCTATTCACCATCTCAAATTGCTCTAGCTGCAGTGCTGCATGCTGCTAGTAAAGCTCAAGAGAATTTGGATGCTTATGTCACTGATTCCTTATTTGCCAACTCTACTCAAATGCTCAAACCTCTAATTGAAGCCGTTCGAAGTAAGTCATTGACTAACATCCAACTGTAGTTTTTAATGTAAATATTATTAATTCTATTATAGAGATCCGATCAATGGTTAAAAATATCCCAGAAATGCCTGATAAGAACACGATAAAAGCACTCGAGAAGAAATTAGAGCGATGCAGGAATCAAAATTTTAATCCAGATGCAGAAGTCTATAAACAGAGACAATTGAGGGAATTAAATGAAGAAGATGAGGATACGAATGATCAGGATGTCTCAATGATGAGTACTTCCAATTTCGAATAGATTTTGTACATTTGTGAAAGTTGCTATAAATAAAACGGTTTTTAAATTCAAATTTAATCCAAATGAAAATTACTGAACTTTTAAATTACCAAAACTGCTTGTAACAGCACAGAAAATTGATTAATTAAGCAGGTAAACTTTATTCTAGTGCTAATAGATTACTAAGATTGACAAAGTATTATAGTCAAGTAATAAAAGTCTTGGAAAAGAAGGAAACATCAAAAAGGAAAAAAATATTCGACGTCATTCGTGGTTGAGTAAATTACTTGGAAGGAAATAGAAGACGAAAAAAGTAAATTAAACGTTCTAATCATACATTTTAAGCTTTAAAAACTATTTAATTCTGTAGTTAAGCACTTATATTAAATCAATTGAATGAAGTTGGCTTATTTTAGCAAGTTTTAATGTGATTTTTTCGACTCTCTTTTTTTGCAGAAAGAAAAACTTTGAAACTCACATTTTTCGTCTCTATTAATTAAATATAGTATATCAGAAAATATTAATTCAATCAAATAAACATACGAAATCGACTAATGATGTATCAAGGCGGCTATCAAGGAGGAAATTTCAACCAAAATCATGGGTAAGCAAAAATTTGTTCATTGTCTGTAAGTTGTAAGAAAAATGGCTGCTCTAATAATGCACAGAAATTAAGTTTCATTAGAAAATTCGTGAAATTAAGTCATCGTAAAATTGTGGAAAATTGCCAATAATTTAAAAGTATTCAAATGTCACGAAATAATTGGTAATTTTGCATTGCATTCATATTGAATTTCATTTTATGGCCTTGAATATATGAAGTTTACAATAGCTACTTTCCCGTCCATTTAGACTCGATTAATGCATGCGCAAAAATTTTCTCTCTTTCTATTCCAATTTAATTTGATGATATACAGTATTCGAGCACCACGTCCACAATACAACAATGACGGAGAAAATCGCTGGAACCGAAACAACAGCAATCCAAATCAATTTAATCCGAATTTCATGAATAATGGCGCATTCAATAATCCTAATTTTATGCATAACCGAACATACCCACCGAAAAAGGATTTTGGAGGTCCAAAACCACCCAAACCAATGATGATGCAAATGAATTCACAATCACCAGATCTTGATGAAATGTCAAAGGAAGATCGTGCAAAATTACAAAGCATGAAGGCTAAATATCCAGGTCAGAGCTTAGTTGCTCCAAATTGGGATACGATTAAACTCGAACCGTTCTTTAAGGACTTTAATAAAGTTCATGAGAATAATGTTAATCGTTCAATTGAAGATGTTGTCGAATGGAGAGGAACAATGGAGATTACAGTTAAAGGCAAGGAAGTTCCATTCCCACATCAAGAATTCAAAGAAGCCAATTTTTCACAAAACATTTTCACTGAAATTAAAAGACAAGGATTTACTGCACCGACACCAATTCAGTCTCAAGGATGGCCAATTGCATTATCAGGCCGAGATTTTGTTGGAATTGCACAAACTGGATCGGGAAAGACATTAGCTTATATGCTTCCTGGAATTGTGCACATTAATCATCAACGACCTCTTTTAAAAGGTGAAGGTCCAATTGTATTGGTTTTAGCTCCAACTCGCGAATTAGCTCAGCAAATTCAAACTGTAGCTCGTGATTTTGGTACACATATTAAGCCAATGGCTAGAAATACTTGCATATTTGGAGGTTCACCAAAAGGACCACAAATTCGTGATTTGCAAAGAGGCGTTGAAGTTTGCATCGCTACACCAGGCAGACTGATTGATTTCCTCGAACGTGGTGTCACTAATTTACGAAGAGTCACCTATCTTGTTTTGGATGAAGCTGACAGAATGTTGGATATGGGTTTTGAACCACAAATCCGAAAGATTATCGAGCAAATTCGCCCCGATCGTCAAGGTAAGGCATAATAATCTCTTTTTACACTTTCATTTGCTAAAAAAAGATTTTTGTTTTATTGTTTAGTGCTTATGTGGAGTGCTACGTGGCCAAAAGAAGTTCAAACTCTTGCTGAAGACTTCTTGCACAATTATATTCAGGTCAATATTGGCTCATTGAATTTATCTGCAAATAACAACATTATTCAAAACATCAAGGTTTGTGAAGAAAATGAAAAAGAACAGGAACTGATTGGATTATTAAAGAGATTAGGAAATGATGCAACCAACAAGAGCATAATTTTTGTCGAGACAAAGAAGAAAGTTGAAGACGTATTGAAAATCATTCAGCGCGAAGGATATAGCTCTAACTCGATTCATGGAGATAAGAGCCAAAATGAAAGAGATTTTGTTCTTGAAAGTTTCCGTAATGGACGTATTTCAGTGTTGGTAGCAACTGATGTTGCAGCTAGAGGATTAGATGTCGAAGATGTAAAGAATGTCATTAATTATGATTATCCAAACTCGTCGGAAGATTATATCCACAGAATTGGTCGTACTGGAAGATGTGAGCAATCAGGAGCTGCTTTTACATTCTTTACTCCATCAAATGCACGTCAGGCACGCGAATTGATTGCTGTTTTAAATGAAGCTGGTCAGAATCCAGCAAAAGAACTTATTGATTTAGCCAAGACTATTAATGGCAAGGGAAATGGACGAAACATGAATCAACGTTTTGGACGACCTGATCAATATAACAGACCAATGAATAATTACAACAAACCAAATGGAATGGTAAATGGATTCAAAGGAATGGGACAAGGCTGGATGAATATTAATAATCCACAAAACAACTATAATAAGGATTACATGAATAAGGGTGATAATCCAAGACCATTCAATAAGTTCCATAATCCAAATCATGATGATAAGAAGCCAAATGAAAATGGCATGGGATATAAAAAGCCAGATTTTAATAATCGTTTCAATCCAAATAAGCCCGTACAAGGAGGATTTGTTCAAAATCAGGGTGGATATCAAGGAGGATATCAAAAGAATTTCGGTGAACAGCGTGGAGACAGTCAAGGCGGTGAAGGATATAAACCAAAATGGCAAACTGACAAGCCTAGAACATTCAATAAGCCAGATTTTAATGGAAATCCACGTGGTGATAAACCTCAATTCCAAAATAATTACATGGGAAAGCCTCGTCCACCATTTAATAGCAATGCACCACCACGATTTGGAAGTCAAGGCGGAGCTGAATATAATGGACAACAGCCACAGCAAAAGTTTAACAAGTATGAAAACTATAAACAATACAATAATGATAAGGAAGCCGGTGGTAGTGATGTTTTCCAAGGTGTAAAGAGCTTCAGTTCTAATAATCGTCATTTCAACAATTCAAATCGTTATGGTGATCATCAGAATAATCAAATTGAAGGTCAATCGCCAGTTGTCCATGCACAACAGCCACAACAAACATTCGTTCCAGCAGATGCCATTGATGGAGCTCCTCAAGCCTTTGATTCAAATATGATTCAAGGATATCGTATGATGAATGGACAAATTCCACCATTCCCACCTGCTTTCGGTGAGTTATATGCTTATAGCTTTTTAATTTTTGTAGTAAAGTGTACTCTGTTAATTTAGTAATAGAATTTGGCTTAATTTAATTGAAAAAAAAAATGGGCTCAAACAGCTGTTCCTCTGTTCCACATGCTTGCTCAAAAAAAAAAATAATAATTCTCTAATAAGTTACTAAAGTACATTTTAACAAACTTACTGCTACACATTCTCATATCCACACATGATTTTTAACGGTTTTGTTCTAATTTAAGCGGTTATTCAAATGTAAATCACATCCTCTCATTAACGATGAACTTTCAACAAATGAATATCAATCATAAACAGCTGTTTACCCAGCCCTACACTAATCTACTACTACTATTAGCAGCATTAAAAAAATATTAATTCCTATGTCTATTTTTAAATTAAAAATTTAAAAGATTATCAACAAAGACCGCCACAGCCGAATGCACAACAAATGACAGATATTCACCAGACAAATGCCTGTAGCTTTCAAAACATCCAAGGCGGGCCACAACAGGCACGACAACAAATGTATGTGATTCCAAACGGTCCAAATCCGTACATTCAATTCCAACCGTAAGTTTATCTGATCTAAAATTAATGTTTTCATCACACATCCCTCCCTCCCAAAAATAAGACTCAACCACGAATGAAAATTTTTTATAGAAACCAAAATATTTAGATTTTTTAAGGAATTCTCTTTCGTTTTTGCCAATTTTTTAAAAAAAAGAATATCAAGTTCTTGATGGTTTTTGTGTGTAACTCTCAATGAAACTTTTAAACGATGATTGAAGCATTGGCAAAAAGCTGTTTCTTGCAAAATAAAACTTTAGTTCAGTCCAATTATTTTCTGTGCGCATTTCAACGGACAAAAAAAAAACGATCAAAAATTTTTTTTGAAAAACTTAAATGACAAAGTATTTTTTTCAAATTTTTCCGAGACGTTATAAAATACTTACTTTTTTTGTTAGGAAAATGTGCGCAAAAATCAAGGAACAATAGCTGAATGTTCTAGTATTTTACGGAGAAGTGATGTAAAACATAAGAAAACGCCTTCACAAAATATGAAAAATTGTGAAGATTATTAATTATAATCGATTAAATAATATTACAACACACACACACACATAACTTTATAGTTTAAGCAACTTACAAAATATTGTATGTAACTCTCGAATGAAGTAATTTGGTTGATGATTTGTGAGTAAGGAGTTACAATTTAATGAATACATATAAACATTATTGATGATTAACTTCACGCTGAACTGCGTCAATGAAGAGCAGCTTTCTCTCAGTCTAATTTGTGTGCTCTTGACGAAGCAGTTCAAAATTTTTTTTATTAATATATAATCACTTAATAAATTTAAATGGTAATTTTGTAGTTTGTAGACGTTAAATGAATTTAATCCGTAATTACAATGAGAAAAAAATAATAATATGGCAATCCATAAACGCATTATATCATTAAAATTATTCAATTACTGAATAGCTACTTATTTTGATTTCGCATTGAAACAAAAACAAACAAAAAAGAATCTATTGGGTATCAAATAAATAAATAAGCTACAGTACAGAACATAATCTGTAGTAAAATGGAAATGCACTGAAAAATTAATAAATTATCTAACATTAGCCGTGCTCGTTGTTCGATGCAAAAAAAAGATGATAAAAAAATGACTAAAATTAGCTAAAGCAAACAAAATTTTCTACGAAACTTTTTTATTTTAATGTGCACAATGAAAAAATGCAATTTTTAACAAAAGCTTTATCGCAAATTAAATTAAAGCGATAACTAAATCATCATGCATGCTTGGTCTCTGAAAAAGCCTTTTCTAAAAGAAATTCCCATTGAAATTTCAACAGTTTTCAATTATTGAACAATTGCATGGTTTTAAAAACACTCAAAATTCAAATGCTTAGAAACGGTTGGAATATTAAGCTTTTGAAAGAAGCAATTTCACCCAAGTTAATACGCTCAACAGAGATCTTGCATGCATCATGAAGAAATTATTTAATGAAAAACAGCAAAAATAAAAAACAAAAGTAAAAACTTTAAAAGATAGGAAACATTTTTTAATTGAAAAAAAGGTTTTGTATTGAAGGATTTATATTTTTTCAACAAAGAAAAATTCGAATGATGATGAAAATTGGTTAAAATAAGAAAATTCGAGATAAAAAACTATTTCATTTAGTGTGTGAATCATAAAATTTGAGCATTAGTAGTTTATTTAATTTAAAATTGATTCAAAAACTGATTAAAGCGCATTTTCCGAACTGTGTTTTCTTTTTCCGTTAATCCGTTTGATCTTCATTACCAAAAAACTTTACTGACTATGTTACCCACTTTGATTACATACTCTGTACCCATTTTGAGCCAGCATGCAGCTAATGAGATCATTTCTAATACTTACTTATTTGGCCAAACAATGATCAGATTAATTGTGATTTATGTCCTAAAAACATGTCTTGAACATTGAAGTTATTGAATCTTTCGATTATCGACCTGATATGAATGTCAACAACGCCAAACTGCTAAAATTCGGAAAATGCGCTGCTGTACCGCAATAAAGGTGGACATTTTTTTTTTATTGGATGAGATGTTGCGAGCATGAATGATTTGATTGATTTCTGTTTTGAACGTAAAGAAATGTCAACTCGTATTGAATTAATCATACAGATATAATGAAAGTTCCCTACATAAATGATGAAACAAATTTATATTTAACAAGAATAATGAATATAAAGGTGAAGAAACAATGTTTACAGTCAAAAAAAATATTAAGAAAATGCCTTCAAATGAACTATTTATTATAATCATGTGATAATAAGTATAAAGAGGCACAAAAAATGCAGTATAATTGCGGAGAAGCTGCATCGGCAAACAAAATAAACTGAAGTATTTGCATAACTTGTACCTTTTTCTCGTTACATTTGCTTTCCAATTATTAATTTAACGACGTAACATTAAAGAAGAAGAAGAAGTAAAAATATTAATGACAGAATAAAAGACTTAAAATTGTGTGAATTTAATAATCTTATATGTTCAGAACGTTCTTCTTGAGATCTCAAAACACAAACATAACGATGATAAACATGAAAATCTCGTCATAACTCATATTATCCTTCTCATAAATTATTTGAAACTAAACTTAAAAGAATATTTTTTTTAAAAAATATTTAATACATGCACTGTGATGTAGAGCCCATCAGGATTTAAAACTCATTATTTTATCTCAGAAACGAAACAAAAAAAAAAATCATTTAAAATCGTTAAGTATTTCTGCAACAAAAAAATAATAAGGTGGAAAATTTGAAACTAATGAATATAAGTGACATTTGAATATAAAAATGTTTTTTGAACTGTGATATTTGTTGTAGTAGGAAACATTAAATGAAAAACTCGAAAACAAAAAAAAACGATAATTTAACAATGAATGAAAAAATTTGTCATAAAGCAAATGAATTTTTTGAAACATGTGTGTGTTAACACAAATCAACTTATGAAAGACTTGATTAAAGTTGAATTAAATTATTGTTGGTAGTTGATTTGGTGGAATAAATCAATTACTTGTGATGAAAATACAACAAATATAGTACAAAGAACCCAAAAAATTACGGAAAAAAAAAATTTCAACAGACTTGATTTTAAACGTGTAATAGTCGTACTTTTCTCGTCTCTCTCACAATGCATATTTATTTTAACTTCTTCCATACTTTTAAAGCTATTTTTTTAACATAAAGCTTTGGCTCTCTGGGTTATCATTGATTCACTGACAACAGTTTTGCAGACCAATTTAAGAACTCGGTTGCAAACTTTTTGACTGCTCATGTGTCTATGTGTCTATTACTAGCACTCAGGTTCATCTCTTGGACAGCACTTGTAGTTTAAAAGTTCGTCGTTGTCAGCATAGAACCAGACAGAGCTGCATACAGTAGAATCAATGCTAATTCAGAGCAACAGAAGTTTACACAGTAATAAACCAATTCGATACCAAAAAAAAAAAAACAAGGAAATTATGACAAATACTGAAGACATTATATCAATGTCGTACATCATTACTGTGATTTAAATAAAATGTCTACAGTAATCAAAATGAGCTAAGAATAGGAAGAGAGGAAGAAGGAATGTTGGAAAAAGAATAAGACTGTGAAATGTTTCCTAATGCAAGAAAAAAACCATTTCTTATATCTTCTTTAAATTATGAATTAATAAAATAGGTACATTTAGCAACAAAGAAAAAAATAATAATAAATCCTCAAATGCAAAACATAGCAAAAGAAAAAGAGAAAAATTAAGGAGATTTCATGACGATTACAAGCGAAAACATAGTCAAAATTAGGTTAACAATATTAAAAATGATGAAATAATGAAAATTAGTCAATTTCCAGGGATTGTTGATGCTTGAACAATCATGCTGGAAGTAAAAATCATTCCGTTTGAGAAATCTTAACGAGTCAATAATGTCACGACATGCGTAGACGTGACAGTAGTGGATAATGGCAGTCGTTCCTTGCCTTAAGAATATCCTTGCTGTCAAATATTTGCATGTAGTTATTATCTTAATTTTGTTTTTATAAGAGAATAGTTTGAAGAACCAATAAAAATTCATCAAATACAGAGCTTTAATTTGTTTGTAGAAGCGAACACAAGACTTCTATGACATATAAAATGTATGTGCACAAAAACATGCATGACAAAGAGAAAGGGACTCTTTATATTTGTATCGAAAATGAAACAAAATTATGAATTGAAGACTCTTTTAAGTTTGAGTTAAGTTACTGAACGAAAAAATATAAAGTTTTTTACAAACAAAGTGAAAAAAAAAGAATAAATAAAAAAAGGCTGTTAAAGATTGCAAATCTTCATAAAAAATTATTGATAACAATGGAGATAGACAAAAAAAAAGTATCTTTATACATTTATGAATTTAAAAACGAGAAACAACAACAAAACTTTCATGTCCTATAGACTTCAGCTGTGGTGTAGGACGCATCTCTCTTTACTGTTGCTTCCAAAAAAATAAAAGAAAGAAATTTTGTATTTTAAACATGAATGACAACCGTTAATGCAAAGTATTATGGTTTGCGTAAGGAAAGTAAATAATTAAAAGAGAAAAAAGTGCATTTCTGGTATTTGATACAGTTAAAAAACTTATATTTGCTTTAGAATGCAGTTCCAGTTTCTTTTGATTTGATTATCTTGACCAAGTTGGCTTTATTTTTACATTACTATGCTTCTCTTCACACATCCTTCAACAGCTAGCTAGTCATAGTCAGTTGTGAGAGTGTGTTGAGAGAAGTTTGGTCCAATGAGTATGATAAATTAAATTCATTTAATAACTTTGTGTTTTAATTCATTTCCTTTATTGATTCTTGATTCTTGGTAATATTTAGAAGATTAAAGATGTATTGAGATAAAAATGAGCATTTAACTCTATGCAGTTTCATGCCACAAAAGGACTAAATAAAAAATTGAAAATTATTCCAACAAAATTATCATCTAATCTGTTTTTCTTTTATTCTCCTTTCTCTATATTATATAGGATGTTGCCTTGTCAGTATTATTATTATTCGACGTCGCCAATGCACAAAGAGACCATCTTCGTTAATGACAAAAATAGTCAAATTAATCGAAAACTATAAATGAACAACAATATTATGTAACAGAACCCAAAAGTGATAATTTCTCTTACCAAATATTTATTCTACGCTGTTTAAAAATTTAATTTAAGTTCATCGTTATTGAGTACATTTGAATAAATTGTTTTAACTGATATTTTGTTTTTGAATTCTAACGGTCTCAGAATTTTTAAGTTGCTCAACATTAGTAAGGTTTTCATTGCTCTTAAAAAGTCAACGCAAAAAAAATCATTTTCAGTTAATTCTCCCAACAATTTATTCAATTTACAGTTTAATATTATTACTTAAGTACTGTGTCTATCTGCTGTGCATTTCTTTGTCTTATTCTTATGAGATTATTACAAATAGCTTGTTAAAAATCGAGAAATACCTAAGTGAATTTTCATTTAAAAACTCAAAACAAAATATATTTAAATTAAAAGTTTATCAGGATGAAGGCTCAGTTTGGACTTGACAGCTTGCCAGATTGTGAGAAAATGGTTGAATGTCCTTATAATAAAGCACATTTAGTTGTTCAGCATCGGTAAGTTTAGTCAAAAGATTTTTTCCACGAACAAAAACAAAACCTGAATGATGTATTTACAGCATGGCTAATCATATTATCAAGTGCCGAAAGAGCCAAGAAATAAGCGGAGTAAAAGAATGTCGTTTTAATTCATCTCATCTTCTACCAATGGCCGAAATCAAGGTAACATTATTGTTACTGGATGTTTTGAGATCTAGCACTAATTTTCATTTTTCTCACAAAAGTCTCATGAAGCAACCTGCCCTGATCGTGTAGTGATTGAGAATTTCGTTAATCATCGAATGGATCAGCCACAATCAAGTGCCTTTTCAACAACAAGTGGATACAGCTCAAAGAAAAATGAAACAGATTGGGATAACATTTCTGTTCCTACTTACAAGCCATTTCAGAAACGTTAGAGCTTGCATCATGCCAATTATGAATTCAATTTAATTTGCTGTGAATGCATTTTAATGTTTATTTAACTCCTTCTTCTGTTAGTAACGATCTATCAAAATTTATGTAGCATAATAGAAAACAAGCAATAAATAATCATTAAAACAATTTAAAATTATATTTTCAACATCAAGGATAAGAAGATCCTGATCGATAAATTAACATCAGAGCAGATTGAATATCACACTTTAATAGAGAAGTGTGAAAAATCAGCCTCAAATTAAGATTTACTTCAAATACTCAAGAATATAGATATTCTAGCTCTTAAAGGAACTGAATTCATTTGTAAGAATGACACACTTGAAGGACTAAGAATCTTATTAATTAAATTTGAAAATGTAGAAAAAAATAGATCTTAGCAAATGGACCATAATAAAAGTAACAATAATAACTGGTAGGCACGAGTATTGCGCCAAAATAATATTCTCTCAAAACTGCTTTAACGATCCTCTCTCATTGCTTCATGTCATGCACAAAACAAAGCAAAGAGTTTGTTTTTATTCGACTCACAGTTTGTGATTCAAAGTCTCTACGAATACATCGAAAATCCGTGCCTTCATTTATTATTTGTTCATTCTAATTTTTATTTTAAAGAAAGTATTTCATTCAATATATTTCCGTATTAAAATTGTTTTAAGCGGATTAAACAAGATTAAGAAGCATGTTGTTTGTTATGTTGATACTTTGAACTCGGAATGATCATCCATAAAAGCGGTTATAGCGAGCATGTCATTATCTTTCGAATAATAAGTTAATCGATTGATAAGTATTTTTGTGTGTGATAATTCTTGGTGAAATAAAAATTAATGTCACGTGTAGATTGATAGATAGACGACATAATGAAACCGTTGGATAAACAAGGAAGTTACATATAGAGTGTACAAATCGCATTGATAAAATTCGCTAAACCACAATGATAACAAAAAGTATTTGTTATTTTACTGCTCACAATCTTCGAGTCAAGTCGCTCATCTTCAAATTCATACGCATTAATTCAATAAACAAGAGAAAGTGTCACAAGAAGCTTAATTTTTTATGTAAATAGACTAAGAATAAAACTATCATCCTCTTCAATCATTTATAAATATATGATTACATCGCGTGTGTGCTTACAAATGTGATCAAGTGCAAGTGTGATAAAATAAACTTATTATCAGGCAATAAAAGACTATCTCAAGATACAAAAAAAAAATGTCAAAGGACGTAAAAAGTATATCATATATATACAAAAGAAAGAAATCAGGGACAGGATCATGGAAATGGAGCATTGTTCTAGCATATGGAGCTGCCAATGTAAGACAAATCACATGTTATGCCAACCTTATCTTAAGACACACAGATAAGATTTTTTTTTTGCTGCTAATTGAATTAAAAGCGTTTCTTATCTGCCTGCCTGACTGACTCGATAGTTATCTGTCTTGTTTTCCGTGCAATTTAGTTTTATTTATCCTTTTCTTTTTCTTTTTGTTGACGGTTTTGGACTTTAATCACGTTTTACAATCATGCATGATTCTTTACAATTCCCACACCTGTACCTTTAAAATTTTGACCCCTGAGAACTTTTAATTACTTGCAGCAATGTCTTAATCAAAGCTATTCAAGGCTAATGTGAGTGATTCACTCACTCATCGGCTTATATTCCTTATCATTAATTTTGTTTACTTCTTTATAGCTATTAATTATTCCATGCTTGACAAGTTTCGGCCTAATATTTAAAGACAAATTTAAGGAACTGAATTTTAGTGCGATTGAAGCGACCTTAATTCTTAATTTGAATTCAGCACTCGGAATGACGCTTGGCCTATTTAATGGAGTTCTACTCAAAACTTTTGGATTTAGAAAAATTGCTTTTATTGGTGGAACTTTATTTTCAGCAGGAATTACTTCTACAGCATTTGCCACCACATTTCATCATTTCCTAATAACTTACAGCATAATAGCATGTAATGTGAACACAACGAGTTTGTTTTGATGCATATGAATGATTATTTTCTTTGTTTGCAGCTATCGGAATGGGATTGTGTTCATCGTCTTTTCAATTAGCTTTAAATACTTACTTTAGAGACGATCGGAATAAGGCGTTTGGAATTGGAGCGACTATAACAGGTTAAATTTGTGATATAAATCTTAATAGACCTATTTAACAGTTTTTTGATAACTCTTATAGGATTTGGTCCAATTTTGTTTCCACATTTGATATCAAACCTTTTGAATATTTATGGTTCTCAAGGCTGTATTTTAATTATCGGAGGCTTAACTATGAATATAGTTTGTGCAGCTCTCCTTCTGAGGCCTTATAATTTGACTGAGAATAGCGAAAGTAAAGCATTAAATGCTAGTAATGCTGAGAATGGAAGCATGTACAAGCCAACACCATCTTTAAGTAAAAACTCAACACATCTTGGTTCGTTGGAAACAATTTCTGATGCTGAAGGCGAATATCTTGAAACATGTCCAATTTTTCATGATGTTGATACACAGAGTATTTATGGCTTTGATGTTGTGCTGCATCCTCTAACAAATAGTGATGAAATTATATGGAAGGACTGTAAGAATAACAATTTTAATGCTGATTTTCCTCGAATAATCACATCTTTTTCTAGTGGATTACAAGTTTAAGCCAAGACCGATAGTTCGTTCTCAAAGTGAGCATCATATAAGGCAACGAGTAGACAGCATAGGCGCTGTATCAAGTAATGACGATGAAGTTTTTGAAGAAGAACAGCCACAATCTAACAAAAGATGGTTTGAAAGTGGATCTATTGTGTCTGTCAACCTTGGTAGCTCAATTGGAATATTTCATGAAGAAGAAAAGGCTTTTAATATTCGAAAGAGTCAGTCAAGAATGAGAGTTTTTGATGATAAAAGCTTTTTAGGTCGAAGAGCTTCATTGCTCAAAATGAATTTATTACAGCGAAGAGCAACTGTCGCGTAAGTTGTTGGACATTCTGCATTAATTGCAAGTAAATTATGAATTATGATTGATTTTAGGGCGATTCCTGAAAATGACTTACCAAGAATTGAAGAAGAACCGCTGACGCCAAAGCCTCTTCAAAAAAAGCTTGAACCTGTTCATCATCATCATCCACAACCACCAGTTACAAGTACAACAGTTCAGCAACCTATTAAAAAGAAAACTACAATCTGTGATCACATACGAAATGGTTGGAAACGATTTGTCAAAGTTTTCGACCTCGGCTTACTTAATGACAAGATTTACTTGAATATAATGGTTGGCATATCGTTTGCGATATTTGCTGAAATTAACTTCTCCTTACTCACACCATTCATACTCAATGAATTCCATTATACGACAGAGCATATAGCAACATTTATGTCAATTTTAGCAACTGTAGATATTTTTTGTAGATTTATTTCGCCTTTTATTGGAGATTATTTTAAACAACCAGCTAGAATTATGTTCATGTATGCACTTTTTATGCTTATTATTATGAGAACAAGCTTAATTTGTACAAACTCATATCAAGGGATATTAATTATAGCAATTGGAATGGGGTTAGCAAAAGGAGTTCGTCAAGTGTACATGAGTTGTATTATTCCAAGCTACATTCCTCTTGATCGATTAGCTGCTGCCTCAGGTATTCAAATGGTTGCCAACGGAATCGTCCTACTTTCTATGGGATCTTCTATTGGTATCTTTCGAGACTTATTTGGAAGCTACAAAGTTGTTGTGATTTTCATCAATATTGTGACTTTTATAACTCTCGTTTTGTGGACGACTGAGTTGATTTATATGAAACATATGAATTCTAAACGTGCCAAAGAAATGGAACAAAATCAAATACCTGAGCTGTGTAAATTTGATATAGAAGTCAATTGAATTATGTTATTTATTGTTAAATTAAATGAACTATAATTAGTAGCCCTCGAAATAAAGAATTATGAAGTCAAAACATAAGTGCAGTTTACTTCAGGACTCAATTTCCCACTTACCAAAATTACTTCCGAATGACTCATGGATTGCAAAATTATCACGTCGAATCAACAAGTTATTTCTAGTATCCATAAACCATCCAGAAGTGTTTACATATTTGAAGAGCAGCACAGCAATTGAGAAGGAAAGCAAGCGCCAAGTTGATTCAAAATATTTCATTATTCATCCTCTATCAGAGTTCCGTAAATACTGGAATATTATCATTTTCGTGACAATTTTTGTACACCAGTTATTGACAGCATTTTCGGTCGGTTTTTTCATGGATTTATCAGGTTCAACTGTTTACACTCTATTTGCAATTGATGGGATCATGTGCTTGCTATTATGGATTGAGATTATTATTTCTTTCCGGACTGGATTTATTGTGAAAGAGACAAATGAAATTGTTTTGGATCCGAAGATTATTGCAAGGAAATACATGATAAAATTCGTACCTGATGTCATTACATCCATTCCGTACATTTTAATAATTACAAGCTTACATTTTGAAGAGAATAATTCGCTAATTACAGAATCGACAGTTGCTAGCATGCTAATTTTATTCATTTTGTGTTTGTATCGTTTTAATCGGTTCCATTCATACTGTTTATCCATACCAATTATGCTAAATTGGTCAGAAAAGACACTCATCATATTCACAGTATGTCTACGAACATTTTACTTGTGGCACTGGACATCATCTATACGCAAATTAATCTTATTTTATTGCGAGCAAGAAAAGACTCGTACGAATGAATGGAAAGAGCCGAGAGAGATTTCAAAATTTCATGTGCGCCGGTTAGACTTTACTTATGATTTTGACTATGAGAATACTATAGAAGAAGTAATTCAAAGTGATGCACTTTTATTTGAGTCAGTTTCATCAAATTATACAGTCCTCAATAAATACACGCGGTCCATGATGATAACTTTAAAATTAGCACTACAATCAGGATATGGAAATGAGACATCAGATTCAACAATTAACATGCTAATGACTGCTTTTATTCTCTTTGCTGGATGGATTTATTGTACATACATTTTAATTCTCATATCTAATATTATAATAGCATCGTCTGTGTCTAAAAATAAATTTCAAGAAATTATCAATGAAATTGAAGTATTTGCGGAATCAAAAGGACTCTCAACGCAATTAAAAGATAAAATGAGAATTTATATGGATAGAAAATTTCAGAAGCGATATTTTAATGAACAGGCAATAAACATGTATGTACAAACAACTGCTTCGTGCCTTCAGAAAGAAATTATGATGCATTCGTGTTCAGGTCTTGTCTCAAAAGTATCATTGTTTAAGGATCTTCCAAAGTCATTGCTCGAAAATATAATCAGTTGCGTGACATTTGAGATTTATTTTTCCAATGAGGTAATCATAGAAGCTAATACAATTGGTGATTCCATGTATTTCATTGCGTATGGAACAGCTGAGGTGATTTCAATAACAGGTACGTAGATCATTTAAATTATTATATTCATTAACATATAAACCAAAATGTAGGTCAGAGAATTCAAATCTTGCAAGATGGATCACATTTTGGCGAAATATCACTTCTTATCAAAGGTCAGAAACGTACAGCAACAATAAAGACATTAGAGACGTGCGAAGTTTACAAACTTAGCCAAAAAGATTTTCGTAAAGTCATCGAGCCACACCAAGACATCATGAAGATTATGGAGGAAATTGCAAAGGAAAGATTGAGGAGAATGTATCAGCAAGAAAGTGGAAGTTTGTATGAGCGGAAAAAATCTACTGCTTCCAAATGAAGTTCCTCATTTCTCTCAAATACTTAAAATAAAACAAAAGTTGAATACACTCGAATGCGTGCATTGATAATCTGCTATAATTAATGAATTGAGATGATTTCAACAATAAAGTGATGATTACAAAGCTATAAAGAAATAAATAAATAATCTTTAGAATTTTTTGATAACAGATAAGAAATGTGGGATTGTGAAATGACGTAAAATGCTGTGATGCTAGCAAAAATTTAAATAAATAAATAAACAGAAAAATAACCAAGCTAGACATGCGAGAAGCCGACTTGTTCATAATAAATAGAGAGCGTGAGCATTGCATTATAATTACTATTCGTAATTATTCGGCAAACGAGAATTACTCTTGAATGTGCATTCCCATATGACTGAGAAACTTTTTTTCTCAGCTGAGCGAAAGCAGTATATAAGCAGTGCCTGTAATCCAAAGACATTTTAGTTATCATTCAGTGTTTTTTACATCCTCTAAGTGGAAAATAATTAAGGAACAGAATCTACTGAATATTTTGAGAAAATGAAAAGCAACAAAGTTGCACAGAATTACAGCGAAAAGGCAAGTGAGTTGTTGGCAGTCGGAAAAAATTCAGATGCTCTGAAAAACTGCAATAATTGTTTACGTTTTGCAACTGCCGAATCAGCTGAGTCATTAAAAGCGATGGCGGCACGTGAAAAAGTTTATACTAAATTTGGATCACTTAAGGCTTCCGTCGACAATCTTTGCAGTTCAGTTGATTCATTAGAGGATTTAAAGGAAGATTTTTTCAAGTTGTCACATCCACCGAACCCAAAAATTCCATTTATTGCTGATTGTTTGGAAGTGAAAGAAAATGATGTCTATGGACGTTTCATTGCTACTAAGAAAGACTTATTGCCTGGTGATGTTGTGATTATGGAAGAACCATTTTACAAGATAATATCACCATCAGAAAAAAATTCACGGTGCTCAGTTTGCTTGAAACAGAACTCACTGAACTTAATTTCATGTGAAAAATGCTCTGCAGGTAAGGAACAAAAATTATTTCATCATCAAATTGCTGACTTAGAAAAATACTAGACTTGCAATTTTGTTGAACTTTGATAATGCATAGAATTGATTTTGTACGTTGATCAATGTGTAGGAAGTTAGATTTGTTAATGCTGGAAGTCATTCACCTTAAAGAATTTCAAAAATTATTGCTACGCAAGATACTGATAATGACAAATAACATAAGCTGGTGACAGTTACGTTCTACTTTTTTAATCATATTGAGCAGATTGAAGCTTGTAAGCAAAAGATCTAGAATGCGCTGGAAATGTTAATTACTGGGTTTTTTTCCTGATTTTCCTTTAAACTCCTCCTTTATCAGAAATAATGAATGTATTACACAATGTGCTTAAAACCGGGTGTTGTCAGTTTTTTTACTTGTGTAAGCATTCATTCTATAACGTCAATAATTGTCATATCAGCATGAAACACTACCGCATTGTTATGAGCCATAAATTATTTCTATTCCGGTCAAAAGTTCAAATAAAATCACGTGTGGACTTGCAGAATAGCTCACAATCAGAAACGATGATTTTTTTTTCAAGGCATGAGCGCTAGAGAGTTGTACACAAATGAGTATTCAAAAGTTTTTAATGCTATATTCTTGTTCCTGGATTTAAGGCACTACAACTAGATATTTATAATTTTTCGGGAACTAATGTTGCCTCAGCAGTGTCCATAACTTGGCTCGTCATAAGAATCTTGGTTATAAATATTTATGATTCTGATAATTAACGAAAAATCATTTCATCATCTCTCTTTGTTATCGCATATAATTTATTTAACAAGTGACTGTTTATTTTTAAACAAAGCTTATGAGAGAGGCTATCACAGACCAATAGTAAGCACTATTAAGTCATTTGTTTAAAAATATTAAAAAACTACATCATAGAATTTTATTGGGAAGATTCATGTTGTATTTTGCAGCATTATCTATCAAAAGGACAAAGATTGTTGGTCATAAAAATTTTTATAATCTGCTGTAACCCAATTTAGCATGATTATAAATGTTTTGACTCCATAAATTTTATTATTTATGACTGATAATTTTTACAAAAATTCTTTATTCTTAGCTCTCTTTTGCTCGAAGAAATGTGCGGCATCAAAGATTCATGAGTACGAGTGCGGAAAGATAGAGGAACATTTTGAGAAAGCTCTTCTACAGCGAATGTTTTATCAGTCGATTCAGATTTGTGGCGACTTGAGTGGACTTGAAAAGTTGATGAACAATCATGATCCAAAAAAGACAATCATGAATTTCGACCTTAATGATCCGGATAATAATAATAATTTAAAGAATCGCATGTTGGCGACAATGACTTTAGCAGAACGTGAACCTTGGTCGAGTGAAGCATATGCAAAGTATGAGTTGGTTACAAGAGAATTGGAACAGACAAAAACAGAGGATGAGAGACATTTCTTAAGAAAGTATTTGGTACATTGCATGAAAAGCATGACAGTCAACTTTTTTCACTTCTTTTGGTCATCAGAAGAAAATTCACCTGGTAAAGGATATGCAATTTGTTCACTTGCTGCATATTTTGCTCATTCATGTGATCCAAATATTGATAAAATCGATGTCGATAATAAATTTGTATTTGTGACTCGAAGACCAATCAAAGCTGGAGAACAACTCTCAATATGCTATGATAGATACAACTATCTCACTCACTCATTAAGTGATCGTAAAGAATATTTTAATAGAGTCTATACATTTGACTGTTTGTGTGTTGCATGCGCAAAGAACTATCCACTTCTCAAGGATATGTCGAGACTTGATGATAATTTTATTGAACCAAAAGTGAATTTAAATTCATTTGATGATATGAAGCAGCAATATAATGAAAACTGTAAATACATCAGTGACAATATCACCAACTATCCATCCTACGAGATCTGTATTTTAATGAATCAGAACAATCGACTTCTTTATGCGATGGGAAATTTGCTGCCATTCTGAAAAATAAAAGAATTAATTTTACTTCCTAATTTTTTTTTTGTTTCTCTTCCATGTTTTATTGACCTTTATGATAATTAATCACAATTACTGCTGTAGTAAAAAAAATGATGCTTTAAGATGAATGAATAAATAATGTTTAAAAAAATACAGACACGACTTGAGATTTTTCTTTATTTTAAGCAAATGACACATAAGGACGCGGTGTTGTCCATGCTAATTGATTGTATGTTGATGGTGCTGCATAATTTGGCGGTAAAATATTTACAGGCAGTTGTGAGGAACCATGAATATATGGCTTAGGTGTTATGTTAACATAATCTGATTGCGAATTGTCAGCTACATAAATGTTTTGTGACTGTAGTGTCTCAGATGGAACGTAGGAAGTTTGTGTATGATGTTGATGATGTTGATGCTGTTGATCTAATAAAGATGTTGGGCCGGGTCTAGATGATGATGATGGGACATGTGATGGATGAATTGGATATTGTGAAGGATCGTATATGTAGTTCGGTTGTGTTGGTAAATGCTCTCCATATGCTCTATATCCGAATCTATCAGCTATATAATTTGTAGTATATTGCTTACCATCAGATCCTATATATGAATAATACCCACGAACTACTTTATTCAAGCCATATCCGGTTGATTCTTGTTTAGCTTTAATCCCATTTTCTGTCTCATATTCATATCCAAAACTTCCATCAGCACCACGATGATCATTAGAATAGACAGTTTTTGCGTAGGCATCAGGTGAGAGATTGTAACGCAAGTAGTCTGGAACTTGAAATTTTTGATTTCCACGATATGAAGCTTGACGAATTGGACGATTATTTGATGATAAAGATTCAGTGCCAGCATGAACGTTGAATGATAAATGAAGAAGCATTGTAATGACAAATGACCAGTAGTACTTGAAAAAGTTAAAAAGAAAAGATGGCAAAAATTAAAATAAATAATTTGTATGCAAATTAATTCGCTCCAATGTCAATTTACTATGCGCTGTATTTTCTGCTCTATCTTTAATATGGGAAAATAAGGCTGCAGCCCTCAGTCAGTTTGACATACACATCTCCATTGTGCCACTCTTTCATTGTAAGCATCTCAAGGTAAAAGTGTTGGAGAATAAATTTTTCACCTCAAATAAGTTGGACATAATAAATTGAGACGTATTACACAATGGAATGAAGTATAAAGTTGTCATCAGTTATTACTACATCTGATACTTTATGACAATAAACAAATGCTTGGAATCCAGAATGTTTACATTCGAAATGTTTTCTTTTCTTCTTAATCAAGCTTCAGCATGTTGTTGTTTACGGCAAAAAAAAGGGTATTATCAAGACAAAAGCACATGTGCTTGTTAAATTTGATGAACATATGGAATTTGGCAAGAATCGTTGTCATTATATAATGTAAGCTAATAAGCATTTAAGTTGTCTAGACATATGATTCATGAAAATAATTTCCAGTTTAATTCTTCCATTTTTTAAAAGTGCACTGACTCAATTTAACAAAATAATTATTGTTCTCCCACCATTAAGGTATCCAAAACAAATCTCAAAATTGACTCATTACAATTAGCATAACTTCTTTAATAACTATCAAGAATACACCTTACATCATCTTTTGAATTAAAAGGAAATAATCAATTTATTTGGAATTAAATGGTAATTAATCTGTATATGGAAAGAAGGAGTTCGGTCATCAAACTTTAATTTTATATTGGTTCCTTAAGATTATAGCTTCATTTATGGGAATCTTTTTGGAAGAAAGAAGGCTATCTAATTAGATTAATATGGAATATTTTGATTTAGAGTTGCTCATGCTGTGTGCAATTAATTGTTGCTTCAACAACTTGCCTTAATTTTAATGAATCAGATTAACTTTTTTACAGTAATAGAGACTATGATAATCTATGATAAATTATAAATCACTTGCTTTATTTCATATATCAGTCTTGAACTTTTTTGCACTCATTGCAATTCCTTTAAGGCACTGAGATGAAAAATCAGTTTCATCAACTTTGACTAATCTCATAAATTGCAATTTTTGCAGCAGAGCAATTAGGAACCCAAAAAATTAAGACAGACATGTTGCGAAAACAAATTTGAAGCCAATGACCTCAACAATTTGTTACGAAATTGTCTTAATTTAATATTCATGTGATCATACCAAGTATGTGATTGGTGTCAAAACATGTAAGAGTTGATCTTGCAAAAGTCTGGTGGGTCTTGTGAAATTATTTAAATTTTTATGCATGCTTTGTCGGCAAATCATTTAAGAGATCCCCCCCCCCCCCCAAGGGACTTGCTAATAAGGATGTAGATGGTTCATAAAACTGCGAATTTTTCAGCAGCTACTTAACTAGCAAAAATTCAGAATCGCAGATTTTATCACCATTAGAACAAAAGCTTCTTGTGTCTTAATTAAGATTATGAAATAATTGCAAGGCCGACTGTTTATGGTTTATGGTTCCACTTAAAAATAATAAATCCATAATAAATTCTTTCTTTAATTAAATGCTTCACATTAAAGATTGAAGCTAAAAGTTTTGTAGCTTTGCAAATTGCTCTTGATCGCACAAATTTTCCAGTAAATTGATGATTAAAGCTGTTAAGTAATAACAATTAAAACAGTTTTTGCCTGTTTTTTGCACCTTACCGTCTTCATCTTCGCTCGAAGTTACAAATCTTTTTCTCTTGATATATCACAATGGGAAATAAAGTTTCTTTTATTGATAACAATCTGATTTCCCACACATACACGGCTATTTTCGAGTGTCTTAATTGCGTTTCTTCTCTATTTACTTTTCCTTTGATAGCACGAACTGAATGTACACTATAAACTTCTACTTTATTTATTGGCAAAAATTTTTAATTTCCAGCAGAGTAACAAGACAATGTGAACGAGATGAAGTTTATTTCATAAGTCCTTTTAAGCATGCGTCTTATTTCTCTGCTTCTTCAATGTTCGACGGAAAGATTCAAACTGAAACCGATTAAACAAACAGCATTTAGTTTTTATACCAAAATAACCTTGCTCTGGGGAGCGCGTATTATTCTTTTCAACGCGTGTTAAAGCATTCCGCGATGTCATTTATGAGATAGATTGAGATATGAGATGTGATTCTGATGATAGGTAACAATAATTGTGAATAAATCATGTTGAATGATGCATGTGCATCCAATAAATTTGAATTTCGCATTTTAACTTGTGAATGCACTGCAGTAGAACTTTTTGAGGTGTAAGCACCCACGAATATGAAATCATATGTGATGTGTGTACTCAAGAACAAAAAGGTCGTTAGACCATCATCATATTCATTAGCTACTGTCAAAATATGTATATGGATAGATGAAACTATAAATTTTGAGCTAAGAAATCCAAACAGGGTGCGTTGGAGATTTCCTCATTTAAATCAGCTGTGCATTTTATAATGAAATAATAAAAACTAGAAAATTGCTTTAAAAAACAATGGCGCAATAAAAAATATTAAATTTTCTGTTTATCATCGCTTCTTGGTCACCAAAAGGTAATCGTGGTTCACAGAGCTTAAATCCTATTCTTCTAAATTTAATAAATAATATTCTGGAGGCTGGATGTTTAACTCCATAATAAGCTCATCTGTCTTAGACAATGTAATAGATTATACAAACCGGAGATAGAAAGAATAATAATAATACATGACAATTGTTGACTCATTTAAAATGTATCACATTTTAAACGCAACGTGCTCAAATTGTCTTTTAAGTTGCGATTATACCAATCGTTTGTTTTGAATTTAAATTAAATTTTATTGACTGCATATCTTGGCAAATTTCCAATTGATGGCATTCTGATCAATTGTTTGAAATGCGTCAACATGCTATTTACTTGGATGCAAGCATAGAGTTCATCTTTTTTTACATGCATTACGTCATGTGCGAATCGGAGCATGCTATTCTATAAGATAATTTCAGTTGTTTACTTTGAGAAGAGTGTAGATAAACTTTAGGAAATTTCCTGAACTTTCTGATTTTAAAAGTGTTATAGAAGCAATAGATTGAAGAGTAAGGATTGTAAGAAATTAAGTTAAAGATTATCCTAGTCAAAACTTTTATAATGGAATAAAACAACATTAATAAAGGTAAGCAATGAACTTGAAAATCTACCAACCGTCAGAAATCGTGTGACAAAGAAATGCAAAAATGCACCTTTAATCATCCTCCTACAAAAATCTGTTTACTCGTTTTTCTCTCTATTCTGTTTCATTGCACATACGATCAGATAAATGTGTATATCCAAAAAAAACACACATAGCTGATGATTTGTAGCTTTTGAAAGAGAGGATTTACACGGAAAATAAACGCAAAAAAATTATAAATGAATCGTTTTCAAGTGCGCGGTTAATGAAATTTTTTTGATCATTAATCTTTGGAGGTAGAGTTATAGAAAAGGTAGCGCGAATATCAATTTACATATGACACAAGATATATAGATGTGCTCATACAAAAATATCGCAGTTTTTAAACGTCAAAAATTTGAATCTTCTAAAAACACTAACACTATAAAAGAAAATTTTCAATTTTTGTTTTGCAAAATTTTCAACTTTCTGTTAAGTTTTGTTGATACAGGAGTATTGCAAATGCTTTGCTATAATTTAAAGAAACTGACTTAAGACAAATGTTGTTGCATCTGTCGATATTTAAATGAAAACTTGAAAATAGAAAATTTTAAAAATTTTTGTTTGTATAAGCACACAAAAAATAGTATGGTCGAGTATGGTCAAGTATACTCTGTATGAGCTCATCTATATATCTTGATATGACATTCAATTCTTATGTAATACATCTCAAATCGAATGTCGTCGCACTCGTATTATTCAAATTATTGATACATTGACTTATTCTTAGAACAAAAGATTCTTAATTTGCGAGAGAAAAAATTAAGGTACGAAATTTTAATTATATTGATTACTTTAAATTGTCTCATGTGTTTCTCACCAGTTATCACTATATGGCGTGCCTATTTGTTGTAATGAAGGAAATAATAAACAAATAAAAATAATTTGATCAATTCAAAGGGAAGATTTATTATGTTCATAAATACGAGGTGACATCAGAGTCAAGAATATAGATGCTAGGTTAATTAGTGCTTTGAGAAATATTCAGTATGCAATGCAAATTTACTACTTTAATGTACAGCAGTTTTCTAAAACAATCGTTAAATTTTCTAAATGATAGATTTTTACACATATTTAAAGTTACAAATGAATTAGGAAAATGTGATGTGATGTGGTGCACTTACAGAAAATCATATTATAGTATTTGTGCTTAAAAGTGAAGTATTTTGTTTAAAGCTAATGTTTAGTGTTAATAATTTATTTTCATATCCACTTTAATTATAATGCAAACACTTATGACGAGTTGCTTAGTAGGTAAGAAGTTAAAATTAATTATCTTTACAATAGGAGTTTTAGGATATTTATAAATATTGAAATGAAGGAAATGTCTGTTATTGATAGTTTTATTATAATCTTAACTCAAACTTTCATTCAAAAACAATCCAATCTAGTCTCAATCAAACACTTCTATGTTCTATACAATTCAAATTACTTTCATTCGATTATTCGTAAGCATTCAAAACTTTATTAGAAGAATAAAATTTAATAATTTTTTGCGTTAAGGAAGATCGTCCTACAATAACATAAATTTATGTATTTCAACTCTATTTGTTCTTTAAACTTCATAAGAGTAATATTAGCACAATTGCAATCATATATTTAACCTTTCGATGTCTATAAATAGGCAAGATACTTGTTATTTTGTCAAATATCTTCTTTGCTATCTAATTGGAATTTAAGCCATTTGCACAAAGATCTTTCGATTATCATGTGATCAATCTTCCCATCACTTGATAAATTTGATGTGTTAGTGATAAATTCTTAAACTTAATTTCTACTCCTAAAAACTATACAGTAATCAATATATCAGTCCTCATCTGTTCATATTATTGATAATCATCTAAAATTAATTCAGATTTCTTTGACCTGCAGTAAAGCAAGTCATTAAAGTCTGAGTCAATTTGAAATAATGAATCTCAAAAGAGTAATAATATGAACTGTTTTATGTTACAAGCTTAAAGAAAATTGCACAAATTATTTCAAATGTATTTTTGGATGGAATAATATGTTTATGGCCTATTATGAGTGAGACGACTTCTCAGTTGTTGTTGTTGTTGTTGTTGAATCAATTGAATTCGTCACTTCCTTTCGTTCGGGTGTAATGATTTTTATAACCTAAATGGAATCAAATAATTTGTCGGTCTTTTAAATGAATTATAAAATTGGAATTGATTTTTTAATCACCTTTGAGCGTCCATCAATGGTTTCTTCTGTTTCTATAAGATCCATAGAATCATCCATCCTCCGTGATATTTCTTGCTTTAATTTTTTTCCTGTTTTAATGCCTTCAAAAAATAATAAAAGAATTACATTAGAATATAAATGAGAATTTTTTAAATAGAATTCCAATTATCATGCCTGCAAGTGTTGGTCGAATTGCGAATCTTGGTTTATAAGCCAACGTACTGTTTTGATGTCCATATTGTTTTTCTTTTTTGGGCTGTGGAGTAACCACATAAATCTTCTCATTATTTAAAGGCGAAATTGTTATATGCAATCGCTTCCATAATTCTCTCGGTGATAATGTGGTTTTTGGTTCATAAATTTTGACTGGTTCCGGATGAATCAAATTATGAGTTAAATTATTATTAAGTAACAATAGCTCATTATCGCGATCTAAATATCGATCATGTCGTTTCACAAACGGTTCTTCTTTCTTGTATAAAATATTGTCATATTGCTTTCTGGTTTCTTCCATTAAATCAGGATCGAAAGTAGTCTTTGGTGCTAAAGTAGTTGTTGGAATTTTCATATGAGTTGTTGCTTTAGATGTTGTCGTCAAAAAAGATGATGGAATTGGCTTCGTATGACCTGTTTGAGCAATAGTACTGACTTTTCCTTTAAATGTTTGTTCCGTCCATCCATCAATACTTTTTTGTAGCTTTATAATGTCAATTTTTGGAGGTTTTGGAGTTTTCTCTTTCTTCAATAAATCTCTGATGTTATTTGCAACAATTTTAGTCAATTGTCTTGTCGGCTTTGGTGGTTCGAGTTTCGATTCAACAATTTTCGATTCTTGTACGTGCTCATGATACTCTTGATCATTGTGATATCCATGTGCATTAAATAATGGTTCATATGAAACTGGTGGATATGTAGAGCTTTCTTTCATTTTAATCGGTTCAGTTGAAGTTTCTTTAATTCGTGGCAGATGAGTCACATAATGACCTCTAATTGACTTATACGTGATTATCTCTTGTTCATTTTGTGGTTTAAATGGTGATGGCTTATGATATGATGTGTATGGAATCACAATTTGTATCTGTTTTGGTTTCTTTGTTGATGAAATTATTGACTTTAATATTGGTTCTTTTGGTAAATTTATGCCTGAGAAGAAGGTGCTTGAAAGTTTTGAAATGTAGTTAATTGTTGTTGCCTCAGTTGTTGTTATTGGAACTTCCGTTGAAGTAATAGCTTCTGTTGTGGATGTAATTGGTAGTGATGATGTAGCAGAATACCATAAAGTTGCCAGTGTTTTTGTATAATCCTCAATTGGCTTAAACGGCGGAGGTGTATTTGACGATGGAACTTTTGTTGTCTTTAAAGTTGTTCTTGCAATTGGCGTTATATGGAAAATTGGCGAATCAAGGAGCTCAAGTGGAGTTTCGCGATCTTTATGCTTATTTTTATTATTATTATTTGTTTGATTCTTCTTACGTGCCTCATCTTCCAAGTCAGCCGCGGTTTGAATTGATGGTTCAAATTTCACAAAATAATTGCCTTCCGTCGTTGTGCTCTCTTCCTCTATTGCTTGTTGTTCTTCTTCTTCTTCACTGGCTTTGTCCAAAATATTGTCTTGTAATAAAGGCACGCGATTTGTATGATCAATTACAATGCCTTCATCATTATCACCATTTAATTGGTCTAGTGATATCACATCAATGTCTTGATTAACATTCTGTTGATAATTATTCTCTGATTCCGCGAGAGCATTGTCCGCTGCATTTGATTCCAAACTTTCAACAACTATTGGCGCACTTAATGTTATGTTTAAATTATCGATGTTGTTCCTTATGTCTATGTTAATTACGGATGGATTATGATTCACAACATGTTGACGCAACACATCTTGTTGATTTAATGTATTCACATTTTGGTGTCGATGATTTTGATTGATGTATATTTTATCATCCCGCGCAGTTTCAGGCGGAATAGTAAATTCAGCTACGAGATTTGAGCTGACAACCTCAACACCATTACTATTCTTATTTCGATTTTGTTCTGGCTCTACTTTTGCTTGGACATTGACATTGTTTGATAGTTGTGCAACAGGTTCTAATGGCACTAGTTTTATAAATCCTGTCTGTTGCTTTGTGTATGTATTCTCATGGAAATCCTTAGCATCAAATAATGGGGGTATAGGTGTAGGCGATAAATTAGGTATTGGTATAGGAACAAATCCACCATTTTCACCTTCTAATGGAAGTATATTTGGTGGTGGTATGTATTCAGCATTTGTTACGCCACTTCCAAATGAAGTGAATCTTGAAGGGCGATTATTCTGTGGACGATTTGTCGTGAATGTTATTACTGAGGTATCTATTGTATTTAAATTTGGACGAAGTGTGGTAAAAGGCGAGAAAGTTGTAGATGGAATCGTGTACTGATAACCTCCTTGATAGTTTGTTGATGGTGTTGTATAATGATATCCTGTAGTCTGAATAATTTTTATTGGCTTCTGTGACGTTAGTGGAATTCCATAAATATGATGCCCTTGATTGTAGCCAAAATTCTCTTGAAGTTTAAATGGAGTGGTCGAGGGAGATTCAGTTGCTTTTGGGGGTGTTCCATATGTTGGCGATAAAGTTGGAACAGAAGGGGGATTATAATTGTAGCCATTATTCTTTATAGGTGGAACTTGTGCATATTGTTTCTCATTTCCAAAATAATGTTTAAAATATACTTGCTGCTGTTGAGATTGTTGTTGTTGCTGTTGCTGTTGATTTCCTTTTACAACTGGAAGTTGATAAGTAGGCACCATTGGAATCCATGGAACTTTATTGCATGGTGAACACTTAGTATTTGTTGCTCGAGTCGTTCGAGCTGTAGTTGGTTCTGTATCTCTGATTTGAACAGGATTAAACCTTGGTAATATCGATTGAGCAGGAATTGTCGGTGGAGGCAGAACGGGGGGTGCTAAATGATCAATTTTTGAAGATGCTGGCATACTGTATTCTTCTTCTTCTGTTGTTCCATATCCCCACGGAAAGAACCAACTTGTAATTCTTTGTATAAATGTCGGTTCTCTTATTGGTGGCGGTGGTGGACGAAATTTTGTGAATGCATAATCATTATGTGGTTGTTGCGGTGCTCTAAGCAATTCTGAACTCGACGATGATATGTGATTCATCATCACAATTAGTAAAAGAATTTTTAAATCCATTTCGAATCTAGATGGGAAGTAAAAGATGAAAAGAAAGAAGATAAAGGTTAAAAATTATAAACCATTTAGAATTATCCATGATAATTAAAATTTATTTTCCCTCTTTTGAGCACTAATCGTTTTACGGCATTCCATTAGCACCGCTTTAAAATGTTTTATGGACATCTCATACATATGTGATGCAACTGACCTGCATCAATGTTTTTACGATTAATCATCTTCGCCGGTTTCTTCTTATTCTCTCCTATTTCTCTTTATCTTCACATTTTGGACTAATGACGTTTATTAAATAACAAAATTTTCAATGGTTCAAGTTCAAGGTAGAAGGAATAAAACGTTAATAGCCGTGAAACATAGGTATATTTATATGTGTAGCTTGCCTAGCTTCATGGCATAAATCTTGTAATCGTTTTAATTTATGTAATTTTAATAATTTACTGAATTTTCTAAAAACAGGCTGACTGCCAATTTCTCTTCTTTCCGAAAAAAAAAACATAAATAATCATTTTACTGGACGATTATGCGACATCATGAATGTTAATGGGAAAATTTTCAATTAAACAACAGCCAAAAAGTCTTCTCCCATCCGGTAGATGCTCGGTGTAATAATTCAAGTAATGTTTAGTGAAAATCCACTTCCAAATTCGATTACAAACGAAAAATGACTGCTAATAAATTCATCCGGCATTTATCTCTTACAAGACTTGATTTAAATTAAAACGAGTCATAGAGTTAGTGAAGAGAAAGAAATGCGGTGCCCATAATAAAATTCAATTATTAGAAAATTCAATGTTAATGTTGATGCTCGTGAGAGTAACTGACGATTCAAGTTTATTATTTTTTTTATTTACATCACCAAGCAGATATCTCTTGCATCGTTCTTACTATTTTCCACATGTTGTTTTAATGTTTTTATTTTTCTTACTGTTTTATACGAATCGATCGAAGTAAAAATATAGTAAATGAAAGTGAAAAAAGAAGCATCAGCACAACGTTGTGTCATAGCAAACACATTCTGCACGCGCACGACTAACAAGATTGCCTGGAACATGATAGTATATAGATATTAAAATTATTATTGTATAAAAGCGAAAGCAGAAGTATCAAACTCAATTATTTCTGTATCATTTAAGACAAGAAAAAAAAAATTGTGCCTGAAAAATCCGATTTTATGTTTCATTTACTCTCTGAGCTTTCGATTCTAATTAAACGTTTAATTTATTTTCATGTGAATGAAAATTAATTATGCTTTTTTCTATAAGCTCCTTAAAGTTCCAATATTTTGTGGACGTAATAAATGTAACAAATTAGTCTTAAAAATTAATCTGTGGACAGTTTTCTGTCATGTGTTATGCAACGTCCATGCATAATTTGATTGAAATGATTTGTTGCAGCTGCCGTCTTATTCTTTTAAAGTGTAAATTCTTGATAATCTAATAGATAAAAGTGATAATCCATCCTACAAGCTGCTGAACTACAGCGACCGATTTCCACATTGCATTGTGTATTCGATGCCTCATTGTTGATATCCACACACATTTCATTAAGGTGCGGTTGAAAAAATACATGTAATTTTAAAATCAACTGAATCGAGCATTAAAACTATTGAACTTCTTTTAATGGAAACGAAAGCAATTTCTCAATTCATTAATTTAAAGATATTTTCATTCCTGAAAGTATGATTTCTGAAATTCCATAACTGAAAACAATGCGATTGCTTATCATGCACATTTGACTCTCCCACCTAATTCCATATGCTACATAATTTTTCATAATATAATATCAGCAACATATTAAATCACAAGCAAGCTGGCTATTGACTTTTCCGGATATGTCATTTCGTCTACGATACGTAACACCAAGTTGTAATTAGAAAACAGTGGTAATATGTAATTATGGAATGATCAAATCAAGCTTAAAATATTCTTTATATAACAAACATTAGTTGAAGTTCACTAAACTTTCTTCTGACATTGAATCTTAAAGCTTAGAGACGCGGGAAAACAATTTAAGAAGAAAGTGAAATGAATAATATTTAATATTTATGATGATATTTATCTCAGACAGAAAAGAAATTATAAATGAAGAAGAAAAAAACTTATGAATCATGAGAATTGGACCAAAAACAGCAACATCAATGGTCCCATTGTTCTCTGCGCTTTAACTTTTAAAACTTAAAACAAATATCAACGGCAATGAATTTTCACTCTCAGACCCATCCAATAGAAATTTTTTTTTTCGTAGGCAAAATTATTAAAATTATGGAGATGATAAATGCTTTGTCATAAGCTTGCTAAGTAGCTGTTAACAATAACTTTGTTGAACTTCCTTTTCTCCTAAAAATATTTTTTTAAGTACTTAATGTGGAATTGAAAGTTTCATTTCATTTTAGAATGTAATCTCATTTTCATGTCATAAAGTTATCAATAAGTCAATTATGTATTTTACATAAAGTTATGTTTTAAAGCAATCACATAAGTGTAATAAAGCAACTAGACCACTTTTCTAAATATGTATAAAACGATAAGATATTTTGCTGATCAAATAATTATCTTAGTGACTGGGCAGTGAATGCAAAACAGCACTTGAATGAGATGATTCATGCTGTGGAGAATGGAATTTTTTTAATTTCCATTAAATTAATCTTAATATTTGGATCTAATAATGAGATTCTTTAAAAATTATGTTCAAACTTTAATTTTATTCCAAATGAAAAAATTTGATGGGATTTTTATCCTTCGTGCCTTTTTCTTTTGATCTCTTAACATATTCATGTGAATAGGACCTTCTTCTTACCACTGATATTATCTTCGTAATAATTCTTTAAGAATAAATATCAAATATCTACCTGAACATTCTCTTTTACTATACTTTATGATGATCTTAGTGCATTATCATGTTTTGACTATTTGTCATGTTCATTCACAAATATCAACAATTTCTGTTGAAGTGGAATTGATAACTTAATGGAAACTGTCAGAAAATTTAAAGGATTCTACTTCGAGGATTAGTCCGACAGAAATTATTCTCAAATAACACAAGATATATTCCTCAATATTTTCTATAAAGCATGTTGTATCACAATTCTAGAAGTCTAATACATTCACAATCGATTTAATGTTGTTCATATTGAGTGACATAAAAGTAGCAACAAGTAACAACAAAATTAAAATAGTTAAATGCTCAATGTCTCATGTCTGTTTGAAAACGTTGACTATTTTGCAACACTTACATCAGAGAAGCATGCAAATTTACATATGAAGCGAGTACCATCATGAAAATTGACACAAATGTACATAAATTAAATTTCACTGATTTTCTAATTGCTCTCACTTGTCTCGATGTGATTGGCAGAAAGCATGTGCAAATTTTGTTGTTCAATATAAGCATAAAAGACATTCTCTTGGACAAATGTGGAAATATGCGATACACATTATCACTTCGATCATGTTTGATGGATATTCCGTTGTGAAACATATCAATATATTGCATCAGTTACGATTTCATTTTCATTAAAGTCTTGCGCCATTATAAAATAAATATTGCAGCATAAACATTCCTAATGATAACAGTAGTCTCTCTAATTGTCACTGCCATGGTCATGGATAAAACCGGTCATGTAAAAGTTATTGTAGCTTACAATTTTATCACGTAATTCAATCAAATTCATTCTCAGAAGCACCTAACGTCATAATTTGCTTATATCACGTTCTTAATTGCAAGTGTTGGATACGAATTGTAGTAAATTATAGAAATTAAAAATTCAAAGACTTTATGATCCATGAAGTTATGGAATATGGAATTGAAGCATCAACAATAACAGCAATAAGTCAAAAACATGTTTGAGGAATCGATTCTTTTCTTCTGCATATTAAATGATGAATTTATAGCCATTGATTGGCAGTAAATAGACTACTTTCTCATCTTATTTAAATGATTTGGAAACATGAGCAAAAAATGACTGGTCGATGCGGTAATTTCCCCAAAAAAATAGACTTCAAGCTGATCAATTGTTAAATATTTGCTTAATGAGACTTGTAATGTATATTGGAACTAATAAATGTCCGAAATTTAAGTTAATTAATGGATCAAGAAAAGGAAAAATTTCACATTATCTATTAGACATGCCGTACACAGCAAGCAGCATATAGCTTAATTTTGGTGATTTTTAATTACAAACTTCTCTCATCTTCACTTTCATTTCCATTCGAGGCACTTCTTTTCTTATGCATTTAATTCTGTAATTTCACTCAACTTCTTTCTTCATTTTCGCCATTGAAATGAAAAGCTTTATTTTATTTTTCTCACACTTACAATTTCCATAAAATGACAAGTGAATGAACTTGGAAAACATCAGTCATAATAATCTCGTGTTAATTAACTACTAATTGGAATTAGATGCCTACATTAATGAAAAATCAGTCGATTTGAATCATTTCTATTAATTATTAAAACCCATAAATATGTGCCACTAATGTGTTGGCTATCAAAACTTTTAATTTCATTTACTCAGTCTTTATGGACGCATTTTCACGTCTGCCAATGGTGCTTGGAATTAATTTTTCTTTTGTTATTCAATAAAAGACATTTGTCTTGTTCATTAAATGCTTGTGATGTCATCCGATGAATATTAAATTTAGACATAAGTGGGTCAGTGGTGCTGCATTCGAGAATTCTAAAAATGTTTCTGTTCTACTTGCTGTTTTGTAATATAAACGACTTCTATGCTTGAATTGGAACGAAGCATAAATAAAATTGATTTTTTTGAAGTTATAAAGTGGTCTCAAATGATATGGATGAAGGTGGTTCTAGAATTTTGTGACACTTGATATAATTTGAGGTTGTGGTTAAAATTAAAGTAGGTATGGATACGATTATTTCAATTATTTTGTCTCATGATGTTAAAAATTAAATCCATTGACAACACAATGACATTCTTTATTTAAACATAATTGAACAAAGGCTTTTTATTCAGGACTCAAGTTGATATGGATATGAATTGTATGCTAATTTTTCAAAAAACATCCTTTATATTCAATGGTTCAATAAGTACTCACATAATATAATAATTGGCTTTTTGTATCCTGATTAAGTTCCTTAATGCTTTAATTTTCTATTCACAATTCACATTTTCTGTTTAATTTAATTATTCATCATTACATTTATTGGGAAGCAATTATCATCCCTTTTTAAATTGAATCAATCAACCTCAACTCGCAAAATTCCAATTCATGAAACACTGATCATTAACAGTTATCAATTAAGCCACTAATTGTAGAAATTTTCACCTTCAATTATTTTATTTTATTTTTTTCTTAATTCTGAAATCACTTTTAATTTCAATGGATATCTTCACTTTTAATGGATGACTAACCGATACGTTCAAGGTGCAGCAGAGAAATGATACGAAAGTAAAAACAACATGATGGATACATCCATAAGCCGTCGTCCGTTCAACATCTTTCTCTTTCAATGTCGCTCTCTTTCTGTGTCGACTGTCGACAGCACTCTCAGGTTGCACAATTTTCTTTGTATTCTTACTTAATACCTTTACAGCAACAGCATGTGCGATAAAAAAATGTTTATTGAATTATTTTTGATTTTTCGAAAAATTGTCACGTCGTAAAAAATAAATTTTTATGATTTGGGGAGATTTGCAAACTCAATTTATTAACTTAATATTGCACAACATGTGGAGCATATATACACAAAAGTTTGTTCCCTAATTTGAATGCAGCGTACAACCCGGCATGAACTCATCGAATAAAAGAAAAATATTTACGGTAAAGCACAAAAAAGTCATTAAGTAACCAGAAAATTAATTCTGTACACAACATCATGGATTGGTGAACAGCAACAATTGTGACTTAAATCACTCGAAGAAAGTTCCAATTTAAATTTAATCAAAAAAAATCTTAGTTTGTGATCTTGAGTGATTTAATTTCTTGAACTAATCAATTTGATCATGTCGATTCGTTCGTAGGGTAAAATGACAACATTTCATGACCACTTTCAGTTTCAATAACATAGATGGTTAATTGAATCAAGATTCATTTCATCTTGCCTTGTTGATCAAGTTAATGAACTTGCAATTTTATGCTAATTGAACGTGTGAACTATCCACAAAAAACATTTCAATGGCGAATAATGGAATAGAGAGAAATTAAAGAGAAGAAAGAACTGAGCACGAAGCAAGAAGAAGAAAGAAACGTAAACACAACAAATGAAAGTGAAAACGAGAAAATGGCAGTAATTAAAGTAGCCAAAAAACCTTAAAATTATTTTGCCTTTGCGTGATCACATAACGAGAAGGTCAGAAGCAATCTAGAAGTTAAATAGTTTGATGTGTTCCTCATACATAATCAACATAATTACGACATCAATGACTAGATGTTGATATATCCGACACATATGAACAATAAGATGAGAAAGTAGTCTATTTACTGCCTATAATAGCAATGGCTATAAATTCATCATTTAATATGCAGAAGAAAAGAATCGATTCCTCAAACATGTGTCTGACTTATTGCTGTTATTGTTGATGCTTCAAATCCATATTTCATAACTTCATGGATCATTTAATCTTTGAATTTTTAATTCCTATGATTCGAATTGTAGATTCCGAAACTTACAATTAAGAACGTGATATAAGCAAACCTGCTTCTGAGAATGGATTTAATTAAATTACGTGACAAAATTATCAGTTGCGATATCTTTTACTTGACCGGTTTCATCCACGGCAGTGACAATTAGAGGCTTCTGTTATCATTAGGAATGTTTATGCTGCAATATTAATTTTATAATGGCGCAAGACTTTAATGAAAATGAAATCGAAGGTGTTCGCGACTTGATCTGAACGCAAAAATGTTTTTACATCAATGCAATGGAACTTGATTCGTAGTCATTTTAGAAGCACAAACGCATTCAAACTTAAAGCTTAATTCACTCTGTTATTTAAAGTGTTGAAATTCAAGTGAGAGTAATTAAAATATATAGAGAAATTTAATTAACATATATGTTTATTTTATCTCAATAGTGGCATGTCGTGGCACCCCCGTAAAAACAGGCAATTGTAGGCTAATTTATGTATGTTTTTAAAGCAAAATTCAATGAAATCCGCAAGAGTAACTTTCCATTCATTCGACGTGTTGAAAATGAATTCATTTGTTTATTTTTTAAGACATAGGATTCAAGTAGTTCTAATGAAAGACATGCTTGAACAACGTTTTGAAGAGTTATTTCCAGGTAGAAATTCATTGGTTTGGAAAAAATCATTGGGTAAACATAATCAAAGTCATAAAAAAATTCTCATCACATTCTAATATAAATGAAAGAGCGTCAAAAAGGAGGATAGAAGAAAAACAACAGGGAAGAAAGAACTCATCAATTTTATGTTACATCATATTATTAAATTCTAATTTTTTGACTATAGTCATTATTAAAAGAACATAAAAATAATATTAAACAATTACACAGAAATACTCAGATATCACACAGCAAGACAAGTTTTATGTTTATTTTACGATTTATTTAGATTTCTATTAAAACTTAATGTTCATGTGTAGTCATATGTAGATATCCTAAGTTCCACTCGTAAAAAATGCATTAAAATGATCATAAAAAGTCATGCAGGCATTATCCAGCAAACGTGGAATGCTAATTGATAATAATTTTGTAATGCTCGTAGTGCCATGCTAGATTAGTGATGTTAAGCTTGTTTTTCTGAAAAGCTGTTATAAAAATATTTGAAAAATTGCTCAAGTTTTGGAAAAACACTCTAATGAAAATTAACGGTCAAAAATTTGAAAAGTTTCGCGCGCTTTTGAAACTAAGTTATGAAACAACAATCTATCTAGAAAATTCACTGGAAAAACTTTAAAATATTAATTACAGCAGGAAATAGTGATCAGACATACTTAAGAATTAACTCAAACGATGTCAGAAGGCGAGGAATCGATCGATCAGATGGATACTAACGATACGAATGAAAATTCGGTAAGAAAATTGAGATAAATGAAAAGCGTCTCAAAACTACATTAACCATAATTTTTTTTTCTCAATACATTTATTCAATACAGAATGAATCTTCGGCTCAAAGCAGCTCTAATAAAGAAACAGATGTGGATACAAATCGTAGTAAAAGATTTGACTTCTTATTGAAGCAAACTGAGATATTCTCACATTTTATGCCTGGTTCTGGGAAATTAACGCCAGAAAAGAAGAAAACAGGACGAAAGAAGGAAGATACTAAGAAGAAAGAGCCGACAACGCCAACAACTCCAACCACTCCAATAGATCCAGCAGAGTAAGTCATAGAAAAGTAAAAGGTCTAATACAATTTTAACAATATTTCATTTACTATGTATTTTATAGTCACAGACACCGAAAAACAGAACAAGAAGAAGATGAAGAACTTTTAGCTGAGACGAATAAAGCAAAAGCAATTTTTCGATTTGAAGCTTCACCGCATTATATTAAAGGTAAATAATGAATGAAACATAAAAGAGAATTGAATTAATATCTTATTTTCTTAAAAAGGCGAGATGCGTGATTACCAAGTTCGTGGTCTCAACTGGATGATTTCACTGTATGAAAACGGAATCAATGGAATATTGGCTGATGAAATGGGTATAATTTTCATTCTATTCAAGTTTAATGTTGTATTAATTAAACTTTTTAATCATAGGTTTGGGAAAAACACTTCAGACAATTTCTTTGCTAGGATATTTGAAGCATTTCAAGCATTTTGGAGGTCCACATATTGTCATTGTACCAAAATCAACTTTACAGAATTGGGTAAACGAATTTAATAGGTGGTGTCCATCATTGACAGCAGTTTGTTTAATTGGTGACCAAGAAACTCGTAATACATTCATTCGAGAAGTTATGATGCCGGGTGAATGGGATGTTTGTGTTACTTCCTATGAAATGTGTATTCGTGAAAAGTCTGTTTTTAAGAAATTCAATTGGAAATATCTTGTAATTGATGAAGCACATCGTATTAAGAATGAAAAATCCAAATTGTCAGAAATCTTGCGTGAATTTAAAACACAAAATCGTCTCCTTCTTACTGGAACTCCACTTCAAAACAACTGTAAGTGCTCAGTATTCTCATTGAATTTTACAATAATATTAAATTACATTTCCATGAAAAAAATCCTTTTTTAGTGCACGAATTGTGGGCTTTATTGAATTTCTTGCTACCTGACGTTTTCAACAATGCTGATGATTTTGACTCTTGGTTCAATACTAATCAATGTTTGGGAAATAATCAGATGATTGAACGTTTACATGCCGTTTTGAAACCTTTCTTGCTTCGTCGTTTAAAGTCTGAGGTTGAAAAGAGATTATTGCCAAAAAAGGAAACAAAAGTTTACGTCGGTCTATCAAAAATGCAGCGTGAATGGTACACAAAAATTCTATTAAAAGATATCGATATTGTTAATGGCGCTGGAAAAGTCGAAAAAATGAGATTACAAAACATTCTTATGCAGCTTCGAAAATGCACAAATCATCCATATTTGTTTGATGGTGCAGAACCAGGTCCGCCATACACTACAGATCAACATATAGTTGATAATAGTGGCAAAATGATGTTACTTGATAAATTATTACCTCGTTTACAAGAACAAGGCTCAAGAGTTTTAATCTTTTCTCAAATGACACGTATTTTGGACATTTTGGAAGATTATTGTTGCTGGCGCGCATATAAATACTGTCGTTTGGATGGACAGACACCTCATGAAGATCGTTCTAATATGATTGCTGACTTTAATTCTGAAAATTCACAAAAATTTGTTTTCATGTTGTCCACAAGAGCTGGTGGTTTGGGTATTAATTTGGCAACAGCTGATGTTGTTATATTATATGACAGCGATTGGAATCCTCAAATGGATTTACAAGCTATGGATCGTGCGCATCGTATTGGACAGAAAAAACAAGTACGAGTATTCCGCTTTGTAACTGAAAATACAGTCGATGAAAAGATTGTTGAACGTGCTGATGTCAAATTGCGACTTGATAAATTAGTTATTCAACAGGGACGATTAATGGATAACAAATCAGCTCAACTAAATAAGGATGAAATGTTAAATATCATTCGTTTTGGCGCTAATCATGTGTTTCAATCTAAAGATTCAGAAATTACAGACGAAGATATTGACAGTATTTTAGAAAGAGGTGAAACTCGAACAACACAGGATCAAAAGAAATTAGATGATCTTGGAGAAAGTTCTTTAAGACAATTTACACTCGATACAGAACCGACAACATCATTGTATGAATTTGAAGGCGAAGATTATCGTGAAAAACAAAAATTACAGACATTAGGAAGTTGGATTGAACCACCGAAGAGAGAAAGAAAGGCAAATTATGCTGTTGATGCATATTTTAAGGAAGCACTTCGAGTTGCTGAACCAAAAGCACCTAAAGCTCCACGACCAGCTAAACAGCCAATTGTACAAGATTTCCAATTTTTCCCACCCAGACTTTTTGAGCTTTTAGATCAGGAAATTTATTGGCATCGAAAATCAATCAATTGGAAAGCACCCAAAAATCCAGATTTAGGATCAGAAGCAAATAAAGCACAGCGTGAAGAACAACGAAAAATTGATGAGGCTGAACCATTGTCTGATGACGAAATTGGTGAAAAGGAATCACTTTTGACACAAGGCTTTACAACTTGGAGCAAACGAGACTTTAATCAATTTATTAAAGCAAATGAAAAGTATGGTCGCGATGACATTGAAAGTATTGCAAAGGAAGTTGAAGGAAAGACACCAGAAGAAGTTATGGAATATAGTTCTGTGTTTTGGGAAAGATGTCACGAATTACAAGACATTGAACGAATCATGGCACAAATCGAAAGAGGTGAAGCTAAAATTCAAAGACGTGCATCGATCAAAAAGGCATTAGATGGTAAAATGGCTCGATATCGTGCTCCATTCCACCAATTGCGTATTTCTTATGGAAACAACAAAGGTAGGTCTTAACTTTTACAAAAAGTCTTGTGTAGTGTATGGTTCGATATTCTCTATCTCATATATATGTGGTATAAGTGTCTATTTTACAGTATTCGTACATTCCACACCACTATTGACATAGTAATTTATAGTCAATATACTAATGTTAAATTGTTTTTTACAGGGAAGAACTACATCGAAGAAGAGGATAGATTCCTCATTTGTATGCTTCACAAGCTTGGTTTTGACAAGGAAAACGTTTATGAGGAATTACGATCTGCAATTCGTTCATCGCCACAGTTTAGATTCGATTGGTTCCTAAAATCAAGGACAGCATTGGAACTGCAAAGACGATGCAACACGTTAATAACTTTAATTGAGCGTGAAAATCAGGAAATTGAAGAGAAGGAGAAACTTGACAAGAAGAAAAAGACTAATAATGTAGGACAAGCTAAAGCGGGACAAAAAAGAAAGAATGACGGTGCGGCGAGTCAAGCAACAGGATCAACCAAAAAGAAGCGTCGAGTTTAAGATTTTATGAACAACAAAAAAATTCCAGTAATTCAACATTCTCAGTTTTCTTTTGTATAAGTGTCTAATAATGAGTGTTTCTCGTATTTAACTTAGTGCTGCAACAAACTGATCAACAGATGTAAATGTCTGATGATAATTTTAACATAATTTAATTTTTATTTGCAAATAGATCTACTACAATTTATTTTTAATGTCCCACTCAAAGCTTATTCGCCTAGTAAAGTTACAATTTTTTACGATTTTGTTTGGTTGATAAGCGATTACAAACTATTTTCTAATAATTATTAAATTTAATTAATTGAATAAATCGGATATAATTTAAGCGAGACAATCTATGGCTTTATTTAACAGCCTTTATTTGCAGTTTAAATCTTTATAATGGGTCTTGATGATGGAAGTTCAAAATCAACATTACCTGATCTCTTCTTTATAAACAAACCAATGACTAAAGCTATGATTGCAACAAGTAAGATTCCAACTCCTCCAACTATCCACCAAGTATATTCGAAATTGTCTTTCTGTTCCTTGTTGTTCTTTTGGGCATCCTTATTATCTTGCCGAGTCTTAGCACTTTCTAGATCTTGAATGAAGTGAGATATATCCTTGACACAATAACTATTGTTGTCAGCCTTGATGAAATGAAGATTTTCAGGACATTTATTATCGCATTCAAAGTGTTTTGGTTCGAAATATTCTATTGCTTCTTCATTATGATCATGTGGATCATGAACTAATAAGAATGGATATTTTCGCTTGTCTGGATCCTGTTAAAATACGATTCATTATGAGATGAGACAAAGATCCAATCTTGTACTTAATAAATTAACTTACACCGCAGTTTTCACGATTAATATTTACATTAATCTTTCCACAAATGTATCCGCAGTCATCTTTTAGGTTTATCAAATTGTCAGATAGATCGTCTGCATTGAATTCACAAGATCCAGTAGAAAAACACGCGATCTAAAAAGTTGTGAAAATTCGCTTGCTTTAGACACAGCTTTTTGCAATATTGAAACTTTATTAGCAATGCTCACCGTTACAAAAACCATGAGGAGCTTCATGGCTAGTTTAATTAAGCCTTTAAGGAAGGAAAAAAAAAAACAAATCTCAAAATTTTTTTCCAAAATTTTTCGTTCGAATATTTTATGAGAATAACGGTTATTACTATTTTGAATTTTATATCAGTTTATATCATTCAAAAATGAATTTAACGATTATCCTTCAAAATTAGTGGATAGAGTTTTCAATGCTGAAAAGAGTATAAATTGTCAAGAAAAAAGATAAATTTATAATTCATTTTATTGAGTCAATACTTTAAAAATAGAGAAATCTCTTAAATACACTTTTTAAGAACATCTTTATCGTCAATCATAAAAAAAAGTCTCGCTATAAACTGTACGTTATAAGGACAAAATGCTCGAAAACATACCCTAATCCCTAAAAAATATTATCAATCTATAAAAATATTCATATAAAATCTAATTGCAACTTAGTGACATTTTTTAAATGAGTTATTTCTTCATTATCAGTAGTTGTTCTAGTCTAATTAAACTTTCTATGCAGCAGTTTTTGAAGCCTTTTGCTTATTTTCACGTTCACGCTTCCTCATCTTTTTACGCCTTCTTTCTTTCGCACTCATTTCATTTTTTATCAACAAATATGCTTTCCTTAGATCCTGGATCTTTTTTTCGAGAACATTGATGCGCTGTGCTGTCGGCATGTTTGGATCTACAATTGTAATTAAGTTAATCCACAGGTATGTACATGAAGCATAAAATCTACTTACCAAGTTCAACTAAAAAGTGGAATTGATTTTTATTGGTTCCACTTTCTACATGACTTCTTGTAGTAAAGAGATTAACATCTGAATTGTCATTGCTGTCTGAATCTGTAAAGCAATAAATTCATTATTAAAAGCTCTACATAATCATATTTCAATTGACTATTTACCATTTCCTTGAAGGTTGCCTCGAACATTAGTTTGTGTTCTTGTCTGTTGCCTTCGTCTCTTTTGTTGCGATTCAGGCTCAGTTTTTAACGATCTCCTCTTCTTTCGTGGTGTGGTATCTGGTTTAGCTATAATTTTAAGGATTTTTATTATGTATTTTTGAAATATATCAAGGGGCTGTTCACTTATTACGTAACGCGAAAAAATGACTTCTTAGACCCCCCCCCCCCTCGTAACAAAATTTGTATGAAAAAATAATTTCCTTGTTTGAACCGTAACAAAATCTTAGACCCCCCCTCCCCCTAAAAGCGTTACGTAATAAGTGAATGGCCCCCAAGCACTTACTGTTTTTCTCACTTTCAGACTGATCATCATTCGAATTGTCTGAATTATTGTTGGTGTTGTTTCCACTGCTTGTAGCACTTCCTCGCTCAGATTTCAATTTATCACGTAAAATATCGCCAGTTGCTGCTTCTATGCTGTCAGTATCAATATCCATAGGAATTTGTTTAAGATTAGTCTGATGTGTATTTGCAGCTGTTGCTTGATATTGTTGATGTAATAATGCAGTTGTCATAGTTCCAGGATATTTTATACTGTAGCCACTTTGAGGCATCGATGGTGGATGAACAAAACCGCCACTTGACGACGACGTTGGACTTCTTCCAATCTCACTTAATGGATCTTTTGGTGCTGGACTTCCAGGTATGGTTTCTTCACACAATAAAAGTGACATTGTTTCACTTGGTTGCTGTTCCTGACTACTTGAATCAATTTTCTTCTCAGATTCCTTAACATTTTGAGAACTTAGTGTTTTATAAGGGACATCATCTTGCATCATAATCGATTCCAATACGCCCATTTGACTCTTTTTCTTCTCAGTACTTTCTGTCGGTGCAGTTTCATCTTCAATAACAAGTCGATCGGAATCTGTGTCACTATCATCATTTGACTTTTTGACTATTGACAATTGTGGATTGCATGCTGTCTCAAGTAAAGTAATGGCTGGTGTGGAAATGGCACTTTCTAGTTTCTCAATAATTCCCTGAAGTTCAGTATTGCCTTTAATTGGAATTTTTTCTTCACTTTTTGATTCTGTTGATATTAAAAGTGGCTTTTTTGATGTATTTAATGCGGAACTACTTGATGTTGTACTAATTGGATATTGTTTACCGACACTACTTGCTGGAGATTTTGCTTTATATAAATAAGGATCACTTTTACGTTCCTCAATCTTAACAACTGGATGAAACTCTTCTTTCTTAATCATATCAACTGTTGGATTCTCCTTTTCACTAGATTCTTTCTGATTAATAGCTTTAAGAAGTTTATCAGCAATAGACGTAGATTTTTCAGCTTTTGGTGGAATTTCATAAGGCTGATCGAGAATTTTCATCAATGCACCAACTTCTGGCTTCTCATCTTCCTTACTTGGAAGCATAATTGGCTTTAAAAGATCTCGGCTATCAATTTCACTGCTAAACTTTAATGGACCTTGTAAAATGCTCGTTCTGGTCGCAATTGGTGATGCTGTAATAACAGATGTTGATGGCAAAATAGTTGATGGACTTGAAATTGGATATTGTATGATTTTTGGTGGAGATGGCAAGTCATCCATGAGATGCATATTAAAACTTGGAGATTTCCTTAAGACATCAAATGTCGATTCTGATTTTATGACTGGTTGTCTCGACGGTACTTGTACTTGAATTGGTGTCTGTGACTGAATTAATTGTGGATTTTGAACGACATTCATTTTGGGGAAAATTTCTTGTGGATTAGTTATGCTACTCCATGCTGATTGAACAATTACATTTTGTGATGTTGTTGGCTGTGCTGAAGTTGTTCTAGCTACAATCATTGACTGAGATGGTTGTTTTTCCTCTTTTATTGGAGATTTTTTTGCCTTTTTACTTTGTGGGAATGAGACAATCGATGTCTTTATCATACTTTCAATATCTTCCATAGCATTCTCGACTTGAACTTCCTTTTGTTGTTGCTGTAAATTTTGCCTTGCTTGCTTTCTTTGTTGTGCCAACTGCTGCTTCTTTGCTGGACCTTCATTTGGTGATTCTTGTTTTTTCACAACCGTTGATTTAGGAACGACTTCTTCAGTATCTTTAAACTCATAAATATCACTGTCTGCACTTGATTTATCCTCAACTTTAACTTCCTTTGCTTTTGTTTTGATTCCAATATCCTTTGTTAATGTTTTTTCTAACTGACTGAATCGTCCAATCTTTCCTGGTGTCGTAGGAGGTGCTGATTCTGGAATTTGTGATGCTGCTGCCGCTGCTCTTTGAGCCAATTTCTTTTCTTGGAATATATTTGGCTTTTTTGTTGGAAATATTGTTGAAATTTCAACTGGCTTACTTTCAACTGGCTGTTTTTCAGTCACTTTTTCAAAAAATGAAGTTGTTGGCTGTACTGGCTTTGCCTCATTTGCATCCTCGTCAAATTTAAAAGTCTTTTTTATGTCAATTTTTGGTACATTAACAGGATTTGATAGGGGAATCTTTTCTGGATCATTTGATTCATTTTCACTTGTGTATGCACTCTTTGAACTATTTGGAACGTCACTTGGAACTGAATGTGATGAGTCACTGTCTGTAGAATGAAATGATGAACGACTTGAATCTCTTTGAACTGTTTTAAGCTTTCCTTTTGCCTCAAATGGTGACTTTCCAGACTTGATTGATGATTTTGTTGATTTTTCATCGTCTGATTTTGATGTATCAGGTTGTGTCTTGTCATTCTGCTTATTTTCTTTTCCTTTACCTTCTTTACCTGCTGATTCCGTTACTGTAGAATCTGATGATGATTTTTGAATGCTTGAGTTTTTATCATCACCTTTATCCTTCTTATCGACTGGCTTTTTAATTGGTTCATCCGATTCACTTGAATTATCATCAATAATTGATCCTTTAGTCGAACTTTTGCTTGTTGGAGTTCCTCGAATTGGTCGTTTTTGAGCAACTTTTGTTTTACTTGATGTATTTGATAAAGGCGTCGTTGAACGTGATGATGCTGTAGTATCAGCTCGATTTCGAGCACGTTTTGATGCATTTTTACTTGTTGGTGTCTGTAAATTTGTACTTGATGTGCTTGGAGTTTTTGGATTATTATTATCTTTAGTATTATTGTTACTCGATTGCTTTTTCTTGCCTCCTTCTTCTTTTGTCAAATTTTCAGCAATACTTTCACGTTGAATCCATTCATCATATCGCGCATTCCAGCCCTTATAATGAACTTTATATAAAGTCTTTCCATCTTGATGCTGAATGTCCAAAACTTTTGCTTCATAATCGGATGAGCCACGATAATAAACTTTTAATCGATCATCAATCTCAATTGGAACATTTTCAGCAATACTTGGACCAGAGGCAACCTGTGGTTTTGCTGCAACTATTTCCTTTTTCTCAATTGTCTCTTCCTTCTTTTTTTTCGGCTCTGGAAGTTTTTTCTTTGGCTCTTTTTTCTTAGACGAAGGCGTTGCAGCTGGAGATATTTCATCGTCTTTTGATGATATTGACAGCGATTTTTCTTTCTCCTTTACGATTATCTCCTTAATAATTTCTTTCTCTTTAATTTCAATCTCTACTTCCTTAATAACTTCTTTGATAACTTCTTTGACAATTTCCTTATCATCCTTCTCTTTCTCCTTGGGATTAATTTTAATTTCTTTTTCTTTTGGATTAATTTTAATCACTTCTTCAGCTTTTTCACTCGTAGCTTTCGATTTTGTACTTGTAGTTGATAATTTTCGAGATGTTGAAACTTTTGTTGACTCACTCGTGTTCTCAGAATCATCTGCAGCACTGCTGGTTGTTGGCTTTTCAATCTTTTTTAGCTGTTTCACCTAAAATAATTAAATAAAGTTATGAAATCACATTAATAATCAATCAACAAAACTACAAAAGTCCTCGTGTTATTGATCGAGGAAAGGGGTTTTAAAAATCTATTAACTTACGTTCTCGACGACTTTTGGAGATGCAACTGATCCAGATCGAGTTGAGCTGCTTCTAGCCTTTTCACGATTAATGCGCGGTGGCAGTTCTTCAATGCCTTTAGACACAGCTTCTTCAAATGCGAGCAAAAACTTCCTATAAGAATGCTTGACAAGCTTAACGATTGCATCAGTTGGTGTGAATCCTAAACGCTTTGCAATTGCCTTCCAATTACGTATTTTCGTGACATTAGCATATCCACCCAATTTTTCAACAGAATAATAGAGACGATAAAGATCAACATCGCGATTTGTAATGCTTGGACCTTTATTAAGCGGTGAATTTCTCTTTTCCATAAACTCCAAGAGTTGTGCAAAGAATCTATCTTTGACTTCGTTTGGCTCATCATCAGAACTATCTGAGAGTTCTTGTTCACTGAGACTTGCTGAATCAATCAAAACTTCACGATCCCAATGAGTTGGAAGGACGTTTTTATCGAGAAATTCACGAGCAGCACTTACGGCAACATGATCAGACTTTTGAGCAGTGTCGTTTGTGAATTCAGTAACTTCCTTTTTTGGTACAGTATAGTAGCGTCCATCCTTGAATGATCTAACAAGATATTGGGTTTTAATATGAATTTTGACATTTTCTTGAGCTTTTGGTGCTACAACTAAGGCCGGAAAATAGCTTTCTTTTGCATTTTTCTTTTTAGTATCTGTATTTTCGACACAAACAACTTTTCCTATAGCATATTCCTCATCATCTGACTCATATTCATCTTGGGTTTTTGTTCTCTTTCCACCTCCTCGATGTTCTGGATGCGTTAATGGAAGCTGATCGAGTGTATCACAAGCATTAAAATGCTTACCAGACTGACGACATAAAGCTGTTCTTCTAAGCGTTGCTATATCACCGTCATCAAAAACAACAGTATATTGTGAGCAATCTTGAATTTTAGTTATTGTCGCCTCGAAATTATCCTTTTTATCACCATCCTTTATCTCCACTATACATCCAACACGAACTTCACCAATAATTTGATCATCAGATACAGTAGAAGTTCCACCTTTCTTATACGCTACCTTTACTTTAATGTTTTTCACAACCGTATGAACTTTTGCCTCACAAAATGCTCCTTTATACTTAGCACTGACTTGGGCACCAACTGGTAAGACGACAGGATCGTCTTTATCCTTTTGTGGTATTCCTTGCTGTGAAAAAAGCGAGTTTTTCATGAGAAAATTAAGTTGCGTTGATTTTTTTCCTTCAGTTTTTATTATCACTTTCGCCATTTTTCAATACATACCATCATTTTTTGCAGGAAATAGCTCTCAAAACTCGAATTATCGCTAACAAACGCCACGATTACTGACTTATGTCACTTCCGATGACACTGAGAATATTTTTCATTTGTTTCATCAACAATTAACTAGTTAAATTGATTTTTTTTTTAAATTTTATTTATTTCCTTTCATGTACACTGGCTTATAACTTCCATGCGAGAAATTTGTCGTTTTTGTGCGAAAATTCAAAAATATTTTATTCGTTATTTTTATACTTTTAAGAATGTTGCAAATGTCAAATATCCAGTATGTCCTGGCTGAATTGGAGTATTGAGTGTTGTTAGTACTTTTCTTGTTGGCAGCTGAGGCTTCTTCTCATTCGTTTTAATTACTTTCTCTTCATTTTCATCACGTTTTGTTTTCACAAAAGATAAATCAATTATCGGTATATGCTTTTCTTTGACTATATGCTCTGTCTGAAGAATTTCAATCGTTTGAATCTCGAGGAATCCGTGCTTTTCTAACTCGATACATGTATGTTGAACTTGTTCAATACATGGTGAAAATGAACAGAATCGACCTCCAGTTGATTTTAAAGCTTTCGTCACATGCTCAATAGCTTTATATGGTGCTGGAAGATCTAAAAATACAGCATCGGCTTTTCCATTCAATTCTTCGGTAAATCCATTAGCACAAACGTCTCTTTGTTGCACTGTTACGAACCTTCCATATCCATGTTCATTAAATTCCTCTCTAGCCTGAATAACTCGATTCTCATGGAAATCAAATGTATACAAATGTCCTTTACTGCTTATTGCCCTCAAAAAGTAATGTGAAAGTGAACCGGATCCTGTTCCTGCCTAAATACACGACTTTCCTTTAATATCACTGAATAACTTTAATTACATTAGCTTACCTCAATAACAACACTTGATGGATTGATTTCTAATTGCATGAGAATCATCGAAATATCTGGAGTATATAGGATTTGTGTTCTATGAGGAAGATTTAATGTCCATAAATCAGTATTCATTTGTAAGATGTACGCATATCCTTTTGTTAATTGCACTTTAGTGCCATATTCATGTCCAATTAGGCTTTTCACTTTTATAGCTCCGAATGTTGTCTGATGTGTATACTCAATCTATAAGTTAATTGGGGAATTAATAATTTTTAAAAATCAGGCATGGATCTTTTTGGACTTACAGTTTCGCCGTTTTTGTTGATAATATTTGGAGTTACTTTGATTGGATGCATGTTATTGATGGATATATACAAGAGAACTGTATCTCCTTCATTTACCATCTTTCTAGGCTCAATAAAGCTCATTTTGATGTTTAATTAATGATTTTTTGCTTATTGTGAAACTTTTAAAATGTGTTTACTAAACCCGATCAATTTATGTCGATGGACTTCAAATGGTAATCAAACGGAAAAATTTGAAAAATAAAATAAAGCTTTGCTTTAAAAAATTGAAGCTTCGAAGTTTTATTGGCTCATTATTAAACGCTGCACTAGCTTTTAAAATGCACTTTGTCTGTTGGTTTCTGGGCACATTAAAAACCTTTTAACTAGACATAGGAATGAGCTTATACTCAATATAGACATGGTTTCAATATTATCGTCTACATCAGTCTACATCTATAATTTCAAATTTATAAAAACCGGTAAAATTTGAATTTTTAAAAACCGTTAATTGTCAAAGTGTTTTAATAAGTATGTTAATTCACTAGAAGTCACTCGAGTTAAGAATTTTTAATCATGTTAATTAACATAAGTGCTAGTTACGACAAAAAGCGCTAAAGTCACAAAATCAAGTACGAGGACTTTTGTAATATTTTTTTTTTCATTAATTCCAAGAAGTCGAGATAAAAATCAAAATTCAGTGGTTTACTGCACCATCAAAGCATTAGAAGTATCAAAAATGGACGAGTCAACGGTAGACAAAGAACGATTTGCTAGGTAAGTTAAATTAAATTAATGTTGTGGGTGTATAATTTGTGAAAAATAGCCGAGTTGAATTTTCAATGGTGGATTTCTTAAGAAAAGATGGGAAAAACAAAGACTCAAAAATAAGAATCTCAATTTTCTAGCTTAATTAACATATTACTGGATCTTTTGATATCTTATGAAAGAGTCTAATATCTGTTTATAAAATAAGTTTGGTTTTTCCCATTTTCACGTAAAAATTAAGTTTGTTGGATAAATGCACAAGTGCACAAACTTATTCAAGGCAAAAGCATTGACAAATAATCGCTGACCATACTCTTTCGTCTACCTTGAAACTTATTCTAAACATTAATTACTGTACATTTTTTCATATTTAATGTAGCCGTGAAAATCATTGTGAAATTGAGCGAAGACGTCGTAATAAAATGACGGCTTATATTACCGAATTATCGGACATGGTTCCAACATGTAGCGCTTTAGCTAGGAAACCTGATAAATTGACAATTTTAAGAATGGCAGTAGCTCATATGAAGGCATTGAGAGGAACTGGCAATACAAATACGGATGGAAGTTACAAACCATCATTTTTGACTGATCAAGAATTAAAGCATTTAATACTTGAGGCAGCTGATGGATTCTTGTTTGTTGTGTCGTGTGATACTGGTCGCATAATTTATGTCTCTGATTCAGTTACACCCGTTTTAAATCAATCACAAAATGACTGGTATGGATCATCACTGTTTGAGCTTGTTCATGGCGATGATATTGATAAAGTACGTGAACAGTTGTCGACGCAAGAGCCACAGAATTCTGGTCGTATTCTAGACTTGAAAACTGGAACCGTTAAAAAGGAAGGACATCAATCATCGATGAGATTGTGTATGGGATCAAGGCGAGGATTCATTTGTCGTATGAAAATTGGGAATGTAAGTCCGGAAAATATGGCAGTTGGTCATCTGAATCGTTTGAAGCAACGAAATTCTCTCGGACCATCAAGGGATGGACAAAATTATGCTGTAGTTCATTGTACAGGATACATTAAAAATTGGCCTCCAACAGGTACGTAACGTTTTGTGTTTGTTCCTTCTTTATTTGCGTAGATTTTATCGCCACTCTGAGTAGTAAACAAGTTATTTGTCTTAGAACAGTAGCTTGTCAACGGAAATAATGACGATGAACCTTTACGTTTTTGTAAACAGATCTTTTTCCAGGTGTTCAACTTGATCGACAAAATGAGGATGATTTGCATTCATCTCACTGCTGCTTAGTTGCAATTGGTCGTTTACAAGTTACATCAACTGCCAATTCAGCAGATCTTAATGGCTCAAATAATCAATCGGAATTCATTTCTCGTCACTCGATGGACGGAAAGTTTTCTTTTGTTGATCAACGTGTAATGAATGTACTCGGCTATGTTCCAACCGATTTACTAAGCAAGAGCTGCTATGACTTCTTTCATCCTGAAGACCAGAATCACATGAAGGAGAATTTCGATCAAGGTTTGCTTATACTCGCATTTCTTTCTTGTGCATTTAAAATTTATTTCTTGAATCTTCTAGTTCTCAAGCAAAAAGGACAAATGTTTTCCGTAATGTACCGTTTTCGTGCTAAAAATCGTGAATGGGTTTGGCTAAGAACACAAGCTTATGCATTCCTCAATCCATATAATGATGAGGTTGAGTACATCGTCTGCACAAACAGTTCTGCAAAGTAATACCTTATCAATTTGATCCTATAAAGTTAATTTTTAATATTATTCTTAATCCTAGAACATTGCACAATGTTGCACCAGAAAACAACGGACAATTGGAAACAGAACAGCCTGTTTATCATCAACCTGCACCAGGACTTGATTATACGATGCAAAATCGTCGTGAAACTCAACCATATAATCCACACTTAATGTCACATATCGCTGTGCCACCACAAACATCATCTCAAGCTCCAAATAGTATTCAGCAACGACCCAACAGTGCACAAAATACTGTACAGTATCACTACGAACCAACTCCATCGCCAATTCAGTAAGCTGCTTTAATTCTTATATTTAAAGTTCTTGACACTAAAATCGATGAATAAATTAATTATAGGTACGGATCACCAGGGAGAACACCAGCAGCTATGGCTAAGAATAGTCAGAATGCATCACCTACACCTGCATGGACAATGAGACAGCAACAACAACCACCAGAAAGTTATCAATATAGTCAATTAAGTCCTTCAAGATCGCCGAGTGGACCGACTTATACGCAATTGAGTAGCGGAATTAACTCACGACCAGCTTATAATGCAACAGCAACTACGCAACAAGCTCCTCATCAGCCAGGTAAGAATGACAATGACTTAATGCCTTATTTGTCTAATATCAATTGATTATTCTTCGTTTAGGATACTTTGGATGGTCTGATAGCGGTGCTGGACCAAGTTCTGCACCTCACAATCCTTCAGTTCCTCCAGGCCAACATCCACAGCAAGGACAAGAGTTGTCTGATATGCTTCAAATGCTCGGTGATCAAACTGGTCCGACGACTTTTGAGGATCTCAATATTCACATGTTTTCGGGGCAATTCGAGTAAAGATGAATGTTTTTATTCCATTTAAGAATGAAGAGATCTGTCATATATGCTGAGCATTGCTAATTTTTCATATTTCCATTAAGTATTTCGCAATTTTTCTTTCAATTTTTCATCTGAATTGAGCAACGATAAATTTTTTTATTATATTAATTAAATGACATAAGTATAGACAAGGATGTGCAAAAAGCATTTGCTATGATATATAAAGTAATATTTTCAATGAGTTTTATAAAGAAAATTATTATACAGACCTAGATTGTAAGTATCAGAAGAAAAAATTATATTCAGAAATACCTATTTCTATAAATAGATTCTTAATTAAAATAACAAAACATTTTATTAAGGGACTATTCTCAATTTAAGGAACTAATGATTTCTAGATTAATTAATTTGCGTGATCGAGTGACACGATAACTGTTGTATGGTTTTGTGTCGCGCAACTGTCACACAACACTAATTCGTGTTGCTCGAATCAAAATTCCAATTTAGGCTTAAAAACTGTGTGGCATAATTCTCTAATTACTAGGGTTCGGAAATCTACAGTTATTAACAGTTAGTAACACTTATCTACAGTTATCTACAATTTGTAACTGTAGATAAGTAACTGTAGATAATTTTTTCAAAGTGGAAAAAAACGTTATTAATTTACTGAAAAAAGAGTTGAAATGCTAAAATCAGGACTGCAACAGCATGTAACAGTTCAAATAAAGTGACATTAGGCTTCATTCAGTATTTTAAACGCGTTTGTGTGGTGATTTAATTGAAAATTAAGAAATTTTCGCAAATTTTTTTTGTTTACAAACATGTGAACAATATTTGAATTTCATATAACCGTTACAAATATTCGATAAACAAAAAGTTGATTTTTAATAGCTAATGTTGACATTTGAGCTCTCTTAATGTATAATAAGTGTATTCTATATATAAATTTATTAAAAAAGTCTCCAAAAATTGTTTGTTTACAAAACTTTGCAAATTTTTTTAACGGATTTTCTTCATTCAAAGAAATTATCTACAGTTTACTAACTGTTGATAACTGTAGATTTTGTGTAGATAATCTAAAAGTTGATAACTGTAGATAATCAGTTAGTGGTTTTCCGAACCCTACTAATTACCTTCCAAAAGCACAAGCTCTTTTGCGAATGAAACAATTTTATCATTATTATCGACCTAATTTAATTAGCTAAAGAATTTTGCAATATTCAGTTCCAAAATTTTTGAATTTAAGAGATTTTTTCAAAAAACCAATAAAATTTGAATTTAAAACAAAATAAATTTAAGGGCTTTTTTTGGATCGTGTTTAATTAAAATTAATTTGTGTTTTTCTGTAATGGATTTCTATTTCAACGAACATTCACTTGACGAAGAAGATGTTATGCAAGCTATGACAGCAGTCAATGACAATATTATCGACTATTCTCATACTGAAAATTGGAAATTTGATTTCAATGAGAAAGATGTTGAAAAAATAAAGAATGATCCGTTTTGTTCGATTCTAGAGCACATCTATAAGCAGTTATCACCAAAAGATCTTTTAAATGCATCACTTGTGTCCAAAAACTGGTACAATTTAATCGGAAAGCTTAACACTTTTAATCGACTTAAATTAACTTATTTTACAAGCGACTATGATCCAAAATCTGATGAATACTATAGTGCGATTAAAAACAGCTCACGAATTTACGAAAACATAGATATAACTCTTTGGAACCATGAAAAGGACATCAAAATTACAGAGCAGATCATTTTCAAATATTCAGCATTTCTAAAGTGCCTTAAATTGATTAAATTCGGAGGGTAAGCATGATTTTCAAAGAGAGTTCTATGCTTTTACTTATTCCTTGTTCAATATAGCTTCAATTCAATGCTTAATGAACCACTTGACTTGCCAAATCTAGAGGAACTTGAAGTGCATGTTGCAAGTGGAAGATTGAACTGGAAGTTCTTTGAAAACGTGACGACGTTAAAGAAACTATCAATCAATGGAATCGAGTCTAAAGGCTTTACAAAAGTCTTGAACAAAAATAATAATCTACAGGAACTAACGTTCTATGAGAATGCATTTATATCTTATTTTATTAAAGATATATCAATAAACATCAAGTCACAGTTGAAGTCATTAAAGATTCTTGATCATAATAAACAAATTAATTTGAGATTAAGCGGTGAATTTCATGCAAATGTTTGGTCAGAGAATCAACGAAGCAACTTCTACAGATTACTTTTAACTCAAAATTCACTGAGAGCATTACATCTGGATGTGTGCTATGCTGAGGATCTTGATATAATTTTTACAAGACCATCACTTAAACTTCTAGAGATTAACAAAGTAATTGGCAATTTCCCAACACAACTTCCTTTATCAAACATTCAAAGCTTCATGACAAGAACTGAGGAAATGGATTATGCAACAATTGAAAAAATTCTGATGTTACTTCCAAAATTACAATCGGTGTATATTTATCAACTGTCAATTGAAGTATTTTTTAGACTTCTTGGACATCAGTTTTTACAAAATTTCCATTACTTTTGGGCATCAGAAGAAGATTATGGACGTCTAATCTGTTTAAAGACTTACTATTCTGGATCCATTTATGTCACGCGATCAACAAAGGATGAGTTTATTAACTTATTTTGTTAATAGTAAAAAATATCTGGTATTTATTTTTAAACTTTTAAGCAATCAGCATAAACTTAATAATAAAAAAAAATATCAACCGTATTCCAAGTTAATTTTAAAAATTCTGCATCTTGTGGAGCTTAATGCCGCAAATGATGTGCTTGCATTATTATCTGTACTGTAGATAGAACATGCATCCAAGATTGGATTCTGCATTACGATTTGATGAAGTTTTCCTACTTCAGGCGTGTACAATTGAATGTCTCTTGACTCATTGGAATATGAAGCAACAATAAAACTATCATTAACTTTTATTAAAGCTGGTCGTGTGATGAATGGAACTCCAGTCTGATTCGTATAAAATCGGTAACTTTCCTGAAGAACTGGAACTTCATCGACCTTAATTAATTTCATTAAAATGTACATCATTTTGTCATCTATTGACGTTGACAATAACAGTAGTTCCGTTCGATCATCATAGCTTGCTGTCACAATGCTGTCTTCATAATTCAATTTATTTACTTCAAAGCTGCTGTCTTTGTACTCATAAAAATATATACCACGTAAGTGAATAACGAAAAATCCACCAGAAATGAATGAATCGTTCTTGAGCATTGACAAGATTAATTTTACTGGTGTCTTATTATCTAAGCTTGACTGTATTTGAAGAACTTCAGCTTGTTTCTTAAAGTCATACATATGTAGACTTCCGTCTTGAGCACCAAGAAAAATTTGGTTCTCTCGATTCTTATTAAATGAACAGCTCCATATTGGAGATAAAGAAGTAGGCGATAATACAGCAATACTTTGAGAACTGAGTATGTTGTAAACTTTACAGACAGGTTCACGAGATGCTGTTGCCAAATAAGTCTCAGATGGATCAAAACATAGATCAATAATCTGCTTACTGCTTGTATTAATAAACTTTTCACATCTATGGGAATTAACATCTACAAATCTCACGCCATATCCAGTAAACAGACTTGTTGCGACTGCTTTCTGTGATATGATTAATTTCTTAATTTTTGGCATAAACTTAATTATCCTACAATCTGCATTATCCTTAAATTCGATGGATTTTTCGAGATACATTCGTCCAGCCCTTAGCGAAAGTTTACAGGATAAATCATTAGAATTGGACCTCATAAGCTGCATACTTTTAAGTCTTTCAATCTCCCTCGTTAATTCTTTAATTTGTCTTTTTTGGAGTGCTATTGTCATGGCATTTTGACTGCTTGTTGCCTGAATATCTCTCTTTTCCTGCTCTACTTTTTGAAGCTGCAATTCTAGTTCCACTTCACGGCTATTATCAACTATTTGAACTTTTGTGGCATAAATAAACCTAAAATCTCTGTTGGATGATTTTGATTTACAGCTTGGACAATTTTTATTGTCTTTTACCCAAGTTGAAATACAGGAATTACCATAAAGATGACCACATTTTAATGCTACAGTTCTGTGCTCACCAGAACAATTGAAATTATCTAAACAAATACTGCATAAACTCCCATCATCTAAATTGCTTTGATTAAGCTTAATCGGTGAATCTCTGCCAAAGGAAATTCGAATGTGTTTGTTATGAAATTCATTGTTTTAATGTCCATGAAAATAAACTTACAATTTTCTCTTTTTCTTCGAAGGTGATACTGCTTCTTTCAATGGAGATCTCTTTACAGGAACAAACTCTATCTCCTCGCTTGTGTCTCCTATTTCAATCATGCTTCTAAACTAGATAAATGCCTTTTATTCTCAAAATTTCATTCACTTTGATTATTTGTTTATAATTGAAACCTTTGAATGTGTTTGTGTTTACTGGTGTTTACAAAGTTTTTTTTGCGGCAAAAATTTGAATTTTTTCAGTTCATAATATTTTTGTTGTTTCCATTTATTTCTTGTGCAAAACTGAATAAAGTGGAATATATACATTGATCAAATTAATTTTCTGTTGTCATTTAAAACAAGTATCAAACGATTATTTTTTAAGCATATTAATTTAAAACCCTGCAAATGTTTTAAGATGAAAACATTTGTATGGTTCTAAAATTTGAATTTGAAATGACAGTTATCTTAAACATTTATGAGGTTCCCAGCTGAAAATTTTAAATGTTAAGGATAAGTTCAAAAGGGTACAAAAGTTAATTTTACCGATAAATTAAGTATTTATTTTCATATAATTAAGTGTTTTCTTAAAATGTTTTCACCCCCATAATAACACATAAGTATCATTTATGTCTGCATTTATCTACATATCAAAAATATAATTTAATATAATTAAGAGAGTTTTTCCCATTGAAGAATTGTCCTATAGATAAAGTATAAACTCTTCTTCATTCATTAATTTTTTTTATGTTTGCATAAAGGCCACTATAACAATGAGATGATTCTTTTCTTTATCTAAACTTAATAATGTAGGTAAATTAACAATGGCTGATTGCTAATCCATTTTAAGAGCTACAGGAATTTTCATTTTTATCACAAACTTAAATCAAAAAAGAAAAAAAAAATAGTCTTCGATCTGTTGTGTCATGCTGTCTTCGAGAGGATGGATGATAAAGTCTGGATCTATTGCGTCACATTAGGATTTGTACTAGCAACTCTAACTGAGTTGATAGGTTCTGTGCTATTACTATTAATATTATTTTATTAGTATGTTCATATTAGTTTGATTCTAATTCCTTAAGTATCAATCAAGCTTCCATTTTTCATCCTTTGATCACTAGGCACTCTCGATGAAATCGATTGATCGAGAATTTCCCTCTCTGTCTCGTCCTGTACTTCTCTTACGTAATTCCATTTTTGAACTTTAGCCGTTCCGAATATTTGAAATACAATATACGTTAAAACTGCTACAATAGATGATACAAGGAAGCAAGTCTTCCATTGTGATAAATCTTTTTGGTTTTGTAAAATTGCACCATTAACTAGAGGCGACAGGAATGACGCTGACATGTGTATGGTTTGAGCAAATGCTAACACTGGACCAGCGAAATTAGGTGATAGATCCACTATACATGCCATAGCACCAGCATAAGCTGCTGTTATGAGCACAATTCCAATCGACCATATAATAATTACACTAACAATCTCCTTCCCCATATATCCAACTAATAAGATCAAAAGTCCAGGAATGATTTGAGATGCTGCTGTCATAATCTTACGAATGTTTGTCAATGATAAGACGTCATTGCGTACGAGAACGTCAGCAATGTAACAGAATAACACGGATGAGAAATAAGAACCGATAAAAGGCAATCCAGATATGATTCCGTTCGCTTGAATGTCAAAGTTAAGTATATTCTTCATAAATGATGGTCCATTCATAATGAAAGTATAATGAACCCAAATTCGTCCGAAAGTTGTAATTCCTATTGACCAAGCTGGTATAGATGTGAAAATTGATTTCCATGGAATTGTTCGTCCTTGATTCTCTTTAATTTCACTCGAAACATTAAGTTCTATGTATTCTAATTCCTTTGGTGAGATTCTTGGATGTTCAGCTGGAGTATTAAAAGCTAAAAAGTACCACATAATGCACCACAATACACCAATTGATCCAGTCGTATAGAAAACTGGACGCCATCCAAAATTATAAATAATAAAGCCACAAAGTGGGTATGTTAATCCAATTCCAAATGAGAATCCTTGAAAACTGCTCATAAAACGAGATCTTTCATTAGGCGGATACCAAGCTCCCACAATTTGATACATAGCTGGCCACGTCAATCCACTGGCAAATCCCTGTATTGATCTTACTAATATTAAAAGTTTCCAGCTTGTTGATGCTGCAATTGGAATGCAAAGTGAGCCTAAAGCAGTCACCAATTGTGAAAATCCAAAAACTGCTTTAGTTCCGAAATACTGTGTCGCAACTCCACCAACAACTTGACTTACTACATACATCCAATAAAAGCTACTTAATATCCAACTTGAAATTGATGAATCCCAATCAAATTCAGCCCATTCCTCTCCGTTCAAGACGGGTATCTAAAAATAATAAAGGATGTAAAGTCAGTCAAAAAGATAATAAAGCAATCAGCCATCAATCTTTTTACATGTGTTGTAGTGACGATTGTTGAATTGAAATTTAACGACGAATTACCCTTTAAATCATCTGGATCTGGAATATTTGTGGCATTTGAAGATCGAACCATTGCAACAATCGCAAAGTTTATCTGGAACCAACAAACAATTATCATTAAGTCAATTACGACAACTTTACAGATACTTACATCATTGCGCATCATAAATGACACCAAAAACCCAGACCATGATAAGAAATACAGCACGAGACGTGCAGGAATATCAAAACTGTTTGGATTCATTCTTCTTTTGTTATTGGAATCAAATTCTTCTTCAGTTGACAATGATGATGATGTTTTGACGATTTTTACAGCACCATTTTTTGCAAATTGTAAATTGTTTGAGGTAAAGCCTGCAATGAATATTTATAACAATGGAAATTTTGTTAGCTATTTGCTGATTGTTGATTTGCATTTATATACACAATTGAAACATAGCATGTGCGAGCTTATCACGATATATGAATAATCTATAAATTCCCAAATATTTACTTTTTATGGACGGAAGCTTTTAACGTCAGTTTGTCTGAAAATCTAATGATATAATCTGACCTAGAAATACTCTAAGTATTCCTGAACCTTGTCTGAAGCATCTAAAGCACATTTAGAGTCATAGAATAACTTTGAAGATAGAAAATGCTCCTTCAAATCTACTTCCTGTATCTTTTATTACTTTCTGATTTAGTAGGCAGCAGCAGCATTTAAGATGCTATTTAAATCAATTGCTTGTACACGAAACAAAATGTTTTGCGATTCAATTCCTACTTAATATTCTTTTAACTGGTTCTGTTACTCGTAGAGTATACTTTTCTCTCAACCTATCACATTTAAATGCAACCTTTTGTGTCGATGCACTTTTTAGCTGAATTTTGTGCTTCCTTTCAGAAATTCAAGAACTATCGATAATTCTCGATTGGAATGTGCCGAAATGTCAAATGCTTATGGAAAATTTATCAATGAGTCATTTGAATTCAATCTTGCATGACAGAGCTTTATGACGAAAACATCATTATTCTCTTGAAATTCGACCATACCAAATAATAACGTAACTACAGAGTAAGGGATTTAGAGTACAAGAATTGCAATTAAAGTACAATGTTCTATTATTAGCTTGTCTTTAATTAACTGTTATTAATTGATAACAAATTTGTTTAATGTACTTTTTATCAAAAGCAGGAATTAGTCTCCTTAATTTATTACACTGACTTGCCATTGTCGATCATTTCTCGACCCTGATAATAAATTTGAAAGGAATTTCCATTAACAAATGTCAATTTAAGTTGCGGTCATAAAAGGACAGACTTTAAACTAGTTTACATTGCTTTGGATGGAATGTGTCATAGCCAAATTAGTCATCGATATCTTCTTATTCATTTCGATGACCGAGAATATGGAAGATAACAATTTAGTATAATTCAATAGACACAAAGATCTTGAGATGAATTGAAATGTTCTAGAACTCTATTTTCCATAATACTTGATGCCGTCACTGACTATTTACAATGTCTGAGCTATTAAACACATAAAAGGCGCTTAATTCTGAGCATCAAGATAACGAGTCTTAAAATGATATGTACTCAAGGTCATTATTCGAAGCAAAACACTTGTTCCACACTATTATTGACGTAGATAACCAATTTTTTGTGAATGGATCTGAAAATTGTAGTTCTCATGACTGATAATGCTGTACAAAAATGGAAATAATTTTAGGAATATGTCACACAAAACAAAACAAAAATCGATAAGGTGCCCATGAGAAAAAAAATCAGCCTCATCATTAATTGATAAGAGAGGTCAGACTAGATTTGTTGTGTACTTTACCGTTTACGAATTTTTCTTCGCTATCCATTCTGGATGACTCAGAAGCGTCAATCAATAATTGAGAATAAAAAGCGTGCCACGTGTTGGTTGCGAATTAAAAAAATTATTATTGCGTTCGTTTAATGCTAAATAATTAAAATCAATTCAAAGTAAATTGCTTCGCGGCACTTCCAGAGACATTAATAAATTTTAAACTCGACACAACGAACGGAGAAAAGAAACTGATGAACATGCAGGATTTTTTTTTCAGTAGTGTAGTACTTACTATACATTCGTTATCAAAAAAAAAAAAAAAACAGAGTATAAAGTATTAAGTTATGACGATTGCTAAGTGTATAGATAAATATGAACTGACATAATCGATGGAACAGAACTAAATATGTAAATTTTATTCACAATTTGTAGCGATTTCTCTCACTAAGTGATAATTTGCGTAGAATTATTTATTCATCCGTTAACTATTGCTAAGAAGATGGAGAAAATAAAATCTATGTTGCAGAACTGACCTTCCGCAACGTTAAAAATCGTGGGAAAGTACCGAAATTTATAAGTTGCCATATTGAACAGATGAAATGAATTATCGCTTTTTAAATAAATTATAGAACTATTATTATAGGACTAATAATGACTGTAATTAGCAGTTATAGGCACTAGTCTTAAATATAATTGTAGAATAAACTGAAAACTTGCATGACAAGAATGACAAGAAATTTATCGATTTTTGATGCAATATTCAAATACTTTTGTTGTTTTCAAACTGTTTAACAGGTTTATGGCTTAACTAAGCTCTCAAAAAAGTATACAACTAGAACTTTATGGATAAGCTTTTTTTCAGCTTCATTCAATTTGTTGGACCTTATGAAGATGTCATGAGAAAATTTTCACGATTTTCATGAAATTTCTTCAGGAAGCACATTGATTTTCTCAATAAGACTCTTAGTTCTAGCGTTTATTAACCTGCAATAATTACGTGATTGCTTAATTCAGTTTGTTTATAGAACTTTTTTTTGGGTCGACAACAATTTCAACACGTTTTTGAATGCTTCAGCAATTTTTTATGGAATAAATATTATTTGTCAAACCTACCTTAATGGCAATCAAATAAGAACTGAATTATTTAAACTGCATTTAAACATTTATTCACTAATAATTTAAACTTTTTCTAAACAAACAAATTGTCTTTGGAAAAACATAGCTTGCACTATTTTTCACAATCTCTTTTAATTCTACTATTTTCAAAGCGTTTTGTGATCTATAATGCGTTGCAAATTAAACCAGAAGCTTAATCAAAATATACTTTTTTTTTGCTAGAACATTTTTCTAATTTTTGCGAAATTTTTGTATTTCCTCCTGCAACTGAAGATGATAGAAGCATTCAAAGCTTTGAAGTTGCGCATACATTATCGATTTTATTTATTACTTAATTTATAATTTTTTAAACTTGAGTTTATATAAGTTAAGAATTCAACGAAAATTTAAAATTCAAAATGTAACGGAAGATCAATATTCAAAAAATTAAAGATCAAAAAATTGAACTTGATTTAAGTTGGTGGCAACATGAAAGTGATATGCAGACTACACGATTTTAGGATTTATGATGGAACCTTGAGCTTCAAAGCAAAATTGAGTTTGAAAGCTTCAATTCTGCTTCATGTATGTTTGTTTGTGTTGGTGAATTGAAGCGAGGATTCAAATTGTTGCTTATTTAACGGAATGTTGCGCACGTGTACAAATTGATGCTTTTTATTCAATGCTCTATTTTTGGTATGTATATCACTTTTTCATCTAAAATTCTATGATATTCTCTTTGACAATATTTATTTAAAATGAAGGAAGCTAATGCAGAAGGGAGTCTTTTGAGAAGATTCTGTGGACATTTAGAATAGTAAATAGTAAGATATTGTAAATAAATTGACAAAAAGTAAATTGAAAATGCAAAGAAATATCGAAACTATCAACCAATTTGAATGTTCTCTATCTTATTATATCAGTGTATCAATTGCATTGCTAAACACGTACATTTGAAATCAGAAAGAAAGAGAACATTGATAAAAAATCAATGAGCCGGAACAAATTGATGTAAATATTTAATGAATCAGAAAGATTTTTCTTGCTTTGATATGTGCACAAGTATTTTTTTCTTCTCAGAAAATCAGCTTGACTTTTTTTTCCAACCAAAATGATGTAAAACTTGGCTTTCTTTAACTTTATAGTTTTTCATTTGCTTTTGATTCCTCAGTAAATCTTACAGTGTTAAAAGTAATCGATTTTAAAGAATCATTTATGGAAAAGATGAATGAGATGCTTGCTAAAGCCATTATGGAGTTAATTATTCACTTTGATTGTATGTTGATTAAGGGAAGCTAGATTTTTATTGTGTTTTAACTGTGACTGTATTAAGGCAAGAAAGTTTCAGGAACTCAGTCACATCTCAATCTTAGTGAGAACCAGAATAAGGCTACATACCCTAGGGGCCGTTCACTTATTACGTTCGCATTTTAGGGGGGGGGGGCTGAAAAATTGTAACAAAATGTAACATAGGGGGGGGGGGGGGGTCTCAAGAAGTATGTAACGTTCTAGCTGTCGTCTGTTTTTTAAAAAAAAGTTCACGAAAAAAATTTGTTTACAAATTTAAAATTTAAACGTTCAGGGGGGGAGGAGGGGTTGTGAGTTGTAACATATTGAAACAAAGGGGGGAGGGGGGGGGGTGAAAAAAGTCGTTTTTTGCGTAACGTAATAAGTGAACGGCCCCTACATAAAATCTCAGAAAAATAGAAATTATCACATCCAAGATCTCATACCAGATATTTAGCATGAAAATCTCTTCAATAATTTTAAAATTTACCCCTTGAGAGTAATTTAACTCAAACTCACAACAGCAAGCAGGCAAACAAAAAAAATTTTCAATTAATTTAATCTCTTGTATTGGTTACGAATAACATTTAGTTCCACACGAACATATGAATGCTTTCAAAAATTCTAACCACAAAAGCTTTAATGAGCTTAGTCAGAGCTTTCAATAGCATTTATGGTTACTGAATTGAAAATTTTGGTTTCATAATTCTAAAATTATTTTCAAGATTTTTTCTTTTATTTTTGTGTTGTGTCATGCTCGTTGCTATAATTAATCTTTACCACTGCCTATTGTTCACATAAATGTAAAATGAACGATAATGCACAATTTTATAGGCAACATGTGATGATTATTTAATAAAATAAAAAAAGAGTCGTTGCTGCACTTCATGTACCTATAATAAATCTAAAATGTTTATTGTGATGAGTAAAATGTGCCTTTAAGGGAGGATGTTGAAGTTATATAGATACATAGCGTCATTTAATTATTTCCATAAATAAAATCTTCATTTTATGATCATCTTGTTGTATATTACGTAGCGAATAATGTGATGGCAATATTTTTATGCCTTTAAATCAACTTTAACAGCGTCATAAAGCATATGCCATTAAACATTTCTCTAATTATTTCGATTTTAAAATGCGACAACAAAATGACATGTATATCCACTTAGAGGATCTCTCGTTCCTTTATAAAACTTTTGTCAAAGGGGGAGTTGGGAGGTTTGAAAGATTTTTTTTTTTTGGAAATAAAGGAACGATATAGGATGTAATTTTCGGAAAAACTTTTACATATATCGTACATTCGAGGACTTTGTGGTCATTGTGGTTGCTTTAGGTTGATGGATTTTTCATCGTAAGGAATGGAGAAATAGAATTAGAAGATTAAAATGTGAAATGAAACGATATTAGAGTGTTTGTATGGTAAAATTCCTCTCTTCCTGGCTACATGTAGGTTGACTCAACATGATTGCAATAAAATTGTGTATATATGCTCGTACGTACATTCGTATGTAAATATACACCGAAAAAGCATTTGAATTTCAATCATTATGTATGTAAAGATTAAAACATTTTCCATTAAAGAAAAGAATGGAAATAAAATTTTATTACATTTAGGAAGTTGAATTTTGATGATGATATAACATTCGCTTAAAGTGCGATGCTACAGAATATGATTCTTTAAACATTAAGTATCGAAATTGAAAGGGTCTGAGTGCTTTTGTGAGATTTTTTTACTGCTTCTTTTCACCTTTTTTTTCTAATTTTGGATGCTTTTTACTACCCTTACTGCTGCTGACTTCTCATAATTATTGTTTTGCTGATACTTTGAGGGTTTGTTTCAAAAATGGCGTCTTCCTTATTTTAACTGGCTTTGAGGTAAAAACATTCAATTAATCAAGAAAGTTCCGTCATAAAATGAATTCATAAAACAAACTGTGTTATCCTTTTTGAGTTTCAATTCTATTTATTATCTGTAGCTCTGTAGATCTGAAAAGAATGCAATTTAATTTGCCCCCGTATGCTCTTCTTTATTCAATTTTGCAAATAAAAAAAAATATAAATTACGATGCAAAAGAAGAAATTTAATAAATTTCTTCATACTTTTTAGATTACTTGCCATTCTCTTGTATTTATTCAACCTCTACAAAAGGTTTTTTTTTAATATCACAAACTGATATAGATGCAATTACAGAGAGAACGAGAGGAAAATTTATGCTTGGGGTCAGATCGTTTAATATTGAAAGAAAGAAGGAAAAATTGAATAATTACCAAACACTTTTTAGTGCCTTTTTTTTATTCTCCTACTAGCTCCTACTGATACATTATTATTGCTCTAGATTTTTTTTTCTACTCTCTTCTCATTTGAACGTTGAGTAGAGTAATAAAAATAATAATGCCATGCCTCCCACTGAAGTAAATGCTTTAAAATATATATTTCTATTTATATACATAAGGATAATGGATCTAAAGGTCATAAACATTTCGGTTCTTTCCATAATACATCCTATCTTTGCCATACTTCCTCTTACCCTCCATTTCTATATCAGTTGCTAACAGAAAACAAAACAGGGAAAAGAAAAATGTTATTTCGAGGGGCTGTTCACTTATTACGTAACGCATTTGGTGGGAGTTGAATCTGAGATTACGTGGTAGTAAGAAAAGTTGTGACAGAAAAATTTTTTTGAGTTACGTAATTAATGAATGATCCCCTAGCTTTCATTCTGTGAAAAAAAGTATAAATTTCTCCATGCTAATCACTTTGACTGGGTTAATGACGGTTTTATACATTTTTTACGTTAAATATTGGAGAGAACCTTTATCATCAGGATTCATTCATAATTTTTATAGATCTTAAGTACATAGTAATAAATTATTTATCCTGAATCCATGTTGTAAATTTAACTCTTGTTAAACAGGA